AAAAAAAACTTTTTCTAAAATTTCAATTTTCATAGTGACATTGTTTTAACATTAAAACATCGAAAGCATTCACTTTTTAATTGATATACAATTACATCAAAAGAACATAACTTCATCAGACAAAATAAGAAAAAAAGTAGGACAATTATGTGTTTCTTTAGAGAGAAGTTTTTCACCAAAAACACTACATGTTTATCTAATATTGTACAAGAACAGAAGCAGAAATTTCCCCCCATAAAATTAAACAGATAATTATTTCAATATCTATATGACAGATTGACATAAACAAAACATTTTCATGTCAGAGAAAATGACACTAGTTTAAAATGTACATTCAAAGTACATTGTTCCTGACATTCACTAAATAGTACACAGAGTACTGAGGATCTTCTAGCACTATAGTGACCTGAATCATCCAGTCCACAAACATGTGATGGACCAAAGCCAATTGTACAAATAATGTCACCAAGGCCATAGCAAAATCTAAGTAAAAAGTTCATAGAGCATTTCCACTAGATATTCTATGCATAATGCATTGATATGTAAACATGCATTTGACTTGTTAATGGCATTAAGTGGGTTTTGTAGAATCTACTCAAGGTTATGCACTAAATTTTGTAGTTTGATAAAAACAATAGTGCCTACTTACTGCTGGAGTCACCCTGAAAACTATATTATTTAAAGATAGGCTGACAATCACAAATGTAACAATGGGACACATTTATGTAAGGTACTACATTAACTAACAGTGTGTTTCTTATACTTCTGACTGTGACAAATATAACATTTCATTATACATCTACAAGACTGACTCTCTTCATTATACTTCATTACATTATATATTTGATAGTTCATTATGAATCTAACAAAAACATCTAACCTTACCTTCAGTTGCAATTTTAATGTCTCAAGTTGTTCCAGCTTAAGTTTCAGCTCATTCTGTGTATTACTGAGTTCATTGTGACATAATTTCATTTCTGCTTGTGTTTGACTGTGATTGCATCTAAAAGACATTTCTATTCACTATATTTCTAGAAACTAATTTCCAAAATAAAACAAATATAATCTTTGTAGCAATATTTTTTATTCAGGAAATTATTATACAAACATTAACTATTTTGACAAGCATATATTAATTTAATGATTCATTGAATAACCTATGTTCATATGCAATCAATTACTTGCTGGTAGAGAAAAGTTGGATGTAACTCAATATTTTAATTTCAGGCTAATATATATACCAACACCTTAAGGTAGAATGTAATAAATAATTTACTGTTCAGTATTCAACTGTCCTGTCAACTGTTGTATTTGCTGAGACAAAGCTGCTATCTGTTGTGACTTCTCTAATAGTTCATTCTGTAAATCTGTCATGCCAGCCTATTTTGTCAAAAAAATACTGTAATTTCATAATAACAAGCGCTACCTTCAAATGAATGCAATGCCTTGACCATGCTGACCTTTGACACACTGACTCTTAGTGGATCTGGCGGGTAGAGCTCATCAAGGTATGTGCATGTGTGAAGTTTGAAGCCTGTAGGTTGAAGGGCTTTCATGCTTTGGTCAAAGTTAAAGTTTTGTGACAAACAGAGAACAGACAGGCCTGAAACAAAATTTTGCCTTCTGGATCTATTGATCAGAGGGCATAATAACCTTTTAGGGAACAAATTTGCTTAATGAAAAAAGTTTTATACATCAGACAATCAATTTAGTAATAGCATATATGAAATTAAAGCACATTTGAAAAGCCACTTACATACATGATCTTTAAAGTAACATAACAGCCAAATAATGTGATAGTACCTTTTTATAAACCATATCTGACTCAATGACTTTCATTTTCTCATCCAACTGTGACTTCTCTGTTTCCACTAGTGTAAGTTGAGCCCTGATTTCATTCAATTGTAGCTATAACAATAAAAAACTAGAAATGTGTCATCAAGCCACGGATGCCCCCGCATGCAGCCAAAATTTCAGATGTTATAATATTTAGTTCCAAATTTGTTTGCACAAATTATTGTTTTCATTTTAAGTTCAAAGCCCTTTAAACTTTTCAGTGTTAACACAAACCATTTTCATACAATATTCAAGGCACTGAAATTATTCAGTCTTAACCTTTTGAAAATAGCATATTTCATATTTGTAGCCAAAATAATGGCTATACAGACATTTCCACAAAAGTATGAGTCTGAAACAAAAAGTCAAAAAATTTCCAATATTCAAGAAAGATAAGGTTGTCCAAAATCATTAAACCCATGACCCCAAATTCAAACTTAAACTGCTTTATTCCTAAGACGTATCTATATTATTTTCAAAAGTGAAAGGGACTAACTCTGCCAAAAAATCATCGAACCATGACCAAATTCCAACTTGACCTGCCCATTCCTTTGACATATCCATATGTCAAATTTGAGTTGAATATGTAACACTGTTGGGTAGATAATGAACAGAAACTGTAAATTTCATATTATTTTCAAAGTGAAAGGGGCATTACTCTGCCAAAAATCATTGAACCATGACCAAATTCGAAATTGGCGCCTGGGCATTCCAGAAACATATCCATATGGGGTCAAATTTGAGCTGAATGTGTTGTTACTGTTGGGGAGATAATGAACGGAAACTGAAAAATTTCATATTATTTACAAAGAAAAAGGGCATAACTCTGCCAAAAAATCATCGAACCATGACCAAAATTCGACTTACCTGATTTTCTCATGACATATCCATATGTCAAATTTGAGTTGAATGTGTTTACCGTTTGGGAGATAATGAACGTAAACTGAAAATTTCACATTATTTCAAAGTAAAAGGGGCTAATAACTCTGCCAAAAATCATCGAACCATGACCATATTCGAACTTGACCTGTAATTTTTCTCATGACATATCCATATGTCAAATTTGAGTTGAATGTGTTGTTACCGTTGGGCGAGATAATGAACGGAAACTGAAAAATTTCATATTATTTTCAAAGTAAAAAGGGGCATAACTCTGCCTAAAAAAATCATTCGAAACCATGACCCCAAATTCGAACTTGACCTGTATTTTCTCATGACATATCCATATTCAAATTTGAGTTGAATGTGTTGTACCGTTTGGGAATAATGAACGGAAACTGAAAAAATTTCATATTATTTTCAAAGTAAAAGGGGCATAACTCTGCCAAAAATCATCGAACCATGACCAAATTCGAACTTGACCTGTATTTCTCATGACATATCCATATGTCAAATTGAGTTGAATGTGTTGTACCGTTGGGGAGATAATGAACGGAAACTGATGATGACGGAATGACAGAATGACGGAATGACGGAAGGACGGAAGGACGGAATGACGGAAGGACGGAAGGACGGAACAGGGTAACACTATATGCCCCGGCCATTACATGGCGGGGGCATAAAAAACATATATAAACATTGGAAACAAAACACTCATACAACAAAATGGATTTTTGCAGTATGTTTTTAAATAAACAATAAAATGTCCGTTTTTAAGAATTGAGCAGTCTTGAACATTCAAAGTCATTAAAATCATATTCTTTTAGATTTAAAGTGCATGTAGCTTTATCTAAGAAAACTAGCTGATACTCAATGTAAACTATTTTTAGAAATGTAAACTATTTTTAGTTTAAAAACAGAAAATTTAAATTTGCACTAAAAAAGTTAAAAACAAATATGAAATATAAATATGACAGTAGGTGGAGTCAAAATTCATATTTATTTTCTGGGACTAGATTCTTAAATGTTTTCCCTGACAGACGGTGGCTTCACAAATCATAATAATTATTCTGGTCATATTTAATACAGTTCAAGAGACCACAATGCTTTTCACATGCACAAATATGATCTGACAGAAATAATGATTTGCAATGTTATGCCAATTATGTTATTTTAGAATATACAGTGTAAACTCAACAATGTATAATAAAACGGTTAATATAATCATAATAGGGATATTTTGATCTATTAGTTGCATTTTGCTCTCATGGAATCTTTCTAGAACGGATCACACTCGGCAGAAATCTTCAGATCCAATTGTAGTAAAACCCTTAAGTAAAATCTATCTCAATACTTAAATCTAACAATAAAAAATCAAAACGTTGAGTTTTTTTCCATTCCTAATAGTTCTATTTTGATTAAAACATTAAAATGAGTACTATGAAATAGTTACTAAAAGATGAGCTCCTTCTTGTTGGCTAGTATACAATTGTCCTTGTACTTCCTGGACAGTTTCTGTAAGCTGGGTGATTGTAATACAGTTTTCTTCATGCCTGGCAAGTAACTCAGCCTGCAACATATAATTGTGTGTTTACAAAAGCTTATTACTGCTAACAGTGTGAAATATGTTGTTTTTTTCTTAGGATTAAAAATAAATTAACAAAAGACATTGCAGAGTAGGGAAGTGGATCGTCGGATAAGTGACGATCCGATCCGAACCACGATTCAGCACTTACGATTCACAAATCGAACCACAAATCTTTTGTTATCAAGACACCCATAAAAACATGTACAAAAGTTATAAAAACATGTTCATTTAAAAAAAACAGCAACAATACTATACATTTAACATATAAAATATAAACTTTGTTTATGTATTTATTCTTTGGATGAGTATTTTTGTTTTGTTTTTTGAAACAAATTACTACCTAGCTCAGCATCATGGTACATGGTCTTCAACCAGGAAATTGTATTTAGGTAAACTTCATATAATTTATACTCGAATTGTATTTTTCTCGATTTGAAGAGTGTGGAAAACAGTGAATGTATATAAAAAAAATTAAATCGTAATCCAAATATTCAAACTCGATTTTTCACTTTGATTTGTGATTATCCGAGTACTCGGATACTCGCCCCAGCTGAGCCCTATTGCAGAGTATATTGTTAAGTAATACTTAATGAATTAATGCATAGATGTTACTTCTATATTCACTTTAAAAAGTTTGTTCAATGTAAACCATTGATCATCCTTTTACAGAAACCCGTAAAACATTAAAATGCATTATGTACAATTTTTAGTGTTTTTACCATCAACAAAATTGCTGAATGGTGAACATTTGTTTCAAAATCTAGAATACTTATCTTACTTTTGTTATGAAAATAATGGCTGTGACACACTGTTGGTATTGTTTGAGAATATCATGCATTTTTCACTATAGGAAATATTGATCCATCAGAGATCTGTATTTACTTAATTGGTACAATTCTTACTATCTTCAAATGATTATGATATGATTAGAATATATATATATATATATATATATATATATATAATATATATATATATATATATATATATATATATATATATGTGTGTGTGTTACTATTCATCCTCTTATGGACTGGTCTTATAAGCTGTTCCCTAGGAAATACTGCCAGAAAGATACCAGCTCATTGGTCAAAAATGTATTACCTCCCTTGCATATTTGATTTATAGGACAGGTTACTTCCCTTGAACTTTGATATGTATAATTATAATAGAATTGAATTAACTAAATAAAGGCATCTCATCATACATTTAAACATTACATACATATTTTTAAAACAGACTTTAAATATTTACTAAATAGTGACTTATTACTTATGAACCAGTATGTAATTGAGAAAACTTCAAAATAGAAATAAACTTACATTTTGCTTTTCAAGTTCAACAACTCTGTTCTGTAACTCTGTTTTTTCCATAATCAAAATATCTGAAAGGCAAAGAATTTCATTTACACCAGATGGTCAAACCTCTTACTCAACCAGAGAAAAAATATTTTGAACAATTTCCTAATTTCAAATTTATTCAACCACTAAATACTGTCAGAAATTCAGTATAATGTTAGACATGAAAAAATTTAATCTTTTAAATTTTCATGCTTGAACATGTGAGGTCAAGGACATGATCATCAAATGTTTAAAGATGAACTTTTACCAAAATGTTGACTGTCACTATGTTTCAAATATAATATTCTAAAATATCCTAATTCAAACCTTTTGAACTTTTCACTTCTTCTAACATTGTGCTTGCTTTGTCAAAGTCATTCTGTAAGAACTGCAATCTGAAGGAACATTCAGAAAGCTTAAAAAATACATTTAAACAAAGATAGTAGTTAACAAAATATGTCACACAGCCTACAGAAAATCCTACAATATTAAAGCAGCATGCGGAGACTCCAGATTCATCCTCATTTTCATGAAAAAAAAATTAAAATGTATTAAAATATTGTTAAATTAACAAAGAAAGTAAGTTACACATAGACAAATGCAGCTTAAAAAAGGAACTTTTGTTAACAACATGGGTCTTGATACAAGTAAATTTAAACCATGTCTAGCCTGCCTGGGCTCTCATATGTCTTATATCAACTTTACTATTGATATATTCAAATGCTACTGATCAAACAGGATTCATATAGACATTTGTTGCTGAAATTTAAGCATTTTTAAGCAAGCTTTCCCATTTTAAAACCCCTTTTTTACGCACATATATCACTTGTTACCAAGGATCAAGTAATTACAAACAGTTATAATGATAAAACATTGAAGTCTTTATTTTCATTTTGGGTGCTTTATCACTTTTATTTACACCTATTATGTGATATTTTACAATGCAGCTTAAACTATTTCCTTACACAAAGATTTTCTTTACTAATATTGGTATTACTAGGCTCATTGATGAAAACTATCAGCTTTTTTCACATGCAACTAGCATGTTTTCATTTGTTAACAAATTCTAGCACTTTTTAAAGCTATTATTAACAGCATAAAAATTCAAGGTATTTTACTTTCTTTCATTCTTAGCACTTATTAAGAAAAAGACTTAAATTTAAGCATTTTTAAGACTTAAAAACCTATTAAATTTTTTTGATTGTTTAATTTCCATTATTCAGTCTGTAATAACATAAAGTACTCTAACATTAACAGTCTAGTAACATTTCCATTTGTTAACCCTTTCCCCCATGAGCATATTGTGAAAAATGGTCATTTTCACTGAAAAGCCTCCTCTTACAAGTTCAAACTGCTATGAAACTATGAAAAATGCTTCAATACTAATCAAACTTGGCACAAATGTTGACTGGACCATTGCCTTTGTAACGACATGCTCAGTCTTAAATTTCCTGTTACCATGGCAACGAGGGGACATCTCAAAATTGCCAAAAATCACTATTTTGCCTCGATTTTTTCCATCAAAATTATTTCAAAGTGCTGCAACTTCTCAAGGGATTGAGATAGAGTCAAAGGCTTTTCAGCGTTGGTTACACGTTACCTTATGATCGACCTGGGGTCATTTTAAGCCTCTCACAAAATTTTCTTGGCGATGAGGGGGACTCCACCCCCCTTCAAACCCCCCAAACAGAAGGGGGCACATCCCCCTTCTGGCAACCCCCTGATGTATCTTTTGGATGGGGGGCGCCGCCGAAAAAGTGCTCACTTTTTTTAGCAACATTTCTCAAATGAAAACATGTGTTTGGGGCCCAAATAGGACATTTTTTCACTATTTCAGGCCTAAAAAAGGGGGGGGGCAGGGGGTCGAAAGTGTGTTGTTTCGCGTATATATGAGGTAAAGGGTTAAATATTAACTGGCTACTGCTTAATTACACAACATTTACTCAATCATTTTTTCTAATGAAATAAACCATGCAAGTTTTCTTTACTCTCAGGTACATACTTGATATGTTTCTGATTTAACTGCTCTTTATGCTTTTCTAGTTCTGATTTCAAAGTCTGGACCTGTTGACAATGTTCCTGTTTTGCAGAGCTCAGCTCTGTCTGTAGACCTGAACATTTGTTTGTAAACTGTTTTACATCTTCCTTACTTTCACTTAATTTCTGTTCCAAACTATCTTTCTCAATCTATAATAGTAAACGATAAATCAAAAAGATATCATCTTAAACTCACATTTTATTGTAACAATATGAAATTTAATGACTTTTAGTACTGTCACATTCATGCATTTTCCTTGAAATACTTTTATCAAGTTTATTTTTTATATATTCATACCAACAAAGTATAAGGTTTTACGCTCAATTCCCTTTCAGTATTTTTTTCTTAACAAGATTTAATTTACTAGTAAACCAGTTGTGTTTTAAAAAGCCATCAATATGCATCAATTCAATAAATCAATTTGAAAGGATTATAAACCTGTAATGATTCAAGCTGTTTATTAAGATCACCATGTTTTGTTTTAGCATTGTTCAGTTCATCTTTGCCAGTTTCAACATTTTGTGTCAAAGAATCTGTAATACAAATGTTAAGTTTATACATATTCCATTTAAGCTTGATTAAGATAAAAACTTGGAGGTTAAGATTTTGACCACTCTGAAGTTGCTTACTTGAAGTAATAAGTAATGATATCAAAAGAGGAAATATGATCATGACCCAACTAAACCATTGGTTAAGAAGCAGACACTGTAAAACACCCTTTTACTAATGTAAAGAAAAGATGATATTGGAAACAATGATATCTTCAAAACTATACAATATATTGTCATAACTAGAGCAATTTGTTTTTAAGATCAGTACAATATAGGACATAGACTATGATTTTGAACATTAAAACTTTAAAAGTAGATTTCAAATTAACTTTTTTGCATGTATTTTTTAATCACCAATATTGATTATGTTTTAGCCTTGAAGACAACCAAACAACCAAGAAATTTTGTTGAATAAACAATAAGTTTCAATTAATTCCAGGGAAACAATTCGCACAATGTTGTGTATTGTGGAATAAGTCTAGAACTATTTCAAAATAATTATTATCCCATAAAAAATCCTTCATATATAAAAAACAAAACCTACCAACTGTTTTATTCAAACTGTGAATTTTTTCATTATTTTTCTGAACTTGTGCTCTAATGTCACGTATCTCAATATTTTTGTCATCTAGTTGTTGGTTCAATATTTTAATCTACAAAAGATATATATGAGGTTTATTGAAAAATCACTTATCATAACTGTGTTCATTTTATGCCATAAAGATAAAGCTTTGACATGCACAAATGAAAACTAAGCAATCTGTCATCTCATCTATAATGAAAATTATTCCTGTAATTCTTAGAATTATCATAAACAAATACAATTTACAAGTTATAGCAGTAATAGGGTCAGGTATAAACAATAAACAAAATAATCATACCAGACCCTTAAATTAATTCTATCATTCATTTAAATGACATTTAATAGTTTTCTTCTTAAAAAAAGAATAAGAAATAATGGGAAAAAAGGAAAATAAAGGGGAAAGTGATAAATATAACCTTAGACTCAGCTTCTTGGTTGCAATGAGTTAGATTCTGCTCTAAACATTCTTTCTCCTTAGATAGCACTGATACTGCAAACAAAAACATAAGAAAAGGCTTCTTTAATGGCAAGTAATTAATCATGTTGCAAAATTAGTCATAGATGGCAAAATAGGTGACCAAGGCTATTACATAGTCACATTGACCTTGATATTCTGTGGTCATGCTCTTAAAATATTAATTTGACTTTGCTCATGAAAGTGGCCTTGACCTACTGACCTCAAAATCAAAATGGATCATCTAGAGGTCATGACCAATCAGAGCACTAAATCCTTAGATAGTAGACCAGCTTCAAATTGTAAACCTAGATCTTTCATCTTCTGACCTTAAAATCAAAAGGAATCATCTACCAGTTAGACCAATGTCTTCAACAAACTTTGTCTGTAGGTTAATTAAGGCATTTTCTAGTTACTGATTACAATAAAAACAAGGCAAAAACACTGATGAATACATCTGACCTAACCAATTAAACCCATGCCCAGTTATAAAATGATAAAGAAAACCATTTAAACAAAGGTAATTAATTCTTAATGAATGTCCAAACCTCCAAACTGTTTGAAATTATGTAGACAATACAAATTTGAAGCTGAATAAAAAGTCTGATAACAGTCTATAATATGCTGTTAAAACTGGTCTGGCTGACATCTGTAGAAGTTCACTTACTTTGACTTGTGAGCTGTCTTTGCTCTTCATCCCTTGCCACCTTAAGTTCCTTGAATTTTTCTGACAAATTCTAGAACAAACAAAAAACAAACATTTTATGTATTACATTGTATATGCCATTTGAGTAAAGTTCAGATCTTTTGATGTTTTAAATATTGATCTGAGAATCACCAACTCTAGTTCGCCTTCCATCTGATTTAAATTTTCTGACAGAGCTTTTGTTAGCTATCAAATCAAATCATTTTATGATCATTTGACAAAATCATCATCGTCCATGAAGTCAGATATTAGTCATTAACTTTCTATTAGAAGAGCCATCATATCAGTAATGAATACTAATAATAAATAGATAATTCCAATGTACTGTCAGCGACACATTTAAGATTATATCACTTTTGGTACATAAGCATTGATTCAATATTAATAATCTATAAGGCATGAGCGCCATCATGCACCTTAATACCTTGAATCCGTGAAAAGCCTGTATTTGTTGGTTTCACAACAGTTGAAAATAGAAACTGATTCATTCACCTTCAAGAACATTGAAACTTAGGCTACTGATTGACTGAATGGTCACAAGATGACCTCTGCACGAGACTATTGGTGACTGTTAAATCCTTAAGTGTACTATGATTCAAGAGCTGATTTTAACTCAATTGGTGTATAAGCAATGTAGTCTGTAAACTAAAAGTATGAGTATCAATCCCATCAATCTGTAATAAGACTATAACATGTATAAGTTCACACTTACTTCAAATTGTCGTTTGTGTTCCTGTTCAAGATATTTGACTTCTGTTTTTTCTGCTTCACCTGTAAAACATTCATCATAATTTTAACCAACAGCCTGCTAAAAGTACCATCAAACATGAATCTAATAGCAAAAAAAAAATACCTTTCAAAATATATAATTTAAGCTGTCAAATATACTGTAGATAAAAATTCTGGTATTGACAATTAACAGTTCACCCCACTGATGATTTGCCTACATAAGTGACAATTCACCCCTGACTAGTAACAAATCACCCTATCTTAGATTAATTATATGAAACATATTTTAAATCATTAATATTGATAAACACCTGAATTAAATGTATATTATTGTAAAGGTATGAATCAAAATTACATTTTTGTTTATCTTTAGATTATAGAACAGAAAATGGTCATTTTTCTGTTGGGTACCACATTAAATCTGATAATGATATGCCTAAGTTCCGAGTGACTATTTGCCCCATTTTAGTAGTAATCATGACAACATGTCTTAAATCATTTACTTTCGATAATGTTAAAAGTTAAATATATGTTTTTCTAACTTTTTCTATGTATTTGCTAAGGGATAATTGTAGGCATGGAAGTACTCTATCTTTTGCAGACTTCCCGAAAAAACTACTCTGTTTACATACTGCATTTCTAATCAGATGCCATTGCTGTCTTTGTTTAATAGTCTTACTAGAAAATTCAAATTATATTCCATCTTCTTTTGGTTATAAATATTTCAACAAAGTTTTGTTGAAATCCTGTGCTGTGAGTAGTAGCGCAGAAACAAAACTAACTCTGTATAATGCATACTGCATAATCAATCAGGGACCCTAACTTTGAGTTATAAGACAGGGACATGCAAATTATATGCACATTATGCACATGTTCTTTTGGTATTGAAACAGTTTCCAAAAAAAAGTATGATTGAAGTCTTGTCAGTAGTTGCGAAGACAAAATTTACTCTTTATACATACTGCAAAACTGAACAGGGGCCATAACTCCAAGATGTATTCCATTGGCAAGGGATAATAAAGTGGGGCCAATTGTCACTAAAGTGGGCAAAAACAACACTAAAGTGAGATAAGTTTTTATGGGGAGAATTGTCAATGGGTCAAATCGTTATATTTCAAAAATTCTGTTACTTCTTACTGAATACTTGACATTTAAAGTGAATATAAAATTATGGAATTTGTAATTCTAAACCAATTTTAACTTTATTTGAAAGTTATATTACATTCTGCAACTTTGGATTCTGTCTTTGCAAGGTGGTCCTTCAAAACTGAACACAAGTTTCTTGTGGCTGAAACTCTGAAGAAAAAAGAAAAACTATAAGTATTTTATAAGAAATATCTTTTACTGTTGAAGAACATATATCCAAGTTATATACAGTAAAAACTGTTTACAGTGACCTTCGATGGGAGAAAAGAAAAAAGGTCATTATAGACAGGGAGTCACTGTGGACAGTCTCTACATAATTTGGATATATGAACATATCATACCAATATTTTGTTGAAAAGCAGAATAGTACCATATTTAGGGTTTAATTATATTTTTTATTGATATTAAACATACCAAATATCATTTATAAAAAACAAGACAGTATTAAAATTGCATGTATAATTGGTTAAGATTATAAACCACACCATAACATTAGTATTAAAAAGTCACATATTGATTAAAAATGTAATTTATATTGATAAATCTGTTTGTAAAAAATGTTTAATTTCAATTTTACTAATGAGATGTTAGAGACATTTATTTTTGTATAATCAGCCTGTTTACTTTACGGAGTTCAATGTATTAATAAAACATTACATACAAATCTTCACATAATTTCTACAAATAAGTGCTCCGAAAAAATTTTTAACAATCGAGGTTTCGAACATTACCACACATGTAAGCCGTTGGGCATTGATTATTTTTACTCGCCAAAACACCGCAGCAATTATGTATATGCAGGTGTCTTTAATCATTCAATCGGCGAAAATTGATTGAATCTGTCGCCATTTTGTGTTATTGTCAACAAACAGCCAAAATCTCTTTGAAGTTTGTTTTTAAATTAGGTGAAGTCGCTGATCCGAAGGCGACTTCTTCGCCCAAAACGCCCTCTAGCTCAAGCCCTGTTCCCCTTGCAAAAGTCGCTTTTCACGGCTCAAATTCCTTAACGGGGGACTAAATCATGGCCGTTGTACAGACTAGACAGGGAGTCGCTACATACAGACCATTTATATAGTAAATACTGTTCGGCGCACATAACTATGGTCACTAAAGACAGAACGTCGCTATATACAGGGGGTCACTAAGACAATCTTTACTGTACATGTAAATTTTGATTCATTTCTTCTATCATTTTTTGCATTATTATTATTGTTCAGATAATGTAAAGTTTGATGAAAAGTCTAAGTATCTTAGTTCTATATATCTTAACAGTTGTCAAATACATCATAATCAGGTGTGCACTTAAACTTGATGAAAAATACGAACACTAAATTTACCAGAGACAAGTGAAGGTAGTTTAAGGCCAATATGCCATTTAAAAATCACAAGTTAACTAAATTAACACACACATTTGCTTTTCAGAAAAACAGTAACATAAATAAAAAGATAAAAATCTTACTTTTGTAAAATGTCCTCTCTGTTACTGATTTCTTCCTGAAGAGTCATGCTAAGGCTCTCATTTTGAAGCTACAAATATATCAACATCATTAATGTTTCTTTCTATCTTTTTCCAATTCTAATTGCTGGATCAAACATTTGCAAGCAAAACACTCATATAAGTACCTTAATATTAGTCTTTACACAGTAAAGAAATAAAAAAATCCATTTTCCAAATACTGTGATTTAACTTAATTTTGTAGGCATGAATTTGTGGTTTTGTCAAAAAGGGACATTTTCTTAGGTTTTAAATTTGTTGATTACCAGTTTTTACAAAAAGTAAAATGCAAATAATGTAATATAATCATACAGCAGACAAAATAAAATTTTGATTGATCTTAAATTCGTGGGTTGACCTATCCACCAAAAACAGTAACAAGAGGGCCATGATGGCCCTGGATCGCTCACCTGACACAACCGCATCCAAGCAATGTCTTAAACAAGCATCATGACCAAGTTTGATGCAACTGAGTCAAACATGTGACCTCTAGTGTGTTATAAAGATTTTTCCATATTTGGGCAATGTGACCTAATTTTTGACTGGACACAACCCATATTCAAACTTGACCTAGAAATCATCAAAACAACCTTCCTGACCAATTTCCAGGAAATTTGGATCAAAACTGCAGCCACTAGAGTGTTAAAAAGATTTTTCTATTTTTAGCTCCTGTGACCTAGTTTTTGACCGAACATGACCAATCTTAGCACTTGACCCAGAAAACATCAAAACAAAATTCTTGACAAATTTCCAGAATATTTGAATAAAAACTGCAGCCACTAGAGTGTTAACAAGCTTTTTCTATTTTTAACTCCTGTGACCTAGTTTTTGACCTGAGATGACCCATCTTCGAACTTGACCTAGAAATCATCAAAACAACCTTCCTGACAAATTTCCAGAATATTTGAATCAATACTGCAGCCACTAGAGTGTTAAAAAGCTTTTTCTATGTTTAGCTCCTGTGACCTAGTTTTTGACCGGAGATAACCCATCTTCGAACTTGACCTAGACATCATCAAAACAACCTTCCTGACAAATTTCAAGAATATTTGGATGAAAACTGCAGCCCCTAATGTGTTAACAAGCTTTTCTATTTTTAGCTCCTGTGACCTAGTTTTTGACCGGAGATGACCCATCTTCCAACTTGACTTAGATATCATCAAAACAACCTTCTTGACAAATTTCCAGAATATTTAGATGAACACTGCAGCCATTCGAGTGTTAACAAGCTTTTTCTATTTTTAGCTCCTGTGACCTAGTTTTTGACCTGAGATGACCCATCTTCGAACTTGACCTAGAAATCATCAAAAAAACCTTTCTGACAAATTTCCAGAATGTTTGGATGAAAACTGCAACCATTAGAGTGTTAACAAGCTTTTTCTATTTTTAGCTCCTGTGACCTAGTTTTTGACTAGACATGACCCATCTTCGAACTTGACCTGGAAATCATTAAAACAACCTTCCTGACAAATTTGCAGAATATTTTAATCAAAACTGCAGCCACTAGAGTGTTAACAAGCTTTTTCTATTTTTAGCTCCTGTGACCTAGTTTTTGACCCGTGATAACCCATCTTCGAACTTAACCTGAAAATCATCAAAACAACCTTCCTGACAAATTTCCCAAATATTTGGATGAAAACTGCAGCCACTAGAGTGTTAACAAGCTTTTTCTATTTTTAGCACCTGTGACCTAGTTTTTGACCGGACATGACCCATCTTCCAACTTGACCTAGATATCATCAAAACAACCTTCCTCACAAATTTCCAGAATATTAGGATGAAAACTGCAGCCACTAGAGTGTTAACAAGCTTTTTCTATTTTTAGCTCCTGTGACCTAGTTTTTGACCGGACATTACCAATCTTCCAACTTGACCTAGATATCATCAAAACAACCTTCCTGACAAATTTCCAAAATATTTGGATAAAAACTGCAGCCACCAGAGTGTTAACAAGCTTTTTCTATTTTTAGCTCCTGTGACCTAGTTTTTGACCAGACATGATCCATCTTCAAACTTGACCTAGATATCATCTAAACAATCTTCCTGACAAATTTCCAGAATATTTGGATGAAAACTGCAGCCACTAGAGTGTTAACAAGCTTTTTCTATTTTTAGCTCCTGTGACCTAGTTTTTGACCGGAGATGACCCATCTTCGAACTTGACCTAGATATCATCAAAACAACCTTCCTGACAAATTTCCAAAATATTTGGATGAAAACTGCAGCCACTAGAGTGTTAACAAGCTTTTTCTATTTTTAGCTCCTGTGACCTAGTTTTTGACCAGACATGATCCATCTTCAAACTTGACCTAGATATCATCTAAACAACCTTCCTGACAAATTTCCTGAATATTTGGATGAAAACTGCAGCTTATAGAGTGTTAACAAGCTTTTTCTATTTTTAGCTCCTGTGACCTAGTTTTTGACCGGAGATGACCCATCTTCGAACTTGACCTAGATATCATCAAAACAACCTTCCTGACAAATTTCCAAAATATTTGGATGAAAACTGCAGCCACTAGAGTGTTAACAAGCTTTTTCTATTTTTAGCTCCTGTGACCTAGTTTTTGACCAGAGATGACCCATCTTCGAACTTGACCTAGATATCATCTAAACAACCTTCCTGACAAATTTCCAGAATATTTGGATGAAAACTGCAGCCTCTAGAGTGTTAACAAGCTTTTTCTATTTTTAGCTCCTGTGACCTAGTTTTTGACCAGAGATAACCCATCTTCGAACTCGATCTGTATTTCATTGAGACAAACATTCTGAAAAAGTTTGATGATGATCCAATCAAAACTGTGACTGCTAGACTGTTAACAACCCAATTATTGGAGTGTTAACAAGCTTTTTCTATTTTTAGCTCGTGACCTAGTTTTTGACCAGAGATGACCCATCTTCGAACTTGACCTAGATATCATCAAAACAACCTTCCTGACAAATTTCCAGAATATTTGGATGAAAACTGCAGCCACTAGAGTGTTAACAAGCTTTTTCTATTTTTAGCTCCTGTGACCTAGTTTTTGACCCGAGATAACCCATCTTCGAACTTGATCTGTATTTCATTGAGACAAACATTCTGACAAAGTTTGATGATGATCCAATCAAAACTGTGACTGCTAGACTGTTAACAACCCAATTGTTAGAGTGTTAAGAAGCTTTTTCTATTTTTAACTCCTGTGACCTAGTTTTTGACCGGAGATGACCAATCTTCAAACTTGACCTAGATATCATCAAAACAACCTTCCTGACAAATTTCCAGAATATTTGGATGAAAACTGCAGCCTCAAGAGTGTTAACAAGCTTTTTCTATTTTTAGCTCCTGTGACCTAGTTTTTGACCAGAGATAACCCATCTTCGAACTCGATCTGTATTTCATTGAGACAAACATTCTGACAAAGTTTGATGATGATCCAATCAAAACTGTGACTGCTAGACTGTTAACAACCCAATTGTTGACGACGCACAACGCACGACGACGGACGCCGGACATAGCCCCATCACTATACCTCACCATGACCACTTCGTGGTCAGGTGAGCTAAAAATAGAACCACATAATTATTCAATATTATAATAATGATTTGCACTAAATAAATGTCTAACTTTGAAAATAGGCGGCATAGGTAAAAATTTTATATTCAGCAAGGGTTACAATTCATTAAAATAAGTATTAAGCATCCATTTAAAGACATACAAACCTGAATATCAAGTATTGATTTCCTTAAAGAGTCTATGGTATGGCTGGATTCCTGAATCTTTCTGTCCTTAAATATAAATACAACAGCAGTATTACACAACAACAGTATATATTTAAAACTTGGTCTAATAATAATAATGGTTAATAAAAAAATTAAGATATCTTAAACCATTTTCTAAATTTATGCTTTCCATTTCAAAAATTCTTTTCTTAGCCTTCATTAAAATCTTTTAGGCCTTAAAATCTAAAAGTCTTTCTGTGGTCTGTTTCTTCAAATAAATTCTTTTAAATAGAAGTTATTCATTTTGTTGGAATATCTACAAATAAGAAAGATATAACATAGGTGTTCACAAATTTTGAAATTATACAAGGCTGTAAAGGAGTATTTTAACATCTTTTCTTTTTTTTTAAAAATCGAGTGTAGTAGCATACTTTCTGTTTCATGTCTAATTCTGTCTGGTTTTTCCATTTTCTAATTCTATCAGCCTCTTGGTGAAGTTTTGCATGCAAAGAATTTAATCTCTCTCCATTCAAAGCCAAATCTTGGTCTGGTCTTGTAAATTCTGAAATAGAATCATATTAAGAGCTTGTATAAAAGTTTACATTTACTTGTATGAGCTCTACTGGTGGCCACAGCCATGTTTCCTCATTTGACAGTAATTCTGGTTTGTCCATGAAGTGGACTGAAGACTGATTAAAAGATGCTTTATATTTATATCTAAATTTAGTTAAAATAAATATTTTTGAATAGTTAACTCAATTTACAGCAAAGACTATTATAATCATAGTTCATTGCACAGAGCTGTTCTATAACTGATATGTAAAAATCAGTAGATACAGTATTAAATTCTGAATATTAACAAACTGACACACACACACACAAAATCAAGAATAAACATTTAAATTGAATAATTAATGTTAATACCGTTTGAATTTTGGACTTGTCTGTTCTTGCTCTGTGCTTTCCCTGAAGTAAGCTGAAAAAAGTTATCAAGCATTTTTTCAAAATACCCAATATATTAGACTTATCATAAAGGTGAGGTTAAAATAAGGGGCATATCTGACTTAATAATAAATTCATGTAGTGTTAAAATAAATTTTATCACTGAAATCACATGAAAAATCTTTAAACGGGCAAAACATTTGCAGTTACAAAATGTTTGCAGACAAAAAAAGTCTCCTGCTGCTATATTTTTCTTTGCTAGCTTTTAAAGACAGCTTTGCGCATGACATTTGTATATTTAGAAGTAAAGAATATCTTGTAACTGTTCAAGCATCAATTGAATTTTACCTATATATGTCAGGCTAGTTGCCTCACCATATGAACAAATATGTTCTTATTAATTAAATGTTCTGGCTACAATGATAACAAACTACAATTAGCAAAGAGTAACTTAAAGCCGCAATTGTCACAAGCTTTGATATAATGATGAAATTTCTAAAAGATAACATTATACCACCACTTTGCTCAATGTCATTGATACTTAAATTCTAAGGCTAATATACATTGACCATTCATTTAAAATTATGCTTTACTTAACAGGCATAGGCTTACTGATTTAGTGTATTGAATATGCTTTCCAAATTCATTTTCTTTTTATGTCACTGACCTGACCTTTTGTCATTTAAATGACCCAACCGTAATCTAATGTCCAACCCAAAATGGTCCCTGCCCCAACATTTACACACACACACACACACAAGAAAAGAAATAAAATGTGGTTTCCATAATTAACTATACTGCAACAGCTATAGATGAATTTTTCATTAAACAGTTTTAATCAACTTTTGGACATATCTTTTATGCATTCAGTGAAAGGATAATTAATCCAAAATAAAAAAAGCTTAATTAGTTTGATAAAAATCCTGTTTATTACCTCAAAAGTATGATGGTCTGCATTGAGAGGTTTAAAGAATGGTTCTCGATGGTTTTGCATCATTTTCTTACTGAAAAGAAAACATTTCTTAAAATGGAAATTTAACACTGAAATGTTATGCTATGACAAAAAGGCAATGATGGCCCTTGATCACTCAACTAAGATCTATTGATATAAAAAAGTCATTCATTGCAGAAGTAAACTGCATTCAAGGCAACAAATTTTATGGACGTTTTTAAAATTTCCTTTGCTAGGTAAGGTATGTGGTCCAAATTTGAAGACTGAAGATTATAACATGTTCTTCTTTATTCAAGTATCAATATTTAGCCACATGGTAAGCACTTGGATTTTAGATTTTATATCTATTGTGATATGTTTGCACATATCGATATGAAAATCTGCATAATTTTCTATTAAAAAAAGCTTGACTGTGCCAAGAAATACACATTGGCATGTTATCAGTGATTTTTTTTTTCAATTTTCTAAACAACCTGTGGCTTTTTGAAGGGGAAAATATAGCATGATAAATAAGAAAGGGGGAAAAACTGAAATAAAATCGTAACAACTGAGAATGGCATTTACTCAATCATTTTGTAAAGTTTCAATTTAACATGCATGATACATAGCAGAGGATATCTATAGGGACAGCTTTCTGTTTTGCAGTCATAGCTAATATAAGTCAGCTGCTGTTAAGTCATTGTTGTAGTGAAGATTGTGCACAGAACATTGAAGGAAAAAAATAAAGCATTTTCAGGGGCAAATATACCTGTTTTTGGCTTGGGGAAACAGACTTTATTCGGCTGTAAAATATAAAGAAAAAAACACTGGTTATATACATGTATGTTGTATATCATCATATATAGTAAACGGGTCACGGGGTGCTGGATAGTAGATCTAATCATGTTCTTTATGATCAAGGGGAAATTACTTTATGGTAATTTTATCATTAATGACAAGACAAATGTGTCAAACGTCTGTGCCTTCGGTCTACTGATGTATCATGAATGACACTTAAATCCAATTTATAAGGCATGTCTAATTGTACACGTGAGAGAAATAAAATAGTAATCCGAAATTTAATTGTCCGAATTCTAGGTGCTCTTAAACTAATTACATACACCTATTTAAATAACACCATTTTATATCAAAGATGAAATAAATTATTCAATTAGAGAGGATTTTTGTAACTGAAAAAAATACGTGTTAAATCTGCATTGCTGTAAAAATACGAGTTTTGTGTTTATAATTTTGTCGTCTGCTTCCTGTCAAAGTTGATGGTATGTTTGATTATAATAGGCACAAAGATTAAGAATAACTTTCGAATGATGACGCATACAATCGCATTCTTTAAAACATACAAGGTGACATAGAAGATTGCAACACTACCTCATTCATTGCAATACAACACAGTTACATACATACTTGTGTTGTTGTTGTTGTTGTTGTTGTGGCGTCCATTCGCTGGCAGGAATAGTTCTTGTGTTCACATGCTTGCTTGTCAGAGTACAGTAGTCATTACAAAAACAGAAAAGAATAAATCACTGGATTATATTCCATACAAACACGTTTAACTTTTAACAATCCTTACAAGTTTGAAATGTCGGATTCGTCACTGTCGATTAAATACAATTTATTTTCAATAGAAACAAACACAGCATTTTACATGTTCGGACTCCTTCGGCAAATACGATAACAATGGGGGACGAAAGAGAAGTCGAGATTCTTCAAAAATTAGATGGTTTGAAAGACATACGGTAAAATTCACCATTGATTCATATTTTATGAACTGATAATTATTGTTAGTCGTCGCTTCTATTTTCTCACGATATACATATAAAAAGCAATTTGCCCTTTAAAAAAACTATTTATATTTCGTCCTCAAAATTGTTCGTTTTGCATTTGCTGTAAAAATAAGAATTTTGTATAATAAGTAAAAATTCATTGCAACACTGGCACAACCTTAGAATTTCCCTCTGACAATTAGATTTCTGTGCTAAAGATCTTTCCTCTGAGACAGTCTTCCTCTGTCAAAGAAAACAAAAGTATAGAAATTACAGATAGCTGATATTTTTGAGTTCATTTTCTGTACTTTTAACTTATTTGGGCCTAATAATGAGTTGCTTCTAAGCGATAACACCGTATAACTGTGTTTGCAATAATCATATTTTTCATTTTAAAGAAAGAAGGTCAAAATTCAGGCCAAAATGAATTGTTCTTTATATTATAAATAAAAAAATTGGTATGTATCTGTAGGACACCTGTAGGATGATTCTGGGCTCTGATGGAAGGGCCAAGCCCTTTTTAAGCCCCTCTTCTTTTGACAATCTTTCACTACTTCTTCTTATTGCTCTCACTACTTCTATGTTTAATTATATATACTTATATCTATTTCTGTTCACTCTGCTGTAGGACAAAAGCCCCCCCCCCATCAAAAATACAGGTAGGACAAAAGCCCCCCATGTTTTTTCACACGCACATGTGCCTCAAATTCATCAAATTTCACACAAACTTTTAAATAAAAATGAAGAGAATTTGTTTTATTATATGCTTTTCGGTGGTTTATAGAAATATATCAGTGAAATAAAACTGGTAATTTCACTGTTTGAAACAGTGAAATTACCACTTTGGTAATTTCACTGTTTTGAATTTAAGCCCCTAACGTTGTTTCAGTGAAATACCAGCGTTCACAGTACTGGGTACCAACTTAATGACGTGACGTCGTAAATGACGTCACGTTGTATTATTATTTGGCGCGCTTTTCATTCAGTATTAGGTTTAATTCTTTTTAAAACGTTTCTTTGCATATAATAAAAAGAAAATTTGTTTAGTTTAGTGTAAGATCGAAATATATTTCACCTTGTGAACACCAAAAGTTCATATTTCACTCGTGGCTGCGCCACTCGTGAAATATACCTTTTGGTGCTCACTCGGTGAAATATATTCCGATCTTACACTGAACTAAACAAATATCCTCTATTTAATGTTTATTTATAATGTATATATTGAAGTGATAACAAAGTTTATGATAACAGATTATATAATGCATGCATGCGATACCCAATTCATAGCTTTTCATATACACAACAAGGGTCAGAAGAGTAGTAATGTTTAATCACTTTTGTAAAGGGATCAAATTTATATCCTTAGCACTATGTCACCTACATGTTGATGTCCATACCTATCTTCTAAACACATAAAAAACACAACTTTAATACTCTATATGTAAATTTGATTGACTATGGGGGGGGGGGGGGCTTTTGTCTGACAATTGTCTGTGAAATATCTTTTTCGGAAAGAATTATCATTATAAAAAGTAAAATTGCTGATAGGGAAAGTAAAAAGCTGACCAGTGTAAGTTTGAATTTTTGATTTTTGGAAAACTGCATAAATTTTAAAGAAAATTTCAATTGGGATTCCATAGGCCTCTGTTATACAAGGTGAGAAATCTTTATATTCTTTCACATTTCAAATTCAATAGAAACAAACACAGTATTTACATGTTTGAATTCCTTCAACAAATTTGAAATAGGATATCATTTGTCTATGTCCCTGCAAAATTTGCTAAAAGTGAAATACCAAGTTTTAAAGTTTAATATGAAGAGCTCCATACCATAAAGTCCAGTGCTCAAGATAAGATGTATATGTGTGCAAATTAATAGGGCTGTAATAGTTCACAGTTTATTGCAGTACAGAAGAACAAAATATTCCACAGTGATTAACATTCTTTTATACTGGTTTTACATGTATTTATAAAGTCTAACCTTGTTTTCTTGAAAAATTATTACTGAGAAAAAGGTTGATGTACAGGTTCAGAGTACCCAGTGTTGTAAAGGTAGAATGCTGGCCTTGTATGCAAGCAGTTGTTTTGGGTTTTTTTTAGCCTCAGTTGAAGTTCTTTTTTATTATACATTGTATTTTTTAGATCCAGTTTCTTTATTGGGATTATCGTCGCCGGTACCCTGATTCAATAATTTCTCGATTATACTGACAAAGTGAACACAAAAAAGATTTGCAACTTAACTGTAATATTCAATATTTACTTTTCCTTATTCCTGGATAAGTCCATTTTATTGTTTACCGAAATGTGTTTCTCACACGTCATGTTCAGCCAGAATTTCATTTAGAAGAAATATAACCATAATGTTTGATATAAAGTACATGCGGAACACGCATAATGTCATTGATTTCTACGGCAAGTGAAGTATAATTGCTGTCCAGGCAACCCATAGAAGTTTGATGGTTTTAATTAAGTGCAAGCTTGTGCATGAAAAAAGCACAAATGGGCACCTGAGGTAGAAAATCAACATATGATAATTGCAGTGTCTGATTGACTTAAAAACCACCAACAAACAAACTAAATTTCTGTTAGAACCTGTTGTTTTTATTCCAGAACAAGAACTATTAATCTTGAGCGTATAAAGACCAAGTTACGTCAGGAGTTTGACACAACAGAGAATGAGGATAAACTTATAGCAGAGTACAAGAAGGAGATGGAACTGTTGTTACAGGAGAAGATGGCTCATGTTGAGGAACTTAGACTCATTCATGCTGATATTAACCTGGTAATTCATTATATAGTACTCCCCGCAGGTACTGCGTCCTTGCCCATTCTGGGTAATCAGAAAATTTGTTTCTTTACACACTGAATGCCACCAAATACTGTTTCCACCATTAAAGTGAAAGTGGATGTGCTGCTTTTTGTGAATTTGGATAGAAATTGTTAGAAATATTTTCATTTCAAATAAATTCTGTCATTGATAGGAAAATCCAAAGCTGCCCGTGTGTGTTGAAAATACTTCTTTATTTTACCCCATATTTAACAGTTAAACTGATAATTTCATGTTCAGACAAGTGAATGTCGTCTGTTGAAACAGGATCTTTCAAATAGAATGGTCTGGAAACACGCTATGTAAACCCTTCCCGCTACAATTAAACATGTCTCGGTATAGTTTGCTCTACGCAAATTATATAAGTGTTCAAGAAAAGGGCGAATATTAAATACAAGAGCAAAAATGAAAATTTAAATGACATGATGTTATTTAAAAATCTTTAAACTTGTGAAAAAAGGATAAATATTTCAGAAAATTATGTTTTTTAAAACCATATTTGTTTTAAAAACATAGATTGCTTGTTCAGAATATTTGCCGATAAACGGCGCCATTTTGAAAATGCACCAAATTAAACATCAAATATTTGCAAATAACATCGTAAAATATTATAATATTTTTACATGATACAATTTAATAACATCTTTTCTCTGTAAAATCAATTTCTATTTTGTCATTGAACAATGCATACATTTAAAAAAAGCTCATGAAACTCAGTCCTATTTTCAAATATGAGCGGTAGATTTTTACCTTGATACCGGGAACGAAAAATTCTTAATTTCATTGCAAATCTATAAAAGTGTTACTTTTGAAGTAAAAACTGATAATATAATGTAGTCAGAGTTAGTTTGTAGTAATTTTTTGATTGATTTAACAAAAACTATCTTATAATTTGATTTTTGAACGGTGATGTCCTATGCCAGATCACGGTCGGTAGATAACCCAATCACGTGACTCAACCAAGACAGCTTTTTTCGTAAAATTGGTGCGTCTCCAGACCATTCTATTTGAAAGACCCTGGTTGAAACTGTAGTGACATCATATTCTGTCACAAAAAATTATACTGAAGGGCCATCAATTTACATACCATGGTATCATAGTGCTCTCTGTTTAAGCTCCCGTTCAAAACATGGCTGATTGACCATAGATGTTTCTAATTTAAATTATTTAGTTATTCTATGTATGACATGTGTATTTTAAAGTCAAAATGCGGCAGTTAAACACAATTCAATAAAATAGTAAATACAATTTCTTTTTATTTGTACAATTTGCTGGAAATAATAAGAACAATGGTACCATAGGGGACCACCTACTTAGCAAAACTTGATTATTATCATCGTACTATGATGACATGTTACTATGCATGATAATGCATTATGATAAGGTATTCTGCCTTGTTGGATCTAGAAGTTTGATATACAACCAAATTGTGTAAATGTTGAGAGAATTTGACACAAAATTAGTATTCAAACCTAATATTATAATTTATATATAATTGATATCTACAGTTTCCCAGCTTATTTTAAAAATTAGCCATAATAAAAGCTTAATATCATACATATTACATTAACAAATAAATCCAGGCATGTTCTCAGTTGAAACCAACTGTTAAATAACCAAGTTAGTCCAATGAATACTTTTATTTGTGGGAATTAGAGTGTGAACTATTTCATCTGTGATCACCTCCTCCTACATTAAAACCATATTTTCATAAAGATTCTTGGCATATATGGTCAGAATTTTGAGATTTGATCATAATTGGCAGAATTATAGTCCTATTTTGTTTTGTTATTTTCACTTTATATACATGTACAGTGTAATATTGAAGGATAACCTGGTTTTGCGACAGGTCGTTAGTTTTGTTGTATTTTCAGATGGAAACCACAATTAAACAAGCTGAGGAAGAGCGTAACAGATCTCTAGAGAATGCTAAGCATCTATATGATGATTATAAACCTTTAAAAGATGAGGTGGACACATTGAGAAATAGGATTGGCCTTGAATCTTTGCCAGGCTTAAATGACGAAGAGGAGAAAATCTCACCACAGTAATATTATGTCATTTATGTTTTAAAAAGTTAAAAGACAGTAAAGGTGGTTAGAAACTTCTGTTATAATTGTAATCTTAAGGTAGACCATGGGTAATGGGCACCATAAGGAACTGTAAAATTGACAACATAGGACAGTTATATGTCTTCAAGGTTACCTGTATGCAAAATTTAAATAAAATTTACCGTGTGGTTTATGAGTTATGGATATATTTCTGAACTAAGACCTTGCCATTAGAAGGGCTTATTTTCAGAAATGAGGAAACTGTAAATAATCTGTAATATCATCATTATAAAAAATGTTTTTCTATTGCTCATTGTTAAGAAACAAATAATAACATTCAGGTAACACATTAAACAAGCAAAACGTTTGTTTCTAAACAAAATGTTCTTAATATGTATAAAAATGTTATCCTACCCCACCCACTTTTAACACTAATTTTACCATTTCCCTATCTAAAATGCCTTGTTCAAAATATCCCTAAAATTTATCGAAATGAGGGTCTGTTTTCAAACTTTGCCTTAATTTTTTCAAAGGTATATTAGTTGATCATGTGAAATATAAAATACTTTTACCGTGTAGTTTTTATTTTATCGAACTTTGAAAATATTTGGTATCATATTTGCTATAAATTTTGGCATTATTTAACAAGAAAAATACCTAAAATAATTTTATAATTTAAATCAAACTTTTTTTCTTCTATAAGGGATCAGAGAGATACATAAATAATGTTAAAAAGAAGAAAAGAAAGAAAAAAAAGTTGCCCCTTCTGGGGTTTGAACCCACGCCCCTCAATTTCAATGTAGTTTACAAGCCATTCTAGCCTATTTGAATACTCTTCAAAGTGGAGGTAATGCATTACCCATGGTCTACCTTAACTGGTGTATAGAAACTTCTGTTATAATGATTCAGTATGGAGAATTTCAGATGCTTTTAAGAGAGCAATATTTGAAGATTATTTAAGACTTATTACTATTTAGCATAAGGTCAAGGAAGTTGCTTCACTGTTTAGTTGTTAGTTTTTGATGTGAATTTATCAGCTATTTAATATTCTCATATATTTAGGTATTTTGACCGTCCTAAATCAGAGTTCCATTCAGAGCAGCCAGGAAGTTCAGATCCTCAGCCTCAAATTCAGCCCCAAATTGTAGCCCCGCCAGTGGTTGCGCCACCTCTTCCAGTACAAATGAACCGAGCCAAACCCTCAACAGATCAACCTAGACAAGCTTTTAGACAGCAACCTCCTCCCATGAAGGTTAGTTTTCATAGACTAGAAATTGAACATTATACACAATATTCTGCGTTCAGCAATACATATTATGACATTATAAAAATAAAATTGACATACATGTATAAGGTAATAGAGGTATATCTATACAAACATGTAGAATACTTCATTAGCAGCTGAAATGTTCCCATAAAGGAATTATCAGTAATCATACTTATTTAGTAGGGGAATTTAACTTAGTGCTATGCCTTTTTCCAATGCTTAATTTAACAGTTAATATTATGAATTGTAATTATTAAATTAAAGCAGTTAATTTTGGTTTTAAAATGAGTATATTTATATTGGTTGATGTTTGTTAGAAATACTCTGTTCTTTTGTTTTTATAAAGTTTTTTATTAAATTATTTAATTTAAAGGCAATATTAACCTCAAGAAATCATTATGGATTTTCCTTTGAAGAAAGAGGCAAACTTGTATTTTTATAATGAATTTATTATAAATAAATGGAGCATAGAAAGACACAAACCTGTGATTTAAAATATATTTATTATGAATAAATGGAACTTGTTAATTGTTTATCACACAAAGGATGCAGCCTTGAATGTAAATTTATTTGTCAAAAAAGTAGCAAGTATAGGTAATAGAATATACAGAGTTTTAAGAAATTAATTTTCAAGCGAACATATTGAAGCGAGAAAATTAGTTATTTAAAACTCTGTATATAACCTTTAACTGACTTACAATTAGCCCTGCCTATTCAAATTGAGTGCATTATGTAAATATGCGGAGTCCATGACAGCAGTTCATTAACATATTAATTTTATACATACAGTTGAGTGACAGCATTGTATGGTAAATATTTCGGCAAAATTTAAACAAAATAGAGCAATTTCATTGGCAGACAAACCTTTGCAAACTGTAAAACATAAATAAAATGGTAATTTGTCTTCCATTCAAAATAATAAATCACTATAATTTTACTACTGGCAAAACAATAAGAAATTGTACAGCTTTTGGCAGTTTTAGAAACTGTAATAGAACACCAAAATTTATAAGCTTTTCTTTTGAGGAAAAAAAGGATAGCACTATAGGGATTAATGAATAGCAAGTAAGTGAAAAATAGGTTTTTGTACTGTTATGACTTCTTGATGTACACGTATACTGTAAAAAAAGAGATTCCAAGAGAACATTGTATTTAGAAATATTTTTCAACATAACATGAAAGAAGTAACATTATACAATATTTTGATTTAAATATATTTTAATTAATTTATAATTTAAATATATGTTGAAATATTTCAGGCTTGTCTGTCATGTCATCAGCAAATACATCGTAATGCTCCAATCTGTCCACTGTGTAAAGCCAAAAGCCGATCGAGAAATCCTAAAAAGCCGAAAAGGAAGTTAGATGAGTAATCCTATAATAGATTTGATGTAGGAATATGTTTATGCAGCTGTCACCAAAGATAGAATTAACAGCATTACATCATTGACAATTGTTGATGGGATTTAGTAGGGAAAATGTCTTTTATAGAAAAGATTATGTTGTGTGTATGTCTGTTGTAAAGTGGTACTAGAATAAAAAGAGAAATACTGACATATTAAGAATTTGTTACTGAAATATTAAGAATTAAGTAAGATGTGTATTACTCTTTTAGCTCTTAAATTGGTTGAATATCTTAAATTGGTTAAATATTAAGACTTTGTTAGAAATAGCTCTGTTCTCTATATCTGAGCTTGACTTTGACGAGTGCATTTATTTGTTTACTTTAATTTTAAGACATCACAAATATAAGCACTGCATAAGCAAACATTTGTATTTTTGATTAATTTTCCCATGACATTTACATTTGTACAAAGTTAATTGTTTTTGTATTATTTAAAAATCTTTTTTAATGATTTATTTTACATTCCACAGTCTTCCAGGTGCTATAATCTTGTTTCTGTGTTCACTTTCTGTTTTTAAGTTGTAGGTCTGTTTCCTAATACGGTTAATTCTACAACATATCTTGTCATAATTTCTATATCATAAACTTTTAAAAGATTGTTTATTTTATGAATTGTGTGTTAGTATAAGGATGTATTATTACTACTTAGTTTATGTTGTATATTGTTAATGTCCATTTCATATATTAGTATACAAATATAATTTGTTTCTTGTCTGTAGTTGTAAAACAGTTGATGAATTTGTCAGGTCTGAACACGCACACAAATTTTAAGGCTGTGGTTATATGTATGTACCTGCTTCAGAAGCATTTTTGTATAATAGTTGTACACAAATTATATTATGGAATAGTATACTGTTGCCAGTAACAACGAAATACAGATTCTCATCTCTACTATTTGTCTATGATACATTGTCTATATAGAAACATAGACATGAAGTCTCATAACGCTAATGTGAAGTCAGATCATGGGTCGCATTGCATTACCAGGTAGCCTTATTATCTGTTCTGTGTAATCAAATTAAACAATATTTGTGCTGATTTATGTAAAGTTGGAAATGGCGTTTTAAAGAACAGAAAAACTTAAAGAAGCCTATTTTGTATTTAAACGCTGTTGTCCATGACTTATTGGGACCCACCTGGTATATCAAATATTGATTGACAGATCTTTATTAAAAATAAAACTGCCTAAAAATATCAAAGACTGCCCCACTCTTTTTATCAATCATTAATTCAAATATTACCAATTCATTCTGAAGGATATTTTAAAAAAAAATTGTAGTGCATGTGTGTTCCTGATTATTCATGTGGAGTAGATTATAAAATTGAAACAATCCTGGCAAAATGTAGTTACTTTGACTTTTACATGTACACTCACAATTTACGCTTGATTTTGCAAAATGTTCGTTTAACTTTTAGATATATATGCCTGATATTTTTTTTACTCAAATGAACATATTTGGTCTGGCACAGACTCTCTACATGTTAGTGACATTGTTTTATATGTTTTTAAAATTTTGTAATGATGTACTCGTAGTTTATGGATAAATTAGATATTTATAAAAATGTGTACTTCTTTCTTACTTTCTAATTGTTTTATAGATTGGATAGGATGAATTATCAATGTTTATTATGTGTACAATATTCTTCAATTCTTACAAACGTTGTGACGTAAAACCCAAAACAAACAAACTTACAAACGTAAATGAAATTTCGAAAATGATATATGATTCTTTTAACATATTTTGCAAATTATTCATTTATATTTACTTATGTTGTTTTCAGTATCTTATAATGGAGTGTTATGACTATCACAAACACATTAGGGTTTATATATAAAAGATTTTCAATTGAGATATAGAGGATATTCAAGTTTTTTCTATAAATACATGATTTATTTTCATCGAGTGGTATGATAATAAATATTTCATGAGTGGCGGTAGCCACGAGTGAAATATGGTAATTTTCATGCCACAAGATGAAAATAAATCATGTATTTATAGAAAAAACTTGAATTTTTCTGTTTATTATATACATTTTTCTCTTTTTTGCGATAAAATTGGAAAGACTTTCCCTTAAATTTTGTTTCCTGGCAGAATTTAAAAGAAAGTAGTCCGGCAAGACACCAGTGAAAATACGGAAAATATGTTTCACTGCAGTGAAAAATAAATTTTTACAGTGAAAATACGGAAAATGAAAATACGCATTTTATTTCATCAATATTTCTCAATATTTCATTTATAAGTATATAATAAAATATAATATTTCACGAAAAGGTGAGAAATTTTAGACAGTATAAATGTAGTATATTATACAATGTATTCTATATTCATAAAAGAACAAATAATCACTAATTATGCTTTTTGATGTAAAACAAAGTTTTCTCTACAAATGAATGTCATGTGATTAATGTAGGTTGTGTCTCACTCATAAAATCCAGTATTTCACTGATAAGGTTTAAACTTTATAGTTTTTCCCAGGATAAAATAAGTTGACAATCATTTTTTCTCCCAGAATATTGTATCATACACAGAACATCATTTATGGCCGGGTCATCGCTGTCTGTCAGAAATAAACTCCTAGTTTGTTGGTGTATCAAGTATCAAGTATAAAGTAAATATTTAGGCAACAGTTCAATAATTTATTGCATCAGTTAAAATTTTCATCCAATAACAACAGTGGGGAAACAACATTGTTGAATATTTTCATATACTTGTACTAAATATTCACTTGTAATAACATGGTAACTTACAGTGACATACAAAAGTATTCATAAGTACATATATAACATATTCACATGTGTTATTTAGATGCTGCAACATTTGTTCCTTATGTTATTACTATCTTCAAAAAATGACATTGAACCTATCCAGTTTTTCATAAGATACTTCTTTTAATATATAATCTGATATGCTATATTAACGTTAATTAATAGATCAATCCTATTTTAAACTAGATTTTTTACTAGTTGTATATTCAGTTAACTTTGAGAGATAGAAAATTTTACTCTCTGGAAGATTTAACTGTTTTCAATACCAAAGAAAAGGGAAATAAATGAAGATGAGATAAACATGAGAAAAAACAACAATAATAATAAAATGAGCCGCGTCACGACAAAACCAACATAATGAGTTTGCGACCAGCCTGCGCATCCGCACAGTCTGATCAGGACCCATGCTGTTTGCTGTCAGTTTCTCTACTTGTTATAGGGTTTGTAAGCGAACAGCATGGATCCTGATCAGACTGCGCGGATGGGTAGGCTGATCTGGATCCATGCTGGTCGCAAACGCATTATATTGGTTTTGTCATGGCGCGGCTCAAATTAATCATGTAACAGATATAACTGAGGATGCAAAAATATTGAATACCAGAAATGGGTTTTAATTGCATTCTTGTAATAAGAGTTTATACATCATATTTTACTTCATATGAAATTAATTATAAGTATACACAATCACAGAAAGAAATACATTGTGATATTAAAGGTCATGATTAAAAATAATTTATGTAAGGTAAATATAAATGTTATACATGTTTAAATAAAGATCAGTTGCTGAAGGATGTAAAAATAAATTTAAAAGAAAATTGTTTGAATAAATAATTGCTATAATTAAAATTGAATAAATATTCCATAAATAAATACAGATTGCACTGTTGTAAATAAAAATAGAGGTTTCCAAGGCCAGTAAATATTTGAACATGAAAAGTGCAGTTATTTGTGACAAATATATAATTTTAAATGTATACAGGATTCGGACATAAGAGGGTTGTCCCAAATGTTCTCATAAAAGTTCCACTATTAAATAAACACACTATTTTTTAAAACACATATCATTATGTATTTACTGTCCATATATCTAGCTTCACGACAATTTTTTACTGAAAATACCTCATTTTTTGTTTGTTTTTAATTTCAATTTAAAAAAAATGAAATTTAGCCAGCCGTCGACGATCAAAATTTGACGATTTTCGTTGACAAAACGTGTTCTTATTTTCAATGTACAATGAATAAAATACAAGCTCCTAGAATAATTTTGCCACCGACCGTAAGTTATGCGTGTATCTTTAAATCCCATCAAGTGAAACAGTCAAAATGTTAATAAAGCAAATGGAATGATGTCATGGGAGTTATATGAAAAGTGTAAATGAGTTTTGCAGGATTTTTCCAAGCGGGAAGACCAACACAGCGAAAATGTGTTGCATACCGGACAGATTATGAATCAGTAATAGTTCTGCATACAGAAAATTGGCATTCTAGGAATCCGGACGGATTCGTTACGTTTGGTGTCCATGCTTGTCAAATAGCAAGGGAGGAATTCAATGATATTACAGCCTGCTTGTCGGGTAAGAATTTCATGAAATCACGCTGACGTCGATATGACTGTCTTGCGCCGCTACCTATATACGAGCGTACTTCAAAGTTTCAAATATTTTTTATTTGCAAACCTGTATGAATAAAATCTTGCAAGTAAAGTGGTAATATATTGAATTTACAAAGGCATAGATTTGAAAAAGCTATGATGATCTGTTTTTGTTGTATAGAACTATGATACGAACTTTTGGGACAAACCTTGTGAGGTAATGAAGGGAATCTTTATACTAAAAGATATTTGCAATGTTTTTTTTTTCAAATATAATACTGTGTCCGCATATAATTTTTCTTTTCTTTATGCAAGAACGTTAACTGCGAGATAACTTGATATAAAAGTCTCCACACTTTGAATTAATTTTTTATGAAATCAAGTCACAACAGAAACTTGTTCAATATTTTTTGTTGTACGAGAAAACATGACATTATTCGTTTCATCCCCGGTGATTTTTTCCAGTGTTGTTAACGCAAACATAACACGCGATGTTTTAAAGCAATATTTAGAACTTAAGGCGTTAACATCCTATAATTATTGATTACGTTTACCATTTTCTGTATTGACAGATAATGACGGCAAAACGGGGGTCGCAGACCGGAAGTTAACAGTAGCGTTTCTTGCACTATTAGGTTGAGCAGACGATATTTCTGTAACTTGTTCATTTACAACCGTGTCATCACGTGCTGTATGATTTCCGGTTGATATTCTATAAAACTTGTTTGTTCTAGATGGACGAGATAATATATGTTTTCCAGACGAAATACTGATATCTTCTTCTTGAATGGAGTCTTTTGAAGTTTCCCGCCTTTGGGCAGCAGGATTTTTTCTATATTGGAGCAAAATTGGAGGGTTTCCCGTATGTCTAGGTGTTGGTGATCGAAATCCTTCTTTCTGAAAAGGACTTTCTCGTCGACATACGGGTGAACTTAACCTATTATCCATGATTTCTTTCTTAGAGTTACTGGAAGGGTCGGTTTTTGTTCTGTAAACACGTGTTTTCACGGGTCCCTCTGATCTATCACTTTGATCAATACCACCCCGTTCGGTCATTAGTTTTTGAATTGTAGTCACTGGTCTTTGAACTTTACCGGGAAATGTTGAGGCTCGAGGCCGGAATTCCTCTTCATCGATGTCCGTTGTTTCTGAAGCCGATAATTTCCCGTTATGTTTAGAGGTGTTCTCATCTTGTTTTTGCTCAGTCTTCGGCTTTGTAACATTTTGATCAGGCTTTACATCTTGTGTGTTCGGGAGCACATTTGGCGACATAACTTTACGGTTACCAAGCACATACTTGTTCGCAACACGGGGGAGATGTGTCGGTTGTGGCGTATCACTTGTTAGTTCCTTTTTAGCTTTTACGGGAGAATTCGCCCTTTGAATCCTCACGTATCCGTTTGTGCCCTTAGAATGTGAGATATCAGTAAATTGTCCATCTTGTTCTGAAAAAAAATCAAACATTATTAAATTTAAAAAAAAAGTAATAAAAGAAGCTGTCGTTTATAAATGTCCTTGGTATGAAACTATTGTGATTTACTGTTTGGTAAACGTTAAGGAATATGTGATGCGAAATATCACGTACGTTTTGAAAGTGGTTAATTAAAATGACTATCTTTCCGATATATTTTCCGGTTGTAATCATCTTTTTCTTTCATTTCCTTTGAAGGAATTGAGCTGTCAGTTACATCAGAAAGTAACCATTATTTTATTTTTTTCTATCGTAAATAATCTACATGTTAACATTAAAACGTTAAAATTCTTTGACAATACAAATGCAATAATTTAAAAGGCCCAATATACCTCAGAAATGCTATCATTTTTATTTCTCTAAAAGTTTTTATTTTTTGTATCTTGTTACAACTCTCATAGATTACTCATTTTTCATAAACACGAACTTTCTTTGGCTGCTTTTGGTCTGTTGGCAATTACTATGATTATACTGAATGGAAGTCGTAATACTACTTTGTATACATTTTGCTTAACCTTTACGACACATTACTGCATCTTCAACGTTACGTCTTCAGTTGTTTAACATTTAACATACACTTAATCCATACTTAAATTATTATTGAAATTTCTTAAGAATTATTGAAAAGATACGGCTTTCTGAGGCATAATTTTGTAACTAAATAAATGAGAAAAAGTAAAGAGATAAAACAAAAACAATTATTAAGTTAGATAGAAAGCACAACTATAACGTGATCGGAATCATACGAGCACTGTCAGGTACACGTGACATTTAATATATCATAGTTATTAGTTCAATGATGAGCTACGTGACTATAGCACATGTTTAACACATCTGAAACATTTAAACGAGTTTATAGATACAGAGATTTTATTCTACGACTAGAAAGAGACATGTTTTATCTTGGGCCACAGAACAAAATCAGTGAAATATCTATTCTGGAGATCTAAGACAGTTTGACTTTATGAGTGACTTTATACAAATATGTTAAAATCTTGAAAAAAAATATGTTGTTTATTTGTACTTTTGTTATGGGGTAAACTGCGACACCATCTAACCAGTATTGGTGACCTGTATGTCCTATTTGTTAAAGTTATTTATATTAAACTGCTACCGCTTTGAACGAATCGCGCTGAAGGATTTGTGAGGGAGCTATCTAGCTGTCAGATTTAGAGGGACCTAGATCAAGGTCTGTCAGTAAAACAAAAGAGTCATTATTATCAATTTAATATTCATTTTGACAACATAATCTGAGATCAAGAGGAATGCATTTATCATAAAGTACAAAGGCAATTCTTATATTGTGCACACTGTCTAAGAAGAGACAAAATATTATCATGAATAGCAGAGATACATGCATTTTATTATTGATTCAATCTAGCGGTGTCCATTTATATCCATTTTGTATATTATTATTTGAGTCACAAAATTATTGCATTTTATTTCAACCACAGAAACATTTTTCTAACACTCAAACAACAACATCAAATAACTTCTACATCATGCAAAGTAACTAGCCTTGACTAAGATCATGGCATGCAAGTGGTCATCGAAAATATAAAAGTGTTTTAATGTACAAAAGAAATAACTGATTTTCAACAGAAAATATAAAGACAAGTCATAGATCTAAAAGGGAAAGGTATTTTTTATTTCGAGTTGTAAAAATCTGTAAATCATGAGTTTCGAACACCAACAACCCGCGCTATGACGACACACATCGTTACTTGTCGTATCAAAATGCTAACTGAGCGTAATAACCTTTGTCATCAGTATTGAGTATAATTTAAGATTTGAATGTTTATTTACATAAAGAGATATATTCTAAGAGGTCTATTCTAGGGGAACTATACAGAGGGAATATGCATTGTTTCTACATTAGGGACATCTACTGGTATATTCTAAATAAGGAAAAAACATTTTTTTTTTACTTTTAACAAGAATTTTTCTTCTCTTCCTCCACGATTTCAAATAACCTGAACAGCAAAACAATTTTTGAATACATTGATAGAAAATAAAGAATCATTTATGACATGAAATTGCCAATTGCCGTACATTGTATAAAATTCCTTACATTGACGATTATTTTTCATTAAAAAAAAAAACAATAACAACAAAAACACACACACGACAACCCAAACTTGATAATGTTATTAATTTACACTGTGATGTTTTTTCAGCACAAGTTATATATAATGGTATAATTACTGACTTGCAATAAATACCGAAGAAACTTTGTTTAAGGTCTGTAATGCTCCTGATTTTTTACAATTTTTGTTGTGTTAATAGATTTTACATTGAAGTTGTTTTTCTCGGTGTGTTGGCAATAGTAAACATCTCTGCATGTTAACATGTCGTAAAACATTTCAACAGAATTATAAACTACATAGACTGAGTTCAGACGATTTTACCGCCGTTCTGTGATACAACACTCTCAACTAGAAATGCTCTGATGTTTTTTATAGCCTTTTATGTAAATGTTACCTGATTTTTCATCATCAGCATCTTTTGAATTATCGTCATTATTATCATTAACATCGACAGCGTTGCCGTTAGTTTCTCGTGCTCGTTGTTGTATGTGTACAGAATTCTTCACAGAATTGGAAGTGTGATTTGCCAAGTGACGCGAAATCTGCTGGGTCGTGTACGACTTTTGATTTCCTCTTACCTAATAAAACATAAAAATGAATGTTTTTAAGCATAAGAAACTTTTTTATCTATGGAAGTCGGCAAAACAAATCCGATATGTCATTATCATACTGTTCAAAAAGACCATCATTTTTAATTTTATATGTGAAAAGTCTATAAGATATAGGTATTAATGCTGAAAAAATTACGTACAGGATCACTTAATAACTGTGTTCTATGTAATATTCGATGATCCGCTGGTATTTTGCCGGAAGCCCTCAGGTTTCCTAGATGCTTTGTTAACTTCCGGTTTATTAGGTAATACATAGCAGTGGCGCTACTCGGCACATTTCCGGTCACATATCGTATAATCTCACCCATCCGAAAACCCTGATTTTCACTCATATGTTTCAAAATACTGTTGTCCAGGGAATCGGTCCTCATTTTATTTGGACATGTTGCTCTTGGTAATGGTATACTGGGACCTATCAAATAGAAAACAAACCTTGATGGGGAGAAGGAAAAACAATGTACGTATCGTCATGTTATTCTGCTTGTTTCTAGAGATGGTAATCAGATTTTTCACTGATCATTCTTTACCAAATATTCATGAGAAACACAATGCGAACTGTTTTTATCAAAATGGCTATAAATATCTATTCTTGGCGACTTTCATTTAACGAGGAGCACATTTCATCTATTATTTATAGGTCTGTAAGAAAATGCAAAAAGGATTTCGCCCTGTTAAAAGCTCTACTTGGTCGTTTCATGAGATAATAATGAATATTAGATTAATTCAATCAGCTCTACCACTGTTTTCCTAACCTTGGATTTTATTGAAAGGGGCAATCACACGAAATGTAATTTCTACTAGTAACTTAAAAGAATATCACTTTTAATACTAAAAAAACTGTTTATGGCAATGCTTGATACTAAAAGTTTGAATTTTCTCTGAAATACTGTCTTTTCCACAGATATTATTTAAAAAAGAAATTACAATTGCTACTTTCGTGCAATTGAATTTATGTATTCGCCTAAAAGTTAAATGCATTTTACCTTCAGCGACCCAGGGATGTTTCAAAATTTCATCCATGGTTATTCTTCTGTCTGGATCGGGATTTAGTAATTTCTTGATAATGTCTCGACAGTCTATAACAGTAAAACATTTCGTTTTTCTCAAAATCATTCTATTATATATATATATATGACTTACTAGTTAATTTATGAAGAGGTAATGGGTTGTTAGGTGCTGCTGTACGGATACAGGACACATCAATTATGTGTCGGACTATATCAAGTAAACTGACCATAGTCAGAACTCCCAATTGGTTTCTCTCATCAGATACAAATTGGGTCGATCATAATTTTCAATTATGTCTATCGTGAACATTTTGTCCGTGAACATTGCCCAATAACCGAAATGGATTATAAATACTTAGTCGATTATTCTGTCTTTGAACTCTGCGAGTAATTAACCTAATTAATTTTGCAATTATTGGATACTAATATGAACTAAAAGCTTACCTTTTGACACACCATCTGGAAGCGGGTTCATTTGGCCAGATATCATTTTGTTGTGTAAAGCTTTAATGTTAAAAGGCTCTACAGTAAACGGCAGATTCCCCGTCAACATGGCGTACATGTTTACACCACTGAAGTTGAATATATTCATTTAAATTTAGCAAATGTTTACAGGCATTTGAATGCCACGAGTTAATATTTCATTCGAGAAAATCGCTCCCAACATATATAAATTTACCAAATGCTTGTTTATTATTGAATACTTTTGTACAACAGTTACTATAAAAGGTATTTTTCCATTCAAGTAGACACATAAATTGTTTAATGTTTCTGTAACAAAAGGAACGAGAATCAAATATTCATTGGCATCCTTTATTTGAATGCCTTTGTTAGCGGTTTCACGTAAATAATTTTTATTTATTTATGAAAAGCTAGAAAAGCTTTTTATACTCAAGCAAAAGAACAATATTTAGCACATTAAGTGCAAAGCTTTAGTATTTGAAAACATCTGAATTAATGGTGAATATTGTTTATTACAAAATATTGAACATTAGGAATAAAATGATTGGAAATTGATAAAGTGATAGTTGCATGTACGAACAAGAAACAATAATGATCAATACTGGTATGAAATGGCAAATCATATTTTTAATTAATTAAAGGTTGATAGCAAGAATGAAGGTGTTTGATATACAGTAGTTAATTACAGTGATTGAAAACTTATTAGTTTGATAGAAAAAATTATATTAACATGACATTTTGTAAAATTATAACAATTTATATCAAGCCATGTCATAAGATTAATTAATAAACAAATATAATAGATTACATCAAGTTAGACTATACTTACATGCTCCATATGTCAACTTGAGGTCCGTACTTTTTACGACCAAGGAGTTCCGGTGCCGCATACGCAGGGCTCCCACATTGTGTGACACAGTACTCCTGAACTCTAGGCCCGTCTTTAGTCTCCACTACCTTTACACTATTACTTAGTCCAAAATCTATAATATGTTATATAATTTGTGAATGACCGACACATTTTTGATGATTCTGAACTATATAATTTGTATGACAGATGGAAATATAGTATATATAAGATTACGGCATTTCTGATTCAGTGTTATAACAAGCATTTTTGGTTTATATGAAAATTGTAATAGTGACTGATATCAAACCACCGTCATAGTTGTGCAATGATTGATCGGTTTGGTAACACTATCAAGGTAATATGCCAGCCTTCCCGCTGTACTGGTGGAGGAAGATCTCGAGTCTCCCTCAGACAAGAGAAGATAAGGTAAGTAAAACCATGGACCGCGCGTAAGCTAGCTGGATAGCTTCTTCACATGAAAGAATTATTTATCCCTGACGGGATTCGAACCCACAGCAGTGAGGTACAAGTGATTTTAAAGTTGGCGAATTTAACCATTAAATGTAATATGTATAGACATTTATGTTTCATTATGTATAATTTAGTATGGCAATTGTACATAAGCTTTGCTACCCAAATATAGAGGATCTATCTGTTTATTTGTGTTGCAGGTAGTCTTTACGAACATCTATTATTTTTGGAGATGAAAATTTGAGCATTTATACTCACCAATTATTTTCATATCTTTAAACTCATCCAAAAGTAAATTCTCTATTTTTAAATCTCTGAAGAAAACAATGACACAAGTTATATTGATCATTTTTGGAGTCAAAAGCAAACCACTCCCAACAAAAGTTAAACAAGAGGGCCATGATGGCCCTGAAGTCCCTCACCTGTATATAGGCCCTCCGGAGCGAGGCCAGTTTAAACCCAGGGCTTTTATTTGAACCAATTTGGTAGACACCCATTAGCAGGTCTGGCTGGTCAAGTTTTTTTCTTTACACATATAGTTAGAGACAATGACACACTTGGGGCAGGGCCAGTTTTGACCCCAGGGCTTTTATTTGAACAATCTTTGTAAACACTTACTAGGAAATGTTTCATGCTTTATATCTTAACTCTAGCTATTCGGGTTTTTCAAAGAAGATTTTTAAGTTTTTGCTATACACATATAAGGAAAATCAATGTCCCCTGGGCGGGGCCAATTTTGACCCCAGGGCTTTTATTTGAACAAACTTTGCAGACACTCACTAGAAGATGCTTCGTGCTTAATATCTAAACTCTAGCTATTTGAGTTTTTTCAAAGAAGATTTTTTTAAGTTTTTGTCATACACATATAGGGAAAATGAATGACCCCCGGGGCGAGGTCACTTTTAACCCAAGGGCTTTTTTGTTTTTTTAAACTTGGTAGACACTCACTAGAAGATGTTTCATGCTTAGTATCTAAACTCTAGCTATTTGGTTTTTTTCAAAGAAGATTTTTTAATTTTTTCTATACACATAAAAGGAAAATCAAAGAACCCGGGGCGAGGCCAATTTTGTCCCCAGGGCTTTTATTTGAACAAACTTGGTAGACATCCATTAGAACATGTTTCATGCTAAATATCTTAGCTCTAGCTCTTTTGGTTCTTTAAAAGAAGATTTTTTAAGTTTTTACTATATGCATATAGGGAAAATCAATGACCCCCTGGGGCGGGGCCAATTTTGACCCCAGGGCTTTTATTTGAACAAACTTGGTAGACACCCATTAGAAGATGTTTTATGCTAAATATCTTAGCCCTAGCTCTTTGGGTTCTTTAAAAGAAGATTTTTAAGTTTTTACTATATGCATATAGGGAAAATCAATGACCCCCTGGGGCGGGGCCAATTTTGACCCCAGGGCTTTTATTTGAACAAACTTGGTAGACACTCACTAGAAGATGTTTCATGCCAAATATCTAGCTCTTTGGGTTTTTAGAAGAAGATATTTAAAGTTTTTTCTTTTGGTTGCCATGGCAACCAGAGTTCTGCATGGAATCAAATTCTTTGAACAATTTTTAAAGGTGACCACCAAAGGAACATTCCTGTGAAGTTTGGATGAAATTGGCTTAGTGGTTTATGAGGAGATGTCATTTAACGGACGAAAAGCAATCACAAAAAATAAATAGATAAATAGATCAATTCTTCAATTTTTAAGAAACAAGAAATGTATCCATAGGACACAGGTGCCCCCACACTCCACCGATTTGTCAATCTTATGTCTCTAGATCAAATTTTTTTTTGGCTACATGGACCCAAGTTGAAAACTAAAAATCTTTTATCAAGAAAACCCCAAGGTGCATAAGTACACATGCTGACCAACATTCTTGTAAACTTTCACTAAGTCAAGGGCAATAACTCTAAAAATACTAAAAATATCCACACGAAAATACCCAGGTGCACAACTACACATGCTGAGCAACATTCTTGTAAGGTTTCATGACTCTAGGTTAAATACTTTTTTAGTAACGTGCCACACAAGTTGAAAATTGGAAAATTTTACTTATTCAAGGGCAATAGCTCTAAAAATACTAAATATATCCACACGAAAATACCCAGGTGCACAACTTCACATTCTGAGCAACATTCTTGTAAGGTTTCATGACTCTAGGTCAAATACTTTTTAGTTACATGCGACACAAGTTGAAAATTGGAAATTTTTACAAAGTCAAAGGCAATTACTTTAAAAATACTAAAACTATCCATACGAAAATACTCAGGTGCACAACTACACATGCTGAGCAACATTCTTGTAAGGTTTCATGACTAGGTCAAATACTTTTTAGTTATGTGCGACACAAGTTGAAAATTGGAAATTTTTAATAATTCAAGGGCAATAACTCTAAAAATACTAAATATATCCACACGAAAATACCCAGGTGCACAACTACACATGCTGAGCAACAGTAAGGTTTCATGACTCTAGGTCAATTACTTTTTGAGCTACGTGCGACACAAAAAGGGAACGAACGGACGGATGGACGGAAGGACGGACGGATGGACGTACGGACAAGGGTAAATCTAAATGCCCCTCCCCTATAGTGGGGGCACAATAAGTTTTTAGAAAAACTGATTAAAACCTATAACACAAGCATAATATGAACGCAATACTTGTTGTCAAATATGCAATTAATCAAGGAGCAACTTTATATACAGATATAAACTCTTTTCTGAATAAGTAATACGTCGAGTCAGAGATTATATTTTGCTAAGTATTTGTAAGACATATAGACTTTCAGTGTGAACCAACCTATGTAATATTCCCAATCTATGCAAATAGTCCACAGCAGAAACTATTTGGCGGATGTATTTCTTTACTTCATTTTCCGGCAGTTTTCTCTTCTGTGAAATATAGTCCATCAAATCACCGCCCCGACATAGTTCAGTAACTAAATAATAACTATTTTGTGTCTCCATAATCTCTAGCAAGTGTAGAATATTTGAATGACGTATCATCTGCAATATTTTTCCTTCTCTTCGTAAATTTTTACGAACATATGAATCTTCCCGACTTTTCTTCTTGTCTATAATTTTGACTGCAACCTGAAAAACACAAGTAGTGTTTAGATGACAAAGTAATTTAGTGCATGCTTATGGATCGAGAGATTACATGGAGAATCGCTACATAATTAAAAGATGCATGCTTTGAGAAGTGATTAGTTTAAAGACGTGAGAAGAATTGCTATACGTATGTAATCATTTTGCCAAGCTACCAGACGACATTATTCATTAAAGCTAAAGTTATTAAAGCGGATAATATGATGTTCTCTAATAGGAAAGATGTAACTTATTGCCAAGTTTGTCTGTAGATTGATGTATGTTTCACAGACATTTTAATTTTCCAGAACATTGATTAAAAATCATTGATACTGCTGACCATGATATAAATTAAACTAGGTAACTAGTTAACGTAAAAGTCGCACGTGCTGAATGAAACAACGCGAGATTTAACATGGTACTTATGACCGGGTCTGATTTAATAAGGCGTATATTTGTGTTCATTATGCTAAATACAGGATCTAAATATGGTGTATAATTGATGGTATCGGGGCATCTGTATACTCAATTTACATTCTGATCTGACAGGAAAATTAAGGGTAAATCCTCATTGAGTGCGAAATTAGAGACTTAATTTACAAATCAATTGATAATTAGTTTACTATAGGCTGAATTAGGACCCTTTTGATAAGGAGCCTATTTTAATTCGACCTATTTCACCCCTGATTACGATCTTGAATTAATGGTTCATTTTTGTAACTGAATAAAATATATATTCTTTTCTAAGTCTGTAATGTTCTTAAAAGGAAGATGTTACGTGTTGTGTTGATACATAATTGAAAATAACTTTCAATAGTTTTATATACAAAAGTCATAGGAACTATTGTGACGGAGAATTTCAGGACATTAAATGGATCTTGCTGAGCCGTGTATGTCCGAGAACTCTCCATAACACATTTGAGCAATTTAATCCAAAATACATTCATTTTATCTAGGATTCTTGGAATACTATGTTGGATTCTTGAACACAGAAATAATGACATAGAAAAATTACATTTTTAAGGAATACATATCTTTTTTCTTCGAGTTGAAAATGAAAGCTTTATTTTTTAAAACAATATATTTTGCTGTCTCATTGTAATTATGACATGTAGACAATGCTTATCACTTTTGTGTCCGTTGTACATGACATTTTTTCAATCAAACTTGGCTCAAATGTTCAACTCATTAAGACGATGCCATTCAGGTCAATTTAACACCACTGGATGTCTTAATATACAAATTTATGACCAAGATGATAGGTATGAATACACTGCTCCAGTTACAAGTCAAGATAATTATTTAAGTTTCCTGTCTAGGGATTCTTGAATCACTTTTCTCAGTACATAGGGGCAAATTGTGAAAAATGTAATCAAGAATTATTGAATTTGAACATTATTGTGACTCGTAATAAATATATACCAATCACATTAAAACTTTCATTTGTTTCAAAGATATTCAAGTAAAACAATTTCAAAATACAAAAAGTACAAACGGGTGTGACGTTGTAAAAAAAGCAATGAAGAGTTATAACCCTAATATTTCAAGTTTCAAATTGACATCTGTACTAGTTGTATAAAATTATCAGGACGGGACATAGTGACTACTATTAAGCTCCCTCTTAACTAAGTTTGGTGGGTTTATAATGAGAAATTATCATAAATATTAAATGCCATACTTTGGAAATGTTATTATTTTTTATGACAAAATTTTACTTCCTGTTTCTTACACGCATTGTTTTATACATACTACCCTTGATCCCCATTAATCAACTTTATGTATTTCAATAACATAAGTTTAAAGTTTACTTCTTTACTTTTCTTTTAAAAAGATTTTGTTCTTCCTTGACCACGTGGTCTTATCACTGTTTGTGTGATTTACAATTTAAAACCATTTTCAACGACTCTTCAATCTTTATTATAAATTCATTATACCTATTTAAAGGTACCCGATCAGTCGCGTCCGTGGTACTTGAATCACATTAGCCATATTTGAGATGCAATGACCTTTCTATTTACAGAAAGTTGGAGTGTCATAAAATGCAAATAAAATGTTTGTTAGGTTATTAAATCGTCTTTGTTCAGAAAATGTCAACAGTGTTCTTTAGAATTGTAAGCAAAGTATTTACTTTTTGATAGATCAAACACACTTCAAGTATAATATAACAAAACTATCAGGAAATTAATAAAATGCCGTTTACGCCACGTAAAATGTAGTTGTCAGTTCATTCTTATTTTTACTGTCATATAAAATATATCCAAATATTTATGTCCAGTTTTAGTTGAAAATATACAACATTTATAGCACGTATTGTAGCAAGCTATTGATTTGTTTGAGACTATACAACAAAGTATAAATATTATCTTGCCCGAGTTGTACAATTAAGGAAATGTTTTTGTTTCATAATTAATGTTTTGTTTCATAATTAATGCGTCCATTTCAAGCCTATAGGGATATCGATCTCATAAACATACACTGAAATCTACAAAGCTTTGCTGTGAAAAAAAAGTACGTGTCAATTTTGTAGTTTTAATTTTCAACAAAAAGCCTACGTTTTATTCATATATAAATTTTGAACCGTATCGTGATGCTATTGAAATAGAAGTTGTACTAATCTGTTCAGCTTTAGAATGTATAGATTAAAATGAATGTAGGTGCAGTAATCCAAAATCAGTCCGTGACAAATTAAAAATATAATTCGATAGAACGAGTTACTAAATTTGTCAAAGACATCACAAACTAAACAGATCTACCATGATAGTGGCTGAGATATTAAATAAATCGGCGTCTAAAAATTAGCTTCATAAATCGTCTAATAAAATTTCTGATTATGTTTTCAACTGCCAAAACAGCTAATAGCAATAAGCCATTCCTTACCCGTTCTCCTGTAGGAATATGGAGAGCCTCTTTGACTTTCGCAAATGACCCTTCTCCAAGCGTATTTCCAAGAAGGTAATTTCCAACCTTTTTAGAATGCGGGAAGTTTCGCAGGACATCTTTTGGTACATCAGTTACTTTTGGCGGCAAGAATGGCGTCGTATCATTCGGAAGCATTGAGATTACGGTCATTTTGTAAAATTGTAATATAGAGTCCAGACTCACTTCCGGCTAAGTCTCCATAGATCCTGGAATAGAGGAATGCTGTATACATATACGAGGCAGATTTAATTCTATATGTTAACTACGACGTAAATTTATAAGTCTCATATTTAAATTAATGAGGAATATTGTATGATAAATCCATTTGAATAGTATACTTATGTGATTATCTTCCTAATGTAAAATGCGTAATGAAAAGCTGAGAAAAAATTAATAGAATTATCTTTTTTTATGAATGATTACTAATACTAATAATTATGAATGTAACGTAACGCGTCTTTCCAGGGACAAAGTACAACTTTTTTATTCTTGGCAGAAACTTGGCACAAAATGTCGAAGTACATTAGAATAGAACAAATTCCTCTACGTAGAAAAACAAATTTAGTAAACATGAATAATAGAGTATCTATGTAATTCGATCATCACATACTTCCGTATATCACAAACAAAACTAACAAGTTTTTGTAAGATAACATATTAATTATTCAGAGTCAACAAGATCGCTTGTCCAGTTACTTGTTTTGAGTCTAAAATAAAACAAAGACAGAAAATTTTAACACTTAAAACTTATTGAATTTGAAAACAATCTATTCTCAAAACCAGTTTATAAAAATATATCTAATGAAAACAAGGTATGTCATCGAAAGTTTTTTTTTCGAAACACGTTAGAATATCTTAAATTATAGTAATTTGTGTGCCGAATTTTAAAGATATACTATGCTTATCTTTGGGCAAAAACTTTTGTTGCAGATTTTTTTTTTTGAAATCTAGGTACGAAATTCTTAGGGAATAAATTTAATTTGAATAAGAGAATGCAAAAACCACGTTTGTGAAGCTCAGAGTAGGTAGCCGCGTCTACTTCCGTTCCTCGCAAAAATACGATGTAAGTTATGTTAAGTAAGTTTGCAATAAATGATACATGATCGGAAATACCAGGTGTTTGTGCTCGCAATAAATCATACACATTGACTAATTCAGACTTGCAATAACTGATACAATAATTTCGTTTACACACCTTGAAGCTGCGTTCCCTATTACTGGAAAAGTTAATTTTGGTCATTTCATAAAAAAACTGCTAGTTTTATAACGACACTTTGTAATAATACTGTCTTTACCTATAGTTTGTAGAGTCAAAAACGTAACATGTCTTCTCTGTGCGTACTCAAACGATGATTATTTTACATTTAAAAAGAGACTGTGTAGCAATTAGCAGTATTTTTAAATAACAAATTTGAGCATAAGATACATTCAAATCTATCTTTCAAGTCTATATCAGTCAATGTCAATCACATATGACATATGATCCAGAAAGTGTTCATGTTCCCAGTGTCGTTTAGGTGGTCTATATAACGCGGTTTGATTGTAAATCAAATACCTATGGTATAATGACAAGAGACATTATAAAGATTGACATTGATACTTTTTTCGCTTAGAGATAATATTATTTATTATAAGCAGTATGAGAACGATTCAATATAGAACTTGAAATTAGTTCATGTACAACATGTACTTATACCTATTTCCCATTCTATATTTAGCTTCAGGTACAAGTTTTGATATTATTATTATAAGCGGAAATATTTTGGTCGTGCAGTTCCAACTAAATATAACCATGAACTATTTAACGTTTATTAATCCGTTATAGAAATTCTGTAATACAATAAATAATTATGTTGATAGTATTAAGAATCATATATACGTAATAACAAATCACGAATAGAACATATGGATGTTATTGGTAAGTGTAAGATATAAATGGTAGACAAAATGTTCTAAATAAATGTCTATACTTAATCATATAGAACTCTATCACTACATATTAAAAAAAACATATATTAAAATTATACATTTCTATTGTTTTTATCAATATTTGAAAAAAAAAACTTATGAGAAATGTTCTCATTTTAGACCAATTCACTTTAAAGGTCACTTACATTCAAATGTTTAAACAGCATGTACTAGTTGTCTCTCTACGGTGAATATATAAATACATACATTAAAAGCAGTCATCTAAAAATAGTTATAATTGTGATAAAAATTGTAAATATTATTAAGAATAAACGCCAAAAAAATGACACGAGAATATTAGAAACTAACTATAGGACCAGAACATTACACAATTTATTCAGGTACACGGTAAGAGCTGACTCAAATTTAAAAAATAAATAACTCATATTTTTTTAAACAGCAAATTTATCATCTGTTAAATCAGCTAAAATAATTGTCATATAACTGACATACATCGACTTTTTTTCTAAAATATATCTGCCATTTTCACTTATCTTTGACATCAAGTTTTGAATAAGTATGTAAAATGCACTCACCTAACATTTTGTTTGCATCAAATGTATGTATAAATCCATTGAAATGTTAAACTATTATAGGGTGATTTAGTTAAACTTCTTTCGACTGGTGTTATCAAAAATCACAGTACATCTGATAAAGTTCGACGGGCAATCAATAACTCACTAATTACCGCAGCTTTCAGATGGTGAAGATATTTATTTCTCTAAAACTTTTATTTTTTATTTAAAAGTTTTAAACTATTTTCAACAGTGCAGAATCATACGTTGCATTTTAACAAAGGCTCTACTAAAATAATTAAGTTTATAATTATGTAAAAATAATGACTTCGATTATAAAACATATAGTAGACTTGTAACATTTATTATAATTTTCAATATGTCTGTTCTGTTGGCTAATTGAAGCATAGAAATGAAAAAATAATTTATTAATATCATTCAAAATTAACAATCATTATTCATTTTCTTAATTCAAGTCAGAAAGTTAATTATCAGCACTTTATGTCCAATGTTTCCCTATATTGTAAGCGTCAGATTATCTGAATTAAGATCTCACTCGCTTCTTAAACACCATCCGTCACTTTATTATCACAGAAAACATTACATACCACTGGTTATAGTGTACGAGAAATAAAACCAATAGTTGATAGGCACGAGCCTTATTGGTTGTTTTGTTAAAAATATATTGAATTTCAAAGATACATATCAGTTTCACTTTTATTTCACCAAATCTAAATAACCATCGACATTTAGTACACAATTATACTTACATAGCGACGCAGAAATTCATTATTCAAATTTGACATAAAAAGATGTAAATCTCCAGGTTTAATTTTGATAAACACAATAGAGGCAGATATTGGTAAAAGTTATTGCACAAAAGTAAAATAAAATGTAGAAAAACGACTTGTTCTTACTTAATATAGTAAATCAAGACGTTGACACTACTATATGAGTCATTTTTGTTTGAGGAAACACGTTTTTGAGAAATAATCATTTTCACCGCGGACAAAATGTGCTTATATTAATATTTACAATGTAGTTAAAATGTAATTTACACGTGTGTTGTTTAAAGTTAATATATTATTATTGTTGTTGTCGCATTTTCTTCAAATATATATTATAAGTTTTAAAGATTTTTGACAGTTTATATGGCTTTATGGTTATATATAAACGGTTGTTTTCATATATAATCCAAGCAGTTAGAAATTCAAAATTACACGGGATGTATACTGAGAGCGATAAACTCCAGTTGAAGAATTGCACTTTTAGTAATACTGACAATCACAATATACACAAAAGTTCTCTTTTAATTCATCAATAACACGCGTATAATATTCCTTCATTGTCACACGTAAAATCAACGTGTTTATATTTGTTATGAATTGTAAGAAACGCGTGACGATAACTTCCGATAGGAAAAAAACTCGTAATATAGGTATTGGAAAATCTGTATACTAAATCTATACATGTGAATAGCGTGGACTCTCTTGTGAGTTAAAGTCCAATTATATACGCACGTTCATTAATTAAACATATGCACGGACACTGGATTCTTTGTTATATGATACGCCTAGAGATTATAGAATGATCCATTACTAGAACAGTTATATGCCTCGTTACTATATCGATCTATTGTTTTAATTCTACGTTTTAGAAATGTACAAATTAAATTTGCATGACTCTTTAGTCTTTACCAGTCAACGCGAAACACAACTAAAACATTCAAATAAACTCTTAATAAAATCTTAATGGTATTGTTATTAACAGAGATATTCACAGTGTATTGTTATGGTTTTATATGAAGTTTAACAGAACAGAATTTATATATATAATATGGCTTGAACATAACAGTTTCTATTCATATTTTCCTTTCTGATATCCTCATTGATTTATTACAAAATATTGCTTTTTTATTCAAAGTATTTGTATTACATGTATTGAAAATATCAACAGATTTACACATACTATAGGATGCATATAGTAATAAGTAACGTTATTGTTTGGCAATATTGGCCTGAGACTGGTTAGTTTTTTTTTTGGTTTAGGTTTTTCGTGTCTTTTTTTTTCTAATTTCATTACTTTAATACTTATGCCATGTTCCGTAATATAGGTAAAGACGTATAATGAGTGATTAGCATGAAACGCACACACAAAAAAACATCGTGATAAAGTTTCACAAAATATGATAAAATTAAAAACAAATGAATTAAAAATTAGATTTGAACATATAACCTTCAATTTGAAACTGAAAGCCTTATCTATATTCTCAATTGGTTCATATCTACATCTATGTAAAGATGTATAGTTATATACCAGTACAATGCACCACTACTTAATTAAATGTCCATGCACAAATATAGAGAACATATTCAAACAATTATTTTGAGTTTCTTTTTATTTTTCAATATGTTATTATTACAAATAAAGTAAAATACAATAAAAATCAACCAACCTTTACTCCAGTGTATTGTAAATCCTACATGCCTTCATACTGGTATAAATATAGGAATTTAGTTTGGCATTGTTGCCTCTTATTGAATTTATCACAGTTTTGTTACGAGTTGTTATATATCAAAGTGGTCACAGTTACCTATACGAACAGGCAATATTCTGTCATCCCGATAAATTAAGTTTTTAATTAAGTCCTATGCATGGATGTAAAATAGTTACATTAGAAATCTTAAAACCTTTTTACGACTGACAATATGTAAGCTATAAATAAAATAAATTCTTTTTCATCTGTTTTCATTAAACTTTATTACTTTTATATCCTAGCAAATTATTACGCCTTCAATGCACGGCCAAGTGTTATCTGGTGAAAACTTTAACATCATACGTTCCTATTATGTAGATAAATATAAACCATGTTGTATTATTAACTGATTTTGCCTTATAAATGTCAATAGACATGCAAACACGAGGATGGCTAAATCAAACAATTTCTGTTTCGTCTATGTTTACATTATGGCACGAACAATTGCTTTGATATTATTTATTTATTCATTTATGGTATTTTACACTCATAAATCTGTCGCCAGAAAATAACACTCCGTGTTTACGTATACGCTTTATCTTAAATTAAAATTTTCTTTCCGAATTTTGTTGTAAATGAAGACAGTTACTTATATATGTTATATAAGAAATGGGTAGATATATATGAAAGAGACACTTATTAAACATATATAGCAAGCGTTAAGACATAAATGAATGTGAAGAAACATAAAATGAGAAAGTCAGTGAATAGTATAATATGTATGAGCATGATTGTGAAAACCAAAAGTATGTGAGGGGTATATGATCAAAACGTTTTAGAAGTTGAAGATAACATATGTGAACATAAGAAACGGTAGAAAAATCATCTGAGCATTGGACATAGGTCAATATTAAGCTATATCATCTGAGCAGTGTAAATAAATAAAACAGGTCTATAAATGTAGGATATCTACCTTATGATAGTATGTTAAATATCTTACTGACCACAGACATTAAAATTTTATAAGGTTTTATGTCAGTTTTAGCGACAGACAATAAACAGTAATAGAATGATTATGTATGACATTTTATTTTGTGTTTGTCTCAATTGCAATATCTGCACAGTAAACCCAATATAACTGAATTCCATTTGTAAGTCGATGCAATTTGACGTATTATATGTACACATTCATAACTTATAGAATATACGTCAGCCTTCCAAAATCGTACATTCTATTCTTTTGTCGAGACAGGGAAAGTACAAAGAAATGAACCAATTAAGTCAAAAAACTATATACCACAGGCATTGATAATCCAGGTTACACGGTATAAAGCTGAAACCTCAAATTATTAAGTATTATGCAGGTCAGTGAGTATCGGTTCGAACATAATATTGCATTGTTGATTTAATGGTACCAATGCCTCACCTTTCAGTCATAGTGCATTACCCGAGTCATCTTGAAATGTACAAATCTAAACTTAAAAAAATCCCGCTATCTGATTGCAATATTCTTAACATAATAAATGTAAACGCTTCAAAAAGTAAATATTCAAGATGAAATTGGCTGGCTCGAGTAGTATGTACAGCGATCGTTGGTTGGGTAAGGTCGATGACAAACCCCAATATTTTTAGTCTTTCAAGTAATTGAACGATCGTACAAAACTCAATAAGTATAAGACAGCCACTTCTATATTCATATGGTACATATAATGAATAATAAGCAATAATATTTGTATTGAAGCCCTTAACAAGAAAAGTTTATCGTCGTGATTGGTTAAAGTCAATATTTATTATTTTTAAAAAAGATATTAAGCAAAGCAAGTCAATCCATTCAGACACGGATTTAAATTACAATAAATCCGTGATTCAGACAGATATTTAGAGAGGTTCAGTGTACTCAAGACCAGTGCCCCATGATTTTACGTTTTCCAAACAACACTATGAATAATTAATACAAATCTTACGTAGGTCTATGCACTAGATGTGCTAAATTATTCATTACTGACCTAAGCTAGGAACTCATTCAACTCCGTTGTACATAGACCATATGAAGCAAATGGGCAAGCTGTCAGCTTTTAAAAACTCATATCTTTTAAAAGACTTTATAAATCATATTCTATGACTTTATATAAAACCTACTTCAAGAAAAATAAAACTATCTTTATCAGTAGGCTAGGGCCTACTTCAAGAAAATAGGATGCAATCAGGTAGAGAATTTAGCTCTGCTGATTTAATTACCAAGATCGGCAAAAACTGCGTTTCCGAACCTGAATTATGCATGTAGATCTATATGTGCGTAGGGAATTAATAATAGAATTTTCTTGAAAACTGGGGATTTAGATCTATTGGCGGTACGTTTTCTTTTTAATGCCGTGACCAAATAGAGTCGAAAACGACACGTCAAAACACTCGCCAATGTATTAAAATATGTCTTGCAGACGACCGGAAGTCCGAAACGTAGATTGGTAAAAAAAACCCCCAAAAATATTATTGTCGTTGAGATTTAAATATTGTTAGATTTTGATTATGTAGATATAGCTATGTAATAGTTCAACATTATATTCTATCATGTCTTTACAGTTTATGTTTAGAAAGAAACTTAAGGAACTAGAATCTATCGATGATATTATTTCTGAAAATAACAATAACAATATCCCGGGACAACCAATATTCAATCAGTTAAGCTGTTTTTAGCCAATAATAAATGGAAAGGGAAATTATACTTTAAATTTATTTTAGCTATTAATGCATATATTAACACTTATTCATTTTCAGGTTGGTACATTTTCAACAAGTCTTGATCTTTCTTAGAAATACAATAAAAACAATATGACCCACTCGGGTTACTGCCAGAAATATTTTAACCTAAATTCAAACAGCAGGGTAATCACCATAAAAAATCTGTTAAAGATAAATCAGGGCCACTAAAAATTGTAGAAAACTTCTCAATAGTCTATTCAAAGATTTTCAACAGTTTTTTCAAGATTTTAAAAAACTTACACTAAATGATAACAGCACAATGCATTGGTATGACTACTGTTAAGGTGCATAAAAAGGCAGTTAAATGTGTCACTTCTTAGTACGCTATTTGGGGTGCAAAATGATAAATGCATCCAATCTTTACAGTCATTTTACCTTCCCCACTTTAAAATATAAGCAAATATGGAAACTTGTCTAGATCTGCCAGCTGGTATCGCTTACAAAACAATTATTCTACAATCACCACATGAAAATATTTGGTAACAATATAGGATTTTATTAATAAGGACCCCCGTGTAAAGTCTGATGAAAATTTAGTGGTACATCATATAAATAAATGTTTTAAATACACCTAGGACTGAGGTAAATGGTAAAACTCTTTAGCCAATACTTTATAAAAAAATTAACTTGCTTACAAAAAATTTTACCACCATTTTAAACAAGTGACTATTTTGATATAGTGAAAGTTGGACAATTTATATTGTGTCACTTAAAACAAACATTTTCCTATTGTTTTTCTGAAAACATCTGACAATTAATCAAGTGTGGCATTTCTGTAAGTTTAGAAGTTAATATAACATGTGACTTTATGCAATTTAGTCAGGCATGACATCAGTGCCACAGAATTAAGAATGTGTTTGAATTTAGGTTGTGATTGAAAATTGGTTGTTTCGGGATATTATTGAAACCCAAATCAAGAAGTGCAAATGTATTTATACAAATGCTGACCAATTGCAAAATAAATTGAATGAGCTTCAAATACTTGTGACCAGTATTAAACCGGACTTTATATTTGTGACTGAAGTACTACCGAAATATAACGTGGACAATTTAACATGTTCTTCATTATTATATAAACTCGATGGTTAAACCTTGTTTCCTAGCTCAGACCATGGTAGAGGGGTGAATATATATGCGAGGAATGATCTAAATATTTCTGCTAATGAACATCTTAATTCTATGTATAATGATGCATCCTGATGTGACTGGTCTATTGAAGAAAAAACTGTACTTGTTGGCTGCATTTATAGAAGCCCTTCTAGTGTAGAAACGTGTGACATAATAAATAACATGTTAAAAGAAGCAATTAGAATTAGTTCTAATCTACTTGTAACAGGAAATTATAACATGAAAGATGTTGATTGGGAAACATATAGTACCCCCATAGTGAAAGTCATCATGAATATAAATTTATTGAGTGTATACGTGATAATTACTTATATCAGCATGTAACACAGTTTACGAGATGTAGAAATGACCAGATAAGTAATGTGTTGACTTAATTCTTTCCTTGTGTGAATCCAATATTAACAATATTGAATACTTACCTTCTTTGGGCTGTAGTGATCACGTTATATTACTTTTTGATTTTCTTTGTGAGTTCAAAGAGCTGTATACTGGAAATGGTTTTTACATGAATCTAAAATGTGACTTATTAGGATTCTCTAATGAATGGCAGCAATTAGATTGGATTTTGCTTTTTGAAAATTGTAATATCCATGAAATGTGGGAAATATTTTCAAATAAGTTCTATGAATGTGTTAATAAATATGTTCCAATGTCTAAACCTAAGAAAGAATTTAAACCGAAACCACTTTGGATGACTGGGGAAACCCTCAAACATATTAAAAAGAAAAGACATGCATGGGATAAGTACCTTGCAACAAGACGCCATGAGGACTATGATGAATACAAAAGTATAAGAAATGCTGCAAATGACATTATTAAAAATGCTAAAAGAAGTTATGAGAAAGATATATCACGCAAAGCTAAGACAGAACCAAAACATTTTTGGAAATATGTTAAGAACAAGACTAAATCAAGAGATGGTGTTTTCAGTTTGAAAGACGAGAATGGTAATTTTACAACCTCAAACCAGCAAAAGGCTGAATTGTTAAATGAGTTCTTTACAACAGTATTTACAAAAGAAAATTTGGATTGTGTACCTAACATGAAAGATAAGACTGTGTTAAAAGACCTTGATGATATACATATCTCGGAGAGTGAGGTGTTGAATTTATTAAAGGAACTTGATCCAAATAAATCAATGGGTCCAGATGATATACACCCATACATAATAAAGAGTCTGGCTGATGTTTTTGTTGGGCCGTTAACCGCTATATTTAGAAAGTCACTTGAAAACGGATTACTTCCAAATGCATGGAAAGATGCAAGAGTATCGCCAATTTTTAAAAAAGGAAGCAAAACAAATCCTAGTAACTATCGACCAGTTAGTCTAACATCAATATTGTGTAAAACATTGGAAAAAATTATTTGAAAGCACATTATGAAACATATTGAAGAAAATAAATTATTATCTGACAATCAGTATGGTTTTCGGACAAGAAGGTCTTGTGCTTTACAACTTCTAAATGTATTAGAAGAATGGAATATTTATATGGAAAATTATCAAAGCTGGGACACCATATATCTTGATCTAGCAAAGGCTTTCGATAAAGTCCCACATGTACGTTTATTAAATAAAGTGTCATCTTTTGGAATCAAGGGAAATGTATTGATGTGGATAAAAAGTTTTCTTTGCAATAGAAGACAGTGTGTATCAATTAAAGGTAGTACGTCATTGTGGAAAGCAGTGGATAGTGGAGTGCCGCAAGGTAGTGTGTTGGGGCCGGTACTTTTTATTATGTATGTGAATGATATCACAGATAATGTCAAATCAAGCATTAAAATATTTGCTGATGATACCAGTGTAAGAAATTCGGATTTGAAACCACTAGGCTGGTCGGACTACCAGATTGGAATATTTACTAGCCCAAAAGACATTTCACTAGCACGATTCATTTGTTCAAAACTGTTGATTATATTGCCTCTGAAAATACAGTAGCCTGGCCGGGCTTGTTACTTTGAAAAGTTGGTAGCCCAAGGAGAAATTTAGTAGTCAGGGGCTATAGGACTACTGCTATTTCGAACACTGTGATACAAAATTGTATACACCAGCTAGCAAGTCGGATGTCCTCCAAAATGATATTGACTCAATTATGAACTGGGCAGTAAAATGGGAAATGAACTTTAATGTTGATAAATGTAAGGTGATGCATTATGGTCATGCAAATCCTCAAAAACAGTATGTTATGAATAACAAGACTTTATCGGATACTCAAGAAGAATGTGATCTAGGAGTTATTTTTGAAAAAGATCTTAAATTTAGCAAACATATTTCTACAAAGATTAATAAGGCGAATAGTATTTTAGGCCTTATTAACCGGTCTTTTGAATTTTTAGATGAATACACCTTTGTGAAATTGTATACAGCTTTGATTCGACCTCATGTTGAATTTGCAAATGTTGTGTGGAATCCATATTTAATAAAAGATATATCAAGTCTAGAAAAACTTCAACAAAGAGCAACAAAACTAGTTTCATCATTAAAAGATCTGACATATATTGACCGTCTTAAAAAGCTTAAACTGCCAAGTCTAATACATCGCAGATTAAGAGGGGACATGATTCAGAATAGTAAAAGGCTTAGATGACTGTGTTTTTGAAAATTTTTTTAGTTATTCGGCATCAACAAGGGGACATAATTTAAAACTAGAAATGCCTCGTAGTAGAACAACTCATTGCCTACATCAGTTTTCAAGACGTGTAATTAAAACATGGAATAATTTGCCAAAAAATGTAGTAGACTCAAAAAGTGTTCATGAATTTAAAATAAAACTAGACCAACACTGGACCGGAGAAACTCCATATAAAGTTTAAAATGTTTATTGAAAAATTATGCTGTTATAATTGTATAGCAGAGTGAACAGAAGTAGATAAAAGTATATATAATTAAACATAGAAGTGGTGAGAGCAATAAGAAGAAGTACTGAAAGATTGTCAAAAGAAGAGGGGCTTAAAAAGGGCTTGGCCCTTCCATCAGAGCCCAAAATCATCCTACAGGTATCCTACAGGTATCCTACAGATACCATTCAGTAAATTTTCTGCATCATGCCTATTTCTTCTTCTTCCAATATACTGGCCACCTTCAACTAACTGAAGTTTACTGCCAGGTTAATGTGCAAGAGGGAAAGAAAGAGTTAAAATAGTGAGGAATATATACAGTGCAGGTTAAAAACGGACAAGAATGTGGTTTAGATATAGAGTTGGGACAGATGAGTACGGAATGACTCAACAGTCAACTGTACGGTGTACCGGCTGACGTAGCATCCCAAGGGAGGCTGTTCCAGTCTTTGATGGTTTGTGGGAAGAAGGATTGTTGATGGTATTGTGTACGGCAGTAGGGAATCTTGTAGGATAAGTTATGTGTATTTCTTGTAGATGTGGAGTTGGAGGGTATGAGTTGTGAGTTGTCTAGAGCGACCTTGTTGTTGATGACCTTGTAGAGCATGATCAGTCTAGCCTCCTTACGACGTTCTTGTAGTGATTTCCATTCCAGGTCTGCAAGCATGTCTGTGACGCTGAACCTGTTGTGATACTTGTTCTTAACATATCATGCAGCACGTCATTGGACCATGTCTAGACGTGTATGTCTCCCTTCCCGTGGGGGTCCCAGACAGTGCTTGCATACTCCTGTGTGGGGCGGACTAAAGCTTTGTAGGCGGTTTCTTTGGTGGCAGTAGAGGCGATGTTAAGGTTTCTTCGCAGGAAGCTGGTGGTATGGTTGGCTTTGTTACAGATGTTATTTATAAGTTTGCCCCAGTCTAGGTGTTTATTCAGCCTCAGGGTACATCCAAGGTATTTAGCTGATGTGACGTGCTCTAGAGTATGACCATGAAGAGTTTAGTTGTGGCAGATGGGGCTTCTATTCTTGGAGATGGTGAGGATTTGGCATTTGTCTGGGTGGAATGACATTTTCCATTTCTCTTCCCAGACAGCTAGTTTGTTGAGGTCAGCTTGTAGGGTGGAACAGTCAGACTTGTTGGTGATGGCAAGGTAGGCCAGTGTATCATCTGCAAAAAGTTGGTCAACATCGCAGTCAGTGAATTTAGCACTGGCCCGGTGACCCATGGCCAGTGAAAATTAAAGTATTAAAGGAAAGTATTTTAAAAAGGGAAGGTGCTTCAAGAGCAATGAAAACTAAGTTTAAAAGGGAAAATTGCAGACTCAGTTTTATTGAGTCTATGATAGCAGTCTTTTTTTCTCTACTTTGGGAATGATGCCGGTACCAGACTGATCGGGAAAAAATGCGTTATTTTGATTTAAATTGGGAATTTTTTGTGTGCATTTTTTCAGCTACAAATAAGATTATAAGTCATCATGAATAAAGATAGCTAACAGCTCCCACTGTCCAGGTAGAACTATTGAGTGATGATTTATATGAATATGTTGGATTTAAATGATTTCGGAGAAATCTCTTGGCCTTGTGGAAATTTTGAACAGCCATTTTGGGAATTTAACCATTGGAAATTGGGAATTTTAATGTCTATTTTCTATTGGGAACAGTACCGTTTTAGGGTAGTAGTTAAAGAAAGAAAATACTGGATAGATAATGGAAAGTGCAACATCCCCCATGCAGGGAAGTCTATATTAAGCAGGGTCTTTCAAATAAAATGGTCTGGACCAATTTCATGAAAAAAGTTGTCTCAGCTGAGTCATGTGATAATAGCAATGCAACAATGTGAACATGATTTTTTCAAAACCAAAATAACAGTATCCCTGTTTCTCGTATTATTATGGTTTCTCGTATTATCGTGGAATTATTAAAACGGATGGAATCGACGCTTGCGTCTTCAGTCGATATCCGAAAACTTGTCGATTTAGCAGAGCTTTTTCATCACCGGCAAAAATAACGAAAGAAATGCGACAAAAACAGGTAAAAAACAAAATAACTGGAAATTATCATAAAATCCAGAGAAAAAACATTAAATTTATCAGTTTTTTCTCCAAAATCATCAATTTTCTAGATTTTTTCCATGTTGCAGAAACCTCACTGCGCCTCAAATGACGGTCGAACACTACTATATGTACAATACAGCTCAAAATATTTGTTCCACAAATACATAACATACAAAACATATGAACTCCAATTAAAAACCAATAATGAAACATTGTTTGACCTTATCATTTTTTATTTGTTTGGGTCGTCAGACCAAACAAATAATGGTAGCGAAATTTCAGAGCCTAATGCTGTTAATTTCCAATGCCTAAAGTAGTGCACTTTTTTGAAGCGGTTACTTCCCTTTTTATGTAAAATTCAGGGGAGATCAATGCGTAAAGATTGTCAAATGACAGGCGCATTAATTTTCAAGCAAAGTAGTTCCCGAATGGTCGAAGATTTCTAATATTGTTTCATTCTTTATAGATATACATGCTTATAGTAAGCTCCATGATTATTTACATCTGTGTTAAACAACAGGTTTAGCATCGAAATAATAAGAGTTACAAACCCTAACTTAGAATAATATGGTTTTCTTCAGGCCGTGAACATATAACTTCACTGTGGCCAAGGGGTTTGCACACTCGCTTATGAATCGAGAGGTCTGGAGTTCAAATCCCAGTTGAGGCAACTCATTTTTTAAAAAATTTTTTAAGTCAAATAAACATTCAATTGACTATCAATTTACTACAATTAAAACACTGGAAAGAATTGGTGGCACTATACAAAAACAAATTGGTTTATAATCTCACAACCTTCACCTTTCTGACATTCTTAGACCCAAACAAATTCAGCGCCTTCTGTGCTTTGATTATTTTTGACATCAAAACAACAAAAATAGAATAAAATCATCACATAGCGACCAGCCTTAACAACCAATCAAATTCCAAGATAATAGGAGAAAGAACCTGCTTCACATAGAGGGTCAGTATATACAAGTAGAAATATTTTTTGTTTTGCTTACGGTTACGATCTTTCTTCCATTATATTTTCTTAAAAAGGTATTTGCAGAAGCATTTGCTACTTGTACGCAACAGACGCAGTGTACCGCTTTCTGACTTATGGTATCTTTTCAACTCGGGCTTGGCTGCAGAACCTTATAATTCCTTTCCATCAAGATAGTTCTTTTCAAAGGTTATTGGCTGCTCCAGTCACATCTGCAATGCCAACTAGTTAATGAAACCCGCAGAAGAAATTGTTCATCTGACCGCACATTTTTTTCTCATCTTCACTGAGCTGCTCATAGTTGTCTATTATCTCTGGTAGCACTGAGTTTCTATATTCTTGTAACAGAAAATTAAAATGCTTCTCCGTACTTGCCCTGTCAGACATAGTGTTTTTAATGAGAGACAATAATTGTAAGCGGACTCCGAAGTCATTGTTATTCTCCTATGTTTACAGTATGTTGATATGTCTTCAAGTATTACTTTAAAAGTGTCTAGAGTACATTCTCCACTCTTATTGACCATTTCTCTTAATCCAAGCAAGTATGAGTTGTCAGAATCTGATACAATGTATGATTGATATGTATGTCCATACTTCCTTGTTTCATCCGTGTAAAGGGTAGTTTCTTTTTTACCTTTTAGTACATTTCCAATTTGCTTTTGGGCAATCGCACATTTCCAATTTGCTTTTGGGCAATCGCATTTTTTCTATCAACAAATTTATCTACCACTTGTCTTGATGGTACACTGATAAGGTTCATAATCTACCGACCGTGATCTGGCACAGAACATCACCGTTAAAAAATCAAATTATAAAAGAATGACTGAAAACTAACCCTGGATGCAGTACACTATCAGTTTTTAATTTGAAATGTAACAATTTTATAGATTTGCAATGAAATTTATTGTTCCCAGTGTCAAGGTAAAAATCTACTGCTCATATTTGAAATAGGTCCTTGTTTCATAGGCTTTTTTAATTTTATGCATTGTATACTATGTTATTTACAAATATTTTATGTTTAATTTGGTGCATTTTCAAAATGGCGCCGTTTTTTAACATTAAAGAAATCTATATTTGTCAACAGATTATGGCTTTAAAAACATTATTTTCTAAAATATATGTTTTTCACAAGTTTAAAGATTTTTAAAGAACATCATGTTGTGAGAACTTTCATTTTTACTCTTGTATTCAATTGTCACCCTTTTCTTGAACATTTTGTTTGTTTGTTTGTTTCATTTTACGCCTTTTCCCAACAGTATTTCAGTCATATAGGCGGGTAGTTTCCTAACCATCGTTCCTGGAGAGTTACACCAGTACTAGACTACCTTCCTCAGTGTTAAACTACCAAAGCATCTACCACGGAGGCGGTTCTCTTGAACATTTACATAATTTGCATACATGTATGTACAGCAAACTATACGGGTTATACCGAGACAAGTTTTATTGTAGTGAGAAGGGTTTACATAGCGTATTTCCAGACCATTCTATTTGAAAGACCCTGATATAAGCATTCATCTATATGAGCATTCATACGACAGATATAAAGTAAAAAGTGTTAAAAATTTCAATAAATTGGTCAAACACAAAACATATTTTCCATTGTAGAATTTGGAAGCAGCTGGTTGGAAGGATGTTTGATGAACTGCAGAGCCTGGTAGCTCAATTTAAAGGTACTTTACTTGCACAGTTTTTGTTCTATCTTCAAGAATATGAAATTTATAAGGGTTAACCCTAACACTTCAAATTTGTGTACAAGATTTACCCTGACTTGATGATTTGTCTGGTGTTTAAAGTTAATTAATTATAGGATTTCGGCATTAATTTATGCAATCATAAATATCAGAATTTAGCAGCCGACAAGGCACTGGTTAGACTACTAATATGACTGCTCATACTCTATAGTCCTACTGGTGGCATAAACAAGTCATTAGGACTGATTTGGTTAACATATTATTTTATAACTGGCAAATGACCACAAGGTTAAAATAATTTTCCGTCAAAGTTTATCTAAAATTCACGAAGTTAACTGTATAATTTTGAATAGAAACTGAATAAATTTGAAGATCACAACTATTTATTTTTGCATGATTATTTATACCAGTTATTGATATAAAGTATGGATATTAAAATTATAAACTTAACATCAAATACTGTATTAACCTGCTATCAAGCCATATACACAAAGTGTCTACTATAATATCTTTCTTTTCTTTGTATTAGCATTAGCAACTGAGATTTCTGATGAGAATGCATTTTCAAATTGTACTAGTAAATGGGTGGATAACTTGGACAGAGGTATCAAGTTATGTGAGGCATTACCTCATTTAGAATCTATTAATCCAGGACAGTCTGCACAAGTTTCTGAGGTAAGCCCCTAGAATATTCATATACTCTTTGCAGGGAAAGTTGAACAATTAGAAACAAGACTGATCATTCATGTTCATAGTCTTCGGTAACATACCCAGTAATTTTTTTTTTCAATTTTCAAAACAACCTGGGGATTTCTGAAGGGGGAAATATAGCGTGATAAATCAGAAAAGGGAAAAATCAAATTCCAACAATTAAGAATGGAATTTACCCACAAATTTTTATAAAATTTTCAATTTTAATTCAATTTATAATGTAAAGTACATAGCTGAGGCTATCTATAAGGATTCTAGCTGATATATAAGTTGGCTTTTGTTAAATCATGGTTCTGGTGACGAATGTGCACATGGCATTTAAGGTAAATATATTAACAGTTTTTGGGGAATATATACATATTTTGGGCTAGGAGAAACAGCCTTTATTCGGCTGTCAAATACAGGGAAAAAAGCACTGATACCATACAGTTTGTATTAATAATATCTGTCATATTTGCGGTTTGGATCGAAATATCCGTCCCGAGGTGACCCGCCCAGATATTTTTTCTTGCATATTCAACCATATTCCATTATATTTTGAATTCTTTATCTTTATTTTCAATGGAAGTTTATATCATTACAACATAACTACTTTCTTGAAACAGCGTATGAATTACAACTTCATTCATAATGGTAAAATGACGTCATCCTAAGCGTGCCATTGTACAGCACGCGACTCATCTGCCAATGCCAGATAAAATTTCCGGCATGTGTAAAACTCCAGTCTGATATGCAAGAAATGTCAACAACTTTATAAATGTCAGGACTGGATGCTATTTCTTGAACTAAACAAATTAAATCTGAAAAAATATGTGCTCCAATATTACCTAGTTGGAAATTAGGCAATGCAGAATTATTTTTTTTCATTCATGCTCCTTCCAATAGTACAATGTAGTACAAATGTACTTTTGTTGTACTTGATTTTATACAGAATTTTTCTATTTTACAGTTATCTATATTTTTCAGTTAGAGACTATTGCATTAGGACTTTGGAACCTTTCTGTTGCATTAAAAACAAAGGGAATGGTGTCTGCAGTTTCAAATGCCAAAAGCAAGTATAAAACAAATCATTTAATGTTAACTGATTAACATTCTGTCTTTGTCAATTTGTTTGAAATTGTTTGTGTAGAACAATTGTATGATATTATAGAATATTATATAATATACATTTTTAATATGACTTTAAAATGAAATTCTAATGATAGACTGTCAATTTTCAGAATAAGCAAAGTTGATATAAACATGTAATCATTATATATTGTTGCTTTATTTTGATTAAATCACTTCATGTATTTTTGTATTAATACAATTTGTATGTTGAAACGGTTCAGGATGTTTTGTCAACAGTAATTGTGATTCTGCTATGTGCATAAAGAATGAACAGGATTAGAATCTAATATTATGAATAGCTGGAAAAATGATTTTGCTTCATTATCATTATTCTGAGGTAATTGGTTTATTATTCAGAAAGATGATGATAATATAATATGTTTTGAAATAATAATTTGGAAAATGCATGGTTTTTACAGTACGTCACATTGCATTTTGGATGCTGGAGTTTTGTGGACAATGTTTTGAGAATGAATCCAATCTAAAGAGACTGATAATGGTACACTTTCCTTTCCTCATCATTTTTATTGTATGATTAAATCTTTTTAAAAAAGACTTTTAATTTTTACAAAAATGCTAATTGAAAAGTTTATCGTGCATAGCTAAATTAATGTTCCATTAATAGACTTGTTACGATAAATAGTAACAAATTTTGAGCATGATTTCAACAGTTTAAAATGTTTTTGGCACAGGGTCGGAAACAGCCCACTTAAATTAACATAGACACATGCAAAATGTGAAATATAATGTAACATTTGATGTAAACGAAACAAACTAATTGAAAGTAAATATTTTGAAGTAAAAAGTTTTTACAATGAATTGAATTGAATTGAATGTACAATGAATTGTTTGATTTTATGATTAAACTTAAAAGTCATTTAAGTTACTTTAACATTTATCAACAAGTTTATTACAGACTTTAATAAAACATAAATATCGAGGATGGGCCGGAAAGTGATAAAAGTTTTTATTTACTTTTTGTTCCATTTTTGTGTTGCCTCTACGGAGTAATGGCAACATATAGGGATCACTTCTCCGTCGTCTGTCTGTCCATCTGTCCGTCACAAAACTTGTCCGGACTCACTCCTCATAAACTACTGGTGCAATTTCATCCAAACTTTACAGGAATTATCAGTACCAAGTCTAGTTGTGCATATTGTCAGAATTTTCCGGTTCAATGATTTTTGTCAGAGTTATGGCCCTTTAATAATTTTTATTTTTAAAGTTTGTCCGGACTACTTCTCCTATACCACTAATGCAATTTCAATGAAACTTTACAGGATTGATCTATAGCTCAAGTCCTTGCGCATATTGCACGGGTTTTCTGGTGGAATGATTTTTTGCAAAGTTATGGCCCTTTGATAAAAAGGTGTTTTTTTCTGTGTGTTGCCAGATACACAAAAGCTTGTCCGGACTACTCCTCATAAACTACTGGTGCAATTTCATCCAAACTTTACAGGAATGATCAGTACCAAGTCTAGTTGTGCACTGTCCGTCTGTCTGTCCGTCTGTCACAAAACTTGTCCCAACATGAAATTGGCCATCATGAGGCAACACATGTGATCAGTGATCGCTCTTGTATCATATATAAGAAATTTTAATAGTCTATTGTTCAAGAAAAATGTAACTGACTTATGTATACTGTGATAATTTGAAGTGCCCCACTGATTTTAAAATTTACTCCAATGATTTTAGTGGTATGAACTTTGAGTTTGAAACTATCAGTAGTATTAATATTTTACTGCAATTTCTAGATGGGGCTAAAAACTGGAAGGGCTTGGTTAGGTAAATTTAGTTCTTAATTGATTGCATTATATTTTTGTTTCAGTTTGCTTTCTTTTTTTTGTTATAATTTTATAATGCCCCCCTTCGAAAAAGAGGGGTATATTGTTTTGCTAATGTCGGTCTGTCTGTCCGTTGGTAGACCACATAGTTTCCGCCGAGTATCTTGAAAACTGTTTATCACAAAGTCATCATATTTCATGTAGGGATTGGTCATAACTAGTAGATGACCCCTATTGATTTTGGGGTCACAAAGTCAAAGGTCAAGGTCACAGGGGCCTTAAATGTCAAAATGGCTTCCGCTGAGTATCTTGAAAAGTATTCATCACAAAGTGTTCATATTTCACATATTGATTGGTCATAACTAGTAGAGGACGGCTATTGATTTTAGGGTCACTATGTCAAAGGTCAAGGTCACAGGGGCCCTAAATGTCTGACTGGTTTCTGCTGATTATCTTGAAAAGTATTCTTCACAAAAGCTTCATTTTCACATATTGATTGGTCATAACTAGAAGATGACCCCTATTGATTTTGGGGTCACAAGGTTAAAGGTCAAGGTCACAGGGGCCTAAAATGGTTATTTGATTTCCGCTTATTATCTTGGTTTCTTTTTATCACAAAGTCTTCATATTTCACATATTGATTGGTCAAAACTAGTAGATGACCCCTTTTGATTTTTGGATCACCAGGTCAAAGGTCAAGGTCACAGGGTCTTTGAATGGTAGTATGATTTCAGCTCATCTTGAAAGATAATTATCACAAAGTCTACATATTTTACATAGTGAATGGTCATTACCAACAGATGATTCGTATCGCTTTTTAGGTCACTAGATCAAGGTCAAGGTCACAGGGGCCTATGGTTTCCGCTCATTATCTTGAAAACTATTTATCACAAAGTCTTCATATTTCACATACTTATTGGTCATAACTAACTAGTAGATGACCCTATTGATTTTGGAATGAATAGGTCAAGGTCACAGGGTTCTTGAACGTAAGTATGGTTTCTGCTCATTATTTTGAAAGCTATTTATCACAAAGTCTTCATATTTCACATACTTATTGGTCATAACTAACTAGTAGATGACCCTATTGATTTTGGAATGAATAGGTCAAGGTCACAGGGTTCTTGAACGTAAGTATGGTTTCTGCTCATTATTTTGAAAGCTATTTATCACAAAGTCTTCATATTTCTAATATTGATTGGTCATAACTATTAGATAACCCCTATTGATTTTGTGTCACTAGTTTAAAGGTCTAGGTCACAGGGGCCGTGAATGTTTCATTATCTTGATTCTTGAAAACTGTTTATCACAAAGTCTTCATTATTTTTCTTTTTCCATAATTGAACACTTCCATGTACCTATTTGTGGCAAGTTTCTATAACAAAATAACTGATAATGTGAGTCAAGGGCCAGAAAGGGAGGCATATGTGTTGTTCGACATTTTTTTATTTTATTTTGTTTCTCATTTATTTTAGTATGATTTAATGTGCATGTTGTTACATTGGCAACAAATATGTTTGTTTGGCAGTTTGCATTGAATCTCATTTCATTGATCATTTTTTTTTCATGTACAGTCTAACTTGCCCATGCGACCACGTGTATTAAGCGACTTTTGTCTTAAACGACCACTTTAAATTCCCCCCGATCATTTTCTCTCTATATCTTTAATGTATTAAGCGACTTTTGCTCAACGCGACCAGCGACCGCTAATTAGTCACCTAATTGACATCAATCTTTTCATTAAACGACCACTTTTACCTGTCAAGAAATTGTGTTTTTAGAGAACGCCACCTCGTTATGTCACAAGTGTCAGCAATCAAAACACAACAATAAACGTGTGAAAAACTCTATTTCCCATACCGTTTTAGAGTATGCAAATGAAGTTAAGTATACGCGTGACGTGTATTATCCAATAATATCGGATAAACAATGCAACGCTCCGCCCATACTGAGATGGTGTATACGCTTCGCTTGTTGACATTTAGACTGCATTGAATTGACCTTGAACTTGATCAGCCATTAAATTAATCGTAACAAATAGATGTAGTTTGTTTATTTCAAATGAAAAAATGCACAACAGAAAACATCTTCACTAATAGGGTTTTCGTGTTGGAGACAAGGAAAAACAACGGAGAAGTTAAAAAATTCTGGAAAAAATGTCAAACATGTACGTAATGGATCAAAACTGTTTTGTCAATAAATATCAGAACGTTATTTTTACATTTGCATCCGTTTAGATTATCGGAGCGTACTTATTATTCAACATTTATATAAAAATGAAGTTGAAAAACAATCCCATCGAATAAAAAAGATGTCATTTATAAATTTTGACTTTTATATCATGCTGACTGTCTTAAGAGACCATTTCATTAAGCGACCGTTTTTGGTGTTTCCCTTGCCCGGTCGCTTAATACACGTTTGACTGTATTTTAAAGTGAATTTCAAAGTTTTTTTTTTTTTTTTTCATTTATTATGTTCTTTCATATATGAATTACAAAAAACATTCCAGTTAACATACTGTTGTTCTATGTATTCAACATAATATATTTCTATTATAATAATTATTCAATTCTAACAGTAATGTAAAACATACACACAAAAACAAAGTTGCTGAAGAACAGAACTCACTTGAATTGTCAAGTTGTGGTAACGGCTACTGTACATGTACATTCTATTTTACATTGTGAAGTATTAAATCAATGAAATTGTTAATTGTTTTATTAGAAAACATAATGTTTTGAAGTTAAAGGGACTCTCCTGAAATGTTATTAAGTTAAAGGGACTCCACTGAGGTTTTGTGACATGATGGAACTACAAATATTTTTTTTTGAGATTTTTATCTCATTTGATATAGGTCTATACCAATAACTTGTAAGCAAAATCTCAGACCATTTTTTAGTATTTACTCTGTTTTTCCAAAGTAATCATTTTTATTTGTGCAAAATGACCAAAATATGAAAAGCATTTGAATGCTTTCAACTTACTTAACAATTTTTTCTTGTAATATTATCAATACACTGGATTGACTCCTTAATTCTTGAAACCAATTTCTTTTTTTTTTCTTTTTTTTTGCAAGATGGAAATGTAGCAGAGTTTGCTGAAAAGGTCCTTTTTAAATCAGAGAAGGTAAGTATCATTGGTAAAAGAGGTATACCATCCTTGAAGATGATTGTGACATATTAGTTAATGCATACTTACCAAGTGTTCAAATAGGCTGCATAAAGTTTACAATAGTATATCATCATTATCAAGGATTGTAGAAAAGATGATGTTTTTTTCTTTTCAATTAAAATATTTTTTATACCTTTGAGTCAGTTAAGAAGATTATGCTAATTGCTATCATGTTAAATGAAAATATAATGACTTGATACCTTATTGCTGTTGAAGTATGTTTATCTCATTCTGTTTGTATTTTGTATGAGAAGTGTATACAAAGGTTAAGAAAATTGGTGATAGATAAAAATGCAGTCAATGAAGATTCTGAGTCATCAGTAAAAGAGAAACTAGAGATTGAACAAGATCTGTTCACTCTACTCTGTTACCAAGCTGAAACTGTAAGTTGTCTGTTTATTAAGTTTGAAACTATTTTTTGTCCTTTATTATTAAAACTGGATTTAGCATTTTGTATGTTTCTGTAATGGTATTATCTTGAGTTTATTGCAATGATAATGCAATGATTATTTTTGATTATGTTGTTTGAATATAATATATTATATAGCTTCAGTCAATCTCTGATATTAACTAAGATAATTTATCTTTGTATGCTTTTTCTCCTTCACTTTTACTCAAATGATTAACGTGAAGATGTTAGCACTTCCTTTCTTAGAAACATTTTAATGCCTGAGCACAGAATCTAAAAGATACTTGATAAGTTATTTCCTGTAAGTATATTGTGGAACTTCTGTTGGAAAACAATTTGCTTGACCAAGAAAGAAAAAGGTTTTAATGAAGAGATTAAAGTGCTTTCTATAGCAATCCTTCTTAAGTCTTTTTCTATGAATTCTAATGTTTTCCAGCCTCGAATAACAGATAATCATTATTTCATATAAATATATATCCATTTGGCTATATTCTATTTGTAATGCCATATGATTGATAAGTCATTGGGTAATACAGCTGTTCTATATGAATCAAAGCACTTTATTTTATATAATTTTTCCACATATTAAGTTTGTGTCCTTGTCAAGACCAGAAGATGCTTTGGAGCAAATGTTAAAGGCAAAAGAACTTCTTCCAAAATTTCCAAAGGAGGTAAGTCCATTAAGGCATGGATAATTCAGTCTATAAATAACATGCAACTTGTTACCCAGTCAATGAATTTATGACCAGAAAACCACAAGAAATTGAGGAGGATTTAGTTAGCATTATCTACTAGCCAGATAATGTCTTTAATACAAGCCCAAAAATGGTAAACTAATGGAAACTGGAAAAGTAAAATCTAGAATAATGACTTAAACATTTATTTTGTAAATCTTTTCCTTGAATCTAGAATTAGTTGTTCCTTTTGAAATTCAGTCAATTCATTTTCAGAAACTAAGTTGATTGACTGCTTATTTATCACAGGCCAGTAAGGCTATTTACTTTGAAAATTTAACAGGCCTGACCCAAAGTCTGGTGCCATTGGTTTGTGGTGCTTGTTTCACAGACTCAGGTTAACAAAAAAAAAATTGGTTACTATAAAGCTTTCAATCATGAAAGTATTAGTTTTGTTAAAAACAAATTAGTTAAGACAATTCTGCTTTAGAATACTGATAAAATTGAATAAAATTGCTTGCTTTATATATAAAATAATGATATCCATACAAAGAAAATCATGATTTAAATAAATATAATTTTCTATTTGCAAAAAGGTCAGTAATTGGAATTGTTGAGATATGGTTAGTTTACTTGGATTTACATTGACAAAATGAGGTTAAATAATTTTGAAAGTATAATTGGCATTTGTGGGTGTATTTAACATTTGTAATCTGTTTGCTATATATAAACATGACTGTGTCAGAACAAATATTTGGTGCCATCTACTCCATGTTAATATACAATACAGTGATGGTTCATTCTAGTCAAGTCATATTAATTGTATGTTGACATTAGGCTAAGTCTATATACTATATGTGCAATATGAGGTAATTGAATTTTCAGGTTAAGGTCAGTATATTTACAGGTTATTTACATTGTCATGCCTTCTTTCCTTTTATATATTTATAAAGGTTTAGTTGTCATTTTAAGTTAAATTCTATATCTTCAGTTAAAACTATATTTTAGTAATTTATATGAAAGCTTTTAAAACTATTTTTGGGTGAAATACATGCAGATTTCATTAATTCACCCAATCCTTTGTACCATTAATGATTTTACGCGAATAGTAATTTTGTAAACCCAGTAAATGAGTGTTAAATATTGGTCAGTTATTTCCAATCTTAGATGATGAAACTTTGTAAATATAGAACAATGGTACCGAATTCCCCAATTTCAGAACTTATATTAACTGCCATTCTCACAACAGCCAAAACTGTTTTAATACCCCCGAAACGAAGGGGGGTGGGGGGGTATATAGGAGTCTAATGGTTGGAATTCAATACAACTTCATACAATGGTCAAGCACATTGAGAGGTTGTGCCATGCACAAGAACGATAACTCCATCTTGACTAATTACAGATGTATTGCCTTTTGTTACTTTTCCTTGTCCAGAGCATAACTTGAAGACTAATAATTGGAATTCAAAACAACTTCATGCAATGGTCAAGCACAATAAGGGAAAAATCAGTGCACAAGAACCATAACTATATCTTGACTAAGTATAGAGTTATTGCCCTTTGTTACTGTTCCTTGTCCAAAGCATAACTTGAAAACTACTAGTTGGAATTCAATACAACTTCATACAATGGTCGGGCACATTAAGTGAAAGTGCAGTGCACAAGAACCATAACTCCATTTTGACAAATTACAGAGTGATTGCCCTTTGATACTTTTCCTTGTCTTGAGCATAACTTGAAAAGTACTGGTTGGAATTCAAAACAACTTCATACAATGGTCAAGCACAATAAAAGGAGATGCAGTGCACAAGAACCATAACTATATCCAGAGTAATTATAGAGTGATTGCCCTTTGTTACTTTTCCTTGTTGCAGAGCATAACATGGAATCTAGTGGTTGGAATTTAATACAATTTCATACAATGGTCAAGCACTATCAGGGAAGTGCAATGCACAAGAACCATAACTCTATCATGACTTAAATTTCAGAGTTATTGCCCTTTGTTACTTTCCATTGCTTTCTTTTGTCCTGAGCATAACTTGAAGACTAATGGTTGGAATTCAATACAAGTTCGTACAATGGTCAAGTATATTGAGAGGAAGCGCATTACACAGGAACCATAACTCTTTCTTGACTCATTTTAGAGATATTTCCCTTTTTTACTTTTTATTGTCCAGTGTATTAATTGAAAACTTATGGTTAGAATTCAGTGCAACTTCATACAATGATTAAGTGCAGTGAGATGAAGTGCACTGCACAAGAACCATAACTCTATTTGGATTAATTACATATTTATTGCCCTTTGTTACTTTTTCTTGTCCAGTGCATAACTTGAAAACTAGTAGTTGGAATTCAATACCACTTCATACAATGGTCAATCTCAATATGAGAGGAAGTGCAGTGTACAATAACCATAACTCTATCTTCAGTATTTGCAGAGTTATTGCCCTTTGTTGCTTTTCCTTGTCCGGTGCATTACTTAAAAACTAATGTTTGGAATTCAATGCAACTTTATACAATGGTCAAGCACAATGAGAGGAAGTGCAGTGCTGAAGCACCTTAACTCTATCCGGACTTATTACAGAGTACATGTAATTTAGTAAAACTTCATCAGTGGTCAACCACAGTGAAAGGTAATGCAACATACAAGAACCACAACTATCTTTAATTGCCCACAACCATAACTATATTTCAATTCTTTTACAAGGTATTCTGTCACTAGTAACTTCCTCATTTCTGATGCAGTTTTGCGGGGATATTAATCACATTTAGTGATAGCTCTAGTTCTAATTTTATTTCAGGCATCATTCCTATCAATGTTATGTTATAACACAGGAGTAGAGCTATTTCAACAAAAGCTGTTTGCTGAAGCTACTGTGTGGCTTAGAGAAAGTTATGAATTAGGGAAAGGTCAGCAGTCCATCGGGCCAAAGAATCAGGTAGAATCCATGTCATTCTGCAGTTGAACATAAGACAAAACAATTTGCTACTCACTGTTTGCATGTACATGTATTGTGTTTGTCTCTATTTTGTGTCTTTAAACTATATGTCAGATAAAAAAAAACATTAGAAAGTCTTTAAGCCTCTCTGAAGATCATTCAAAAAATAGAAGAAGAAAAAAAAAGAAAAATCACTACATTCTCACAATTTTTTTTGTAAGCATCTCTGTAATTTTGCATGCACTGCTGCTTGAAAATTGATGGAAAGATTTTCATGAAATCCTGATAGAAGTGTTTAGTATTACGCCTTATGCTGCATAATTTTAGGTGCTAGTTTTTGTTAGAATTTTGTTTAAAAGAATATTTTAGGATGCGACAAATACTACCCTATCATTTCATTTGATGATGTCAGTGTGCATATATGTTCATAGCATCCATAAGTTAGTTATAAACTGGCTTACTTTACAATAGCTTTTCATACTTAGACAGGTTTGTGTTGCTTGTAGTATAACTGCTAGAGTAATGCCACTTGTCAGCATATCAACCTGTGCACCTAAATATTTTGGCGCAAATATAATTTAATATCTATGTTTATATGCACAAATACATGTTATGTTTTAAATGTTTTCTTTTTTGTTGACAAAATTGTGGAATATGGGCGCATCTATGTCCTTTGGACTCTTTTCTGGTTCTATTTATTCATGAAACAATATTTGAGAATATTTATTTTGTTGATAATATAATATTATTTTTGTTGATAGTAAAATATTTATTGGCTAAGGTTTAAGCCAACATTTGTGTATATTGAATATTGTCTTGTTTCATTTTGGTCTTTTTTTGCAAGGGTTCATGATTACTTGGAAGAGTTTTCAGTGCAAATACTTAACAAATTATTTTATAATTGTAATATATCTTTGATGATACAGATGTTGTATTTTTTTGTAGGCAAGAACTTTACGGTTATTGTCCTATGTATACCTAGAGTATAAACAAGATGAGAACATACAGAATGCCTTAAATGCCATAAGTCTAGCTAACACTGTGAGTATTCTCTTGAAATGGTTTGATTTATTTATGGTACTGATTAATGGAATACTGAAATTTAAAAAAAAAGTAACAATATTTAAGAGTTAAAAGCTCTTTTTGCCTGTTATTTCTAATCATTAGTACTTCCAAAGTTGATCCAGGAGCCCAGAAAAATTATAAGTAACTAAAATTTTGAAATTTAACTTCAGCACCTGATAATTAGTTTTATCTCTGTCAGAATATATACATTTCCATGATGTGATCTTTCCACTGAGAAGTAAAGGTCTGCAGAATGTACTCTTAGAACGCAGCTTACTGTATGTAAGCTGCAGCAACTGTAGAAATAGCTAGCTACTGCAATATTGACTGCTTGCTTCTTTTGCCAAATCATGTTTAAATACAAAAGCTTTAAATTCATTAATGACTGCTCTCAAATCTTAACTGGCTTCTTCAAAATTTATGGAAAGCAATGGCAGCTTATGTAAAGTTTTAATCAATACATTTTTAATGTAACAAGTCTTGCTTTAAATTTCTAGTGATCAAGCTTTTTGGAATTTTAAAGAATAATTTTTTTAGACTACAACAATCAAAAAGGTAGTTTAATTAATATATAAGTGAAGTTGTTAAACCTTTGCATATTGACTACATAAATGATAGTTTATCATTATATAATTCACAGGAACATTGTCATCCTGCTGGTGTTTTCACAAAGTTGAAGATTGTTTTACTACAGAATGCTGCTGATAATGTTGTCAAGAGAGGTATTATATCGAATTTTTGAGTTACATAACTAATCAAAATAACAGAGCATTGCCCAAAGTGGCACAATTTTTTATTTAAAGGGAGACAACAATGAATGACTGTTGCAGTCAATTTGGACAAGTATTAACTTTCTTACATTTTCTATATGTTAGAATAACATGATTCATGTCTTTTCTTGATTAATGTTATTCTGTGGGTTAAATTCTTTGGACCAAATACGTTTTGATTATTAATATTTGATATTGTATTAATTTTTGTTTATAATTATGGCTTTATTACAACATGTGAAGAATGCTAGTATACGCTGATACTTGTCTGTGACCTCAGTTTAATACCTTCAACTGTCCATCACGTAAAGATCCAGTTGTCCCTTAAGTCATAGCAATCTTATGTAAGAATCATCTTAAACAAATTGGCAACTTTGGGGGTTAATCTTACAGGGGATGATCCTTAAATTTTTAATTTGTTGTTAGAAAAAAAAATTCAAAAAACACAAAAATAAACAAAAAATCAACCAGTTTCATTTTTGCAAGAAGAATACTATGTAGAATAATTTTGTGAACAGCAACTCCTCTTAAGCTGGAATGGGATTTTCTTAATTACAGATGAAAAATTTATTGTAGTCTACCGGTTTTAAGAGGAAGGATTTCTTTGTTCCGACAACTTGTCAAAAACTTTGGAACCTTTGTTGATAGATGAGTGTAGATGGTAGTAAAGGAAGGAAATTTTTGCTGCGAACAAATTTTAACAGAATTATGGCCCTTTTGTTGATTTTGTGAATGCAACTTTTTAGCAGATTTTGCTTAAACTTCCAGGAATGAACAACCTTAATGTGTATGGTAAATAAAGAAATTTTTTGTGAATTAATGGCCCTTTTTTGATTTTTTCATTATATACTATGTTGAAATTTTGTGAATGCAACTCCTTAAACGGATGGCAGATTTTGCTTAAACTTCCAGGGATTAACAACCTTAATGTGTAGATGGTAGTAAAGGAAGATTTTTGCTGCGACCAAATTTAACAGAATTATGGCCCTTTGTTGATTTTTAGTTTTCAACTTGTGGCACATGTAGTCCAAAAAATATTTGACCTAGAGTCATAAGATTGACAGAACAGTGGCGTGTGGGGGCATCCGTGTCCTATGGACACATTTCTAGTTGTGTGTATAAAATTATGTTGTTTATTTACAGCATGTGAAGAATTGCTTAGTATCCCTGAACTTACTGTTGACCTCAGTCTCAATACACTTCAAACTGTCAATCAGTATAATAGGTATTCATTTTGTCTTAACCCATTACTTCATATACACGCCTTTTAACGCCTTTTTCACCCCCCCCCCCCTTTTGTTGTCTCAAATGGTGAAAAAATGCATTATTTAGGCCCTTAACACTTGTTTTTGTTTGAGAAATGTTGTTAAAAAAAGTGACCTCTTTTTCGGCGCGGCCGGGACCCCCAACCAAAAGATACATCAGGGGGTTGCCAGAAGGGGGGCCCCCTTCTGTTTGGGGGGTTTGAAGGGGGGCGGAGTCCCCCTCATCGCCAAGAAAATTTTGGACTTGTGAGAGGCTATAAATGACCCCAGATTGATCATAACGTAACGTGTAACCAACGCTGAAAAGCATTTGACTCTATCTCAATCCATTGAGAAGTTGCAGCACTTTGAAATCAAATATGATGCCAAAATAGTGATTTTTGGCAATTTTGAGATGTCCCCTCGTTGCCATGGTAACAGAAAATTTAAGCCTGAGCATGTTGTTGCAAGGGCAATGGTCCAGTCAACATTTGTGCCAAGTTTGATTAGTGTTGAAGCAGTTTTTATAGTATTATAGCAATTTGAACTTGTAACGGGAGACTTTTCAATGAAAACAGCCATTTTTCACAAAATGCTCATGAAGTAATGGGTTAAGCATAACTTAACTTATTAAGTTATCAATTTTATTAATACAAACTTAGCTTACTTCTGAAGGGCGTTATTTTACAGGTATGGATTGATCCCTCCCTTAATTTTTTAATTTTTTTTTTGAAAAAAAAAAAAAAAAAAAAAAAAACAAACAAACAACAAAAAATCAACACAGTATTATTTTTGCAAAAGAAGAATAAAAAGCGTCCAAGTAAATTGAATAATCTATGTAAATGACACAACAAACTTTCTCTCTGTCAAGTTGAGAATGTTGATCCTATTCTTAGTTTATAAGTGACCAAAAGATGGTTATTAGTCCCCTACCGGTTTAACCGGAGGGGACTTTAGGTTTACCCTCCTTCTGTCTGTCAGTCCGTCAGTCCGTCTGTCCACAAAACTGGAACCTGCGATAACGCAAAAAGTACTAAAAATATTTTTATGAAACTTGATATATGGATAGATGGCAGTATGGAGATTATGCACGTCTTTTTCTTTTGTTCCTATGTTGAAAATTCTGGTTGCTATGGCAACAAATAGTCTGAAAATATGGCAAATTTAACACATAAACTGGATCAAGTGATAACTCAAAAAGAACTGAAAATATTTTTATGAAACTAGAAATATGCGTAGAGGGCAGTCTGGAGATTATGCACATCTTTTTCTTTTCTTCCTATGTTGAAAATTCTGGTTGCTATGGCAACAAATAGCCTGAATTCAAGATTTCTGATTAAAATTTTTCAGCTTTTTCACTATAAGTTCTTTATTTCTTAAGGTGTTTACTTCAAACTTTAAATATAAGTTTCTGGTCATCAACCACATCATATGTGACAAGGTTTACAACTCTAGCACAAAAATTATCAGTATTACCTCCCTTGAACTTAGATTTTTATGAAAAAAAATGTTGTCTTTTTTAAATAACTTCTTTATTTCCCAATGTATCTACTTCAAACTTCATATATATGTTTCTTATTATCACTCAACATTTTTGAGAAGGTTAAATACTCTAGCAAGACTATTTCCAGAATTATGTCCCCTTGAACTTAGATTTTTTCGAGAAATTGGTATTTTTTTACTCCAACTTCTTCATTCCTTATAGGATTTACTTTAAAATCCCACATCGTTGTAATATGACAAGGTTGTATAAACATAATTTCCTTACTAGGCAGGGAAACTTAACACATTACTGTGATATAGACAAACTTAGAACTCAAAAGATTTAAGTTCATATATGTCATTCATTCACTGGTAAAATTGAATGGCCAATGGCCCATCAGAATGTTGCTGGGGTTCTAACCGGTAGGGGACTTATGGATTGCTTGCAATACTATGATAATTGCTTGTTAACTCAATATCAAGTCCAACACTGTTACACTACTCATATAATTTAATTAAACAAGTAAAATTTCCATTATATTGCTGAAAACTATTATTAGAGATTTCAATTCATATTTTATATCACATAGTGTCAAAGATGATAATTATGATTCCTATTTTATTCAAATTGATACTGTCATGATATAATATTGTACTTTTTATGCCCCCCTTCAAAGAAGAGGGGGTATATTGTTTTGCTAATGTCGGTCTGTTGGTTTGTCCATCGGTAGACCACATGGTTTCTGCTGATAATCTTGAAAACTATTTATTACAAAGTCTTCATATTTCACATAGTGATCAGTCATAACTTGTAGATGACCTCTATTGATTCATGGGTCACTAGGTCATAGGGGCCTTTAATGTCAGAATGGTTTCCGATGATTATCTTGAAAACTATTTTTCACAAAGTCTTCATATTTCACATAGTAATTGATCATAACTAGTAGATGACCCCTATTGATTTTGGGGTCACTAGGTCAAAGGTCAATGTCACAGAGGCCTTTAATGTCAGATAGTTTCAGCTGATTATCTTGAAAAGTATTCATCACAAAGTCTTCATATTTCAATAAGTAGTAGATGACGCCTATTGATTTTGAGGTCACTAAGTCAAAGGTCAAGGTCATGGGCTTTAAATGTCAGAATGGTTTCAGCTCATTATTTTGGTTACAATTCGTCATGGTCTTCATATTTCACATATTGATTGGTCATAACTAGTAGATGACCCTTATGGATTTTGGGGTCACTAGGTCAAAGGCCAAGGTCAGAGGGGCCTTTAATGGTAGTATGATTTCCGCTTATTCTCTTTTTAGTATTTATCACAAAGTCTTTCTATTTCACATATTGATTGGTAATAACTAGTAGATGACCCCTTTTGATTTTGGGGTCACCAGATCAAAGGTCAAGGTCACAGGGCCCTTGAATGGTAGTATGATTTTGGCTCATTATCTTGAAAGATAATTATCACAAAGTCGTCATATTTCACCTAGTGATTGGTCATAACCAGCAGATGACCCGTGCTTTTGGGGTCATTAGTTCAAAGGTTACGGTCACAGGGGCATTAAATGTCAGAATGGTTTCGCTTATTATCTTGAAAACTGTTTATCACAAAATTTCATATTTCACATACTGATTGGTCATAACTAGTAAGTGACCCCTATTGATTTTTGGGTCACTAGGTCAAAGGTCAAGGTCACAGGGCTATTGAATGTTAGAATGGTTTCCACTTATTATTTTGAAAGCTATTCATCACAAAGTCTTCATATTTCTAAAATTGATTGTTCATAACTATTAGATGACCCCTATTGATTTTGGGTCACTAGTACAAAGGTCAAGGTCACAGGGGCCTTAGATGTCAGAATGGTTTCTGCTCATTATCTTGAAAACTATTTATCACAAAGTCTTCATTGTTTTTCTTTTTTCCATAACTGAACACTTCCATGTTCCCATTTTTGGTAAGTTTCTATAACAAAATTACCAATAATGTGAGTTAAGGGCTAGAAAGGGGGGCATATGTGTTGTTCGACATTTCTTGTTATAATTATCATTTTGAATTAAATTAAAATTAAGTTTTGTTTTTTCTCAAAAAATTGTGTTTTAGTGTGCCTCTTGATCTGTTTTTATCAGTATGATTGGTTTTCTGTAGGGATGTCCGGATATCCGAACGTTCGGATCACGATTCGGTGTACGGAGCCGATTTTCTGATTCGGATGTTCGTATAAAATATTTTAGAATATTGAGAAAATGTGATAAGATAAGCCTAGACATGGTGTTGACACCACCATATTGTATATTGTACCTTAGTTTGACAATACACATCATAATCTCTGCAGACCACAAAAAATCAATAATTACTATGATAATAACGAGTCAATTATGACACATGTTGTTAATCAAATCGGCAACGATGTTACATTTTTTATGTCCAAATTTAAATATTTAATTAGGTTATTATTTTTATATATATTTCGGCTTACCGACCCGTCGACACCTTATTTTGAGACAATGAAAAATCTGCAGAAATAAAATAATCAAATAAAGAAATGCACTTACGAATAATATGTTAATTATCTCAGCTTTTATAGAAATTGATACGAAAATTAAGCGACAAAATAACTTTCTCCTTTAGTATTAATCAAACATGTGTATTTTTAAAAAAAATAAAAATTTCACATTTCTTTTTTCACTTATGAACACTTAAAATGTGTGCAATTCATGTAAGTTTCGGCACTTTCTTTGATAATTCGAATCAAACAGCCAGGGCTACATGATGGTAAACATCAAAGAATGGCAGATTCTTTTGAAAAGCTGGCTACACGCGTGTCAAACTCAAAGGTCATCGTGTGTAAATTGTATGCGTGTTATTGATTATATTTAATTTTTTACAGGTATTATTTTGTTTCACAAATGTGAGCGAATTTTATTGCGTATTATAGCGCTAATTGAGGAATTCAGACAATCAGCGGCGAATTTCGTTTTCATTTCATTTGAAATCTTAAGTACCACACGCAGTTCTAAATTTATTGATAACGGCTAGTCGTATTTTATATAGAAGAAATAAAATCAATAACAGAAGATTTTTGATATGTACAGTCGACTCCGGTTATAACGAAATCAATGGGACATTAAAATATCGTTCGTTATATCAGAAGTTCGCTAAAAGCGAAGTAGCAACAACTTTCTGACTTGTTTGGATGGGGAAATTTGCCGTGAAAAAGCCATACTCTTCACTGGTTACCTATGTAACCGGTATTTTACTGCAGCGGTTATTTAATGGTTCTGTACTGTTATTTAATGCAGGGCATTTTATTGAGCGATATATTATGTACATGGTATATAAATTTATTCATGTATTGTCTATGAAAGTTCTTACCATTTGTTTTCTTTTGCTATTTGTTTATTATCGTTTGGTTAATATTGCTAACTTAAAAAATCGATTACTTGGCAATTATCGGGCATTTACATCAAACTGAGGGTGTGAAATACAAATTTTCCGTAACAAGTAGGAAATTATGTTGTTAAAACATTTTTCAAAATCTTTATTCCCTGAAGCAATGATTCGATTGTTTAATTATCGGATAGTGTTATTCGTGTACTGATCCTAATTGAGCGCATCCCGATATTTCAATTATAACAGTTTGTTATAACCGAGGAAATTTAAATGTTTTCCGTCATTTGGGGCCTTGAAAAATGGTTTGTTATAGCCGAAAATTCGCTATAAGCGAGTACGTATTAAGCGATGTGATTTAATATAAAATAAAGAAGGAATCGGCCGGGGATGTCAGATTTAGTTCGCTATTAACGATTATTCGCTATAAGCGAGTTCGTTATAAGTAGAGTCGACTGTATCATTCAATTAAAAAGGAAGAAAAACGAAATACTACACTTTGAAAAAGGTCGCGAAAAAATGGTTACGTCATATCAGACATCTAAGAATATAACAACGATCCGAACATCCGGATGTATCCGGATGTTTGATTCGGATATCCGGATGGCCGTATCGGCTCCAGATGACATCCCTAGTTTTCTGCCAGTTTTCAGAACAGCTGTGTATTGACTATGCTTTGTAATGCTTTTCCAATGACCATGCACTTTCCTTGATAACTATTTAGGGTAGAAATTATGACATGGCTGATTGAGGAGTTACTGAAGAGGTTTGAGCACTCTCCAGATATTGGCAAACTGCTTGTTACCAACGCTGAGGTTCTTCTTAATGCTGGAATGAAGAAACAAGCTAAGGAATTTGTTGAATATTGCATTACAGGTAAAACATATCTAAGAAACAAATATTTTCATTGTATGTTTTGTTTAAGAAATCTGTGTCACAAGGTAAGAGAAATTTGTATCTTAAGGTATTAGGACCCTAATGGGCACTATAAGGAACTAAAGAATTGACATCATAGGTCAGATGTATACCTTAAAGTACACCTGTATGCAAAATTTAAACAAAGTTTACCATACGGAAATCAAGTTATGGCCACTTTTCTGAACTCAAGCTAGGATGTTATGAGGGCCCTTTTTTAGAAATGAGGAACCTTTAAATAATCTGCAATAACATTCTAATGAAAAATGTTTTCCCATGAATTTTTGGTAAGAAACAAATAGTACCATTCAGCTAACAATCCACATAAGCAAAATTATGGTTTCTACTTAAAATTTATGAAATCTGTATAAAAATGTTACTCTACCCCACCCATTTTTACCACTTGTCTGACCATTTTTCTACTTAGGGAGCCTAATTAAAAAAATTCTTAAAATTTACCCAAATGAGTGCCTGTTTTCAAAGTTTCCCTAAATTTTTAAAAAAGTATATTGGTTGATCTTGTAAAATATGAAATACTTTTACCGTCTAGTTTTGATTATATTACACTTTGAAAATATCAGGTACCATATTTATTACTATATTAAGCATAATTTAGCCAATAAATACCTATATAAATTAAAAATTCAAAATTAAACACTTTTTTCTTTCCATATGGGACATGAGAGATACATAAATAATGTTAAAAGAAAAAAAGAAAGAAAAAAAAAAGTTGACCCTTCTGGGGATTGAACCCATGGCCCTCATTTTCAATGTAGTTAACAGTAATTCTAGCCTATTTGAATACTCTTCAAAGCAGAGGTAATGCATTAGGGTGCTAATACCTTAATTGACTGTAAAACCAATAAAGAACCTTCAGTCAATAGCTATAGAATGCCATTTCATGTATCTTCTGTCTAAGATACTTGGTCACTTGCATATGTTCTCCCTATAAGTGATCATTTTTATGCCCCCACAGAGTGGGAGCATATAGCGTTGCTGCCTTGTTCGTCCGTCCGTCCGTCACGCCGTACGTCTCTCCGTCCGTCCGTCCGTCTGTCCGTTTGTCCCGAAATCTTGTGAACGCAACTCCTCTTATGGAACTTTCAGGGATGAACAACCTTAATATGTAGATGGTAGTAAAGGAAGGAATTTTCGCTGCGACCAAATTTAACAGAATTATGGCCCTTTGTTGATTTTTTCACTATATACTATGTAGAAATTTTGTGAACGCAACTCCTCTTAAACCAGATGGCAGATTTTGCTTAAACTTCCAGGGATGAAAAACCTTATTGTGTAGATGGTAGTAAAGGAAGGAATTTTTGCTGCGACCAAATTTAACAGAATTATGGCCCTTTGTTGATTTTTTCACTATATACCATTTAGAAATTTTGTGAACGCAACTCCTCTTAAACCGGATGGTAGATTTTGCTTAAACTTCCAGGGATGAACAACTTTAATGTGTAGATGGTAGTAAAGGAAGGAATTTTTGCTGCAACCAAATTTAACAGAATTATGGCCCTTTGTTGATTTTATCACTATATACCATATATATGTTATCAGTGGGGGCATCCGTGTCCTTTGGACACAGTTCTAGTTATATTGTTAGTTGTATCAATTAAACCTGTCCATTACAAGAAAAAATACTGTGATTTTTGTTACATGTGATAAAATATGAAATAGTAAAATGAAATGTAGTAATTTGTGGTCTCTGTTTTTATTGATGGCTTTATCAAGGATTTCCCTGTTGTTGTTTTTTTTGCACTGTTTAATGTTAATGATACACAAATTCTAATAATTTTTTTAACATCGTATGAAAATGAATGAATATTGGCTATATATATGCTCATGCTTTTTTTATGCCAAATAAAGATTATGTTATGTATATGACTTGAGAATGTTAATTTGACATTGTGTGATACGTGATTGATCAGTTAATTTGATAGTTCTATATAAGAAAAAAATGTGCAGATGATAACTGTGACTATGATCAGCTCTTTATTGAATGCAAAAGCTCATCTATATAGTAGTTACAGAAGAGTTTAGAAAAAAATATCTTTTGCCTTTATACCTACCATGTTATGGCTTAATTTTTTCTGAGAAGTTATAACTGATTAAGAAACATCTTTAGTGGCAAAATCAGTATATCATATCCATAGTAATTATTGTGCACTACAGTTTGAACAACGGTTGGTCATGGTTTATGTTTTCAGCTCATCATACAGGAAGACCACTGGAGTTGTCTATAAAGAAACGATTTCATGTTTTATTCTGGGAACAGGCAGCAGCAAGTTATGAGGTAACTTTGTAATGACAACATACTATTATACATTGACTCCGTAAACTAGCCATAAACTATCTTAAAAACCACTTTGTGCATAACCCTGCCTTGCTATTTGAATATAATAAAATTTTGAATTTGCGAAATTTATGGTTCAGTCGATGCAAAACTTTCTGTTAAATTACCTTTAAAGTTTTGAGTAATTTTGTTTTAATGAGATTGTTTACAATTAAGATGATTTTTGGCCGGGTTACACAGGTGCAAACCCGGGTTATATTATGGTGAATGGTAGGCGGCAGGTGGGCGGGGAAAAAACTTTCGTAACAGTTTTCTCAGCAGCTACTTATCACAGCCTCTTGATATTTGGCATACAGCATTAACATGTGGTCCCATACTGTGGGATTAGATTTCAGGTCTGTCGCTCATCCACTTCCTGTTAGCCGACTTAGTTAAATTTTCAACATAAATGGTCAATTAGTAGGAAATTTTCGTAACAGTTTTCTCAGCTACTACTTATCATAGCCTTTTGATATTTTGCATACAGCATTAACTTGTGGTCCCATACCGTAGGATTCGATTTCAGGTCTGTTGCTCATCCACTTCCTGTTTGCCGACTTAGTTAAATTTTCAACATTAATGGTCAGTGGTAGGAAATTTTCGTAACAGTTTTCTCAGCTACTACTTATAACAGCCTCTTGATATGTGGTTCACAGCATTGGCATGTGGTCCCATATTGTGGGATTCCATTTCAGGTCTGATGCTCATCCACTTCCTTTTTGCTGACTTATTAGTTAAATTTTCAACATCAGTGGTCAGTGGTAGAAAATTTAAGTAGCATCACAGCCTCATGATATTTTGTATACAAATGCAACCCGGCCTTTTCTGTCTTTGACCCATTTTTAGCTCACCTTGCACAAAGTGCAGGTGAGCTTTTAGGATGGCCAACCAAATGGCGTCCGTCGTCAGTCGTCCGTCCACATTTTAAATATTCTAAGGACATCTTCTATGATACCGCAAGGCCAATGTTAATGAAACTTGGCAGGAGTACTCTTTGTATGAAGCTCTATCAAGATTGTTCAAAGAATTCCATTTCATGCAGAACTCTGGTTGCCATGGCAACCGAAAGAAAAATCTTTAAATATCTTCTTTTAAAGAACCGTAAGAGCTAGAGCTTAGATATTTGGCATGAAACATCTTGTAATGAGTGTCTACCAAGTTTGTTCAAATAAAAGCCCTGGGGTCAAAATTGGCCCCGCCCCAGGGGGTCATTGATTTTCCCTATATGCATAAAGTAAAAACTTAAAAAATCTTCTTTTAAAGAACCCAAAGAGCTAGAGCTAAGATATTTGGCATGAAACATCTTCTAGTGAGTGTCTACCAAGTTTGTTCAAATAAAAGCCCTGGGGTCAAAATTGGCCCCGGCCCGGGGGGTCATTGATTTTCCCTATATGCATATAGTAAAAACTTAAAAAATCTTCTTTTAAAGAACTGTAAAAGCTAGAGCTTAGATATTTGGCATGAAACATCTTCTAGTGAATGTCTACCAAGTTTGTTCAAATAAAAGCCCTGGGGTCAAAATTGGCCCCGCCCCGGGGGGTCATTGATTTTCCCTATATGCATATAGTAAAAACTTAAAAAATCTTCTTTTAAAGAACCGTAAGAGCTAGAGCTTAGATATTTGGCATGAAACATCTTCTAGTGAATGTCTACCAAGTTTGTTCAAATAAAAGCCCTGGGGTCAAAATTGGCCCCGTCCCAGGGGGTCATAGATTTTCCCTATATGCATATAGTAAAAACTTAAAAAATCTTCTTTTAAAGAACCCAAAGAGCTAGAGCTAAGATATTTAGCATGAAACATCTTCTAATGAGTGTCTACCAAGTTTGTTCAAATAAAAGCCCTGGGGTCAAAATTGGCCCCGCCCCAGGGGGTCATTGATTTTCCCTATATGCATATAGTAAAAACTTAAAAAATCTTCTTTTAAAGAACTCAAAGAGCTAGAGCTAAGATATTTAGCATGAAACATGTTCTAATGGGTGTCTACCAAGTATGTTCAAATAAAAGCCCTGGGGTCAAAAGTGGCCCCGCCCCGGGGGTCATTGATTTTCCTTATATGTGTATAGCAAAAACTTAAAAATCTTCTTTGAAAAAACCCAAATAGCTTGAGTTTAGATATTATACATGAAACATCTTTAAGTAAATATCTACAAAGTTTGTTCAAATAAAAGCCCGGGGGTCAAAACTGGCCCTGCCCCAGGGGTGTCATTGTTTTTAACTATATGTGTATAGTAAAAACTTAAAAAATCTTCTTTTAAAAAACCCAAAGAGCTAGAACTTAGATGTTTAGCATGAAACATCTTCTTATGAGTGTCTACCAAGTCTGTTCAAATATACAAATAAAAGCCCTTGGGTAAAAATTGGCCCGGGGGGGGGGGGGGGGGGGGCTATATACAGGTGAGCGACCTCAGGGCCATCATGGCCCTCTTGTTTAAGTAACTCACATGATTTATTGATAGAAATGTAGGGACTGCCATGTGGGGATTTAAGGTAGACCATGGGTAATGGGCACCATAAGGAACTGTAAAATTGACAACATAGGACAGTTATATGTCTTCAAGGTCACCTGTATGGAAAATTTAAATAAAATTTACCGTGTGGTTTATGAGTTATGAATATATTTCTGAACTAAGACTTTGCCATAAAGATTAGGGCTTATTTTCAGAAATGAGGAAACTTTTAATAATCTGTAATATCATCATTATAAAAAATGTTTTTCTATTGCTCATTTTTAAGAAACAAATAATAACTTTCAGGTAACAAATTACACAAGCAAAATGTTTGTTTCTAAACAAAATGTTCTTAATATGTATAAAAATGTTACCCTACCCCACCCACTTTAAACACTAATTTTACCATTTCCCTATCTAAAATGCCTTATTCAAAATATCCCTAAAATTTACCATAATGAGGGGCTGCCAGTTTTCAAAGTTTGCCTAAATTTTCTTAAAGGTATATTGGTTGATCATGCGAAGTAATTAAAATACTTTTACCGTGTAGTTTTAATTTTATTAAACTTTGAAAATATCTGGTATCATATTTGCTATAAATTTTGGCATTATTTAGCAAATAAATACCTGCAAAAATTATATAATTTAAATCTAACCCTTTTTTCTTCCACAAAGGATCAGAGAGAGATACATAAATAATGTTAAAAAGAAAAAAAGAAAGGAAAAAAAAGTTGCCCCTTCTGGGGTTAGAACCCACGCCCCTCAATTTCAATGTAGTTGGCGAGTGATTCTAGCTTATTTGAATACTCTTCAAAGTGAAGGTAATGCATTACCCATGGTCTACCTTAATGCAGCATGTCTCAACATGGTGTTTTTACCAATGGGTCAGATTTTATTCAAAACTTGTCACTTTGAAAGGTCGATATAATCTTTTTAATTAATTTAGATAAAATTTTGGAATGTAATAAAAAGAATTGTGATAGTGATATACTAATTAGTATTTTTATACGCCCGTTTGAAAAACGGGACGTATAATGATAACGCCCCTGGCGGGCGGGCGGGCGGGTGGCGTCCAATTTTGTCCGGAGCATATCTCCTACATGTATGGAGGGATTTTAATGAAACTTCATAGAAATGTTCACCACTATGAGGAGCAGTGTCGCGCACATGAACCAGGTCTCTAGGTCAAAGGTCAAGGTCACACTTAGAGCTCATTGAAAAATGCTTGTCCGGAGCAAAACTTCCACATGCATAGAGGGATTTCAATGTAACTTGGCACAAATGTTCACCATTGTGAGGCGGAGTGTCGCGCACAAAATTCAGGTCCCTGCAGCCAAGGTCAAGGTCACACTTAAAGGTCAAAGTTTAGATAAAAATATGAAGATGTGTATAGGGACGATTTAATCATCATTTATTGGGGGATTGTAACACAAATGGTCATTATCATGACTACGGCTGTGACACATGTGCTTTAGGTCAATATATGCAAGGTCAAGGTCACTAAAGATGGTGAAATATCCAGATTTTGTCTGGAGCATATCTCCTACATGTATGGAAGAATTTTTATAATACTTTATGGAAATGTTCACCACCATGGTATGTATTGCTCCATGCATGATCCAGGTCTCCAGGTCAAAGGTCAAGGTCACACTTAGAGCTCATTGAAAAACGCTTGTCCGGAGCAAAACTTCTACATTCATAGGGGGATTTCAATATAACTTGGCACAAATGTTCACCATTGTGAGGCTGAGTGTTGCACGCAAAATTCAGATCCCTGCGACCAAAGTCAAGGTTACACATAGAGGTCAAAGTTCAGATAAAAATTTGAAGATGTGTATAGGGACCATTTAGTCATCATTTATTGATGGATTGTAGCACAAATGGTAACTATCATGACTACAGGTGTGACACATTTGATTTAGGTTAATATTTGCAAGGTCAAGGTCACTGGAGATGATTAAATATCCAGATGTTGTCCGGAGCATATTTTCTACATGCATGGAGGAATTTTAATGTTACTTTATAGAATTGTTCACCACCATGAGACGTAGTGCCCTGCACATGAACCAAGTCTCTAGGTCAAAGGTGAAGGTCACAGTTAGAGCTCATAGAAAAACACTTGTCTGGAGCAAAACTTCTACATGCATAGAGGGATTTCAATATAATTTGGCACAAATGTTCATCATTGTGAGGCTGAGTGCTGTGCATAAAATTCAGGTCCCTGCGACCAAGGTCAAGGTCACACATCCTGTGCATATCTTCCCTACTGATTTGTTTTAAGGTTCATTTAACAACACAGTGCCAAGAATAAAAACTTGCTTGCTAGATAACACTTATCCATAATGCCCCCATCTCCATCTAAAGCTTTCGTAAACGGGCGTATTTTGTGACTATGGCACCCTTGTTAATTTTGATATTACTCAATACAGAACAGAACATTTTTTTCAGGGAAAGGATTTTGAGGAGGCCTTGCAGTGGTATAATTACTCTCTCAGCTTGTACACTCAGTCTGACACTGGAGATTTAAACCTCGCAAAACTGCATAGGAACAGAGCCAACTGTCTCATTGCAACACATCAACTTGATATGGTAAGATAATTTATGTGACAATAATAATACAAGGCGGTATATACTAGTCTCTGACAATTATTTACATAATAAACTTATAGTAAGTCTGAAACAATATAACCAAGGTCTATCAAATATATTAATGAGATTTCATATTTTGCAATGTAAAGGGAATATTACTGTTGATTATTATGCTGAAAAATATGACAGAAGATCATTTTTTATATGAATGTGAAATTTAAATTTCAAGATATTTGAAGATATTTGTATTACAGGCTAAAGAGGCTATAGAACAATCTGTAAAGAATGATCCTACTTGTGCACATGCTCAGTACATATGTTTCAAGCTGGCTCTTCTGGAAAATAACAATGTCAAAGGTAGAGACAGTTTAAGCAACCAGTGTTATATTATACTTTGCAATATTCTTTATGCATAACATATGCATGAAAATGTTTGATTTTATTGTCAGCTTTTCTTTTCTTTTTTTTTCTATATGAGTTTCTTTATGTTGTATTTTATTATCATTGAAATTCATGAATGAGTATAATGTTTTAAACTAATATAATTATTGTCTGCCATAACAACAACTTTTAACTTTTAACTACAGGTTGTATAATTCAATTATTCTTTGAGATACTCCAAAATTGTCACCTTTTCAAAATAAACCATAGGCTCACATTCACATTTATGTTGTAGCATGTGAATCTTTGAAGAAATTATGTGAATTGGCTTCAACAGACAATGTAATAGCAAGTGGTGATTCTCTGGGCCTCTGTGGACTTGTGGCTCTAGCTGCTCAACAAGCTCTGGAGGTGACCCACATGGTTTTCTGATTTCAAATATGTTCATTTTCAAACTTGTCAAGGGTTAAGTTAGTATAATAACTTAGTTTAGAATTTCCATCTGTTGTTAATTATGTTTTTCTTAAAGTCTGAATTAATCACATTTTCATTGGCTGTGTTAATCAAACATACATTATTTTATCAATATATATGTTATTTAATGACCTAAAAGTATTAGGGAGAGCATAAAATAGCATTTTTTGTCTTTTTTTCATACACTTATCATTTGTTATAGTGTATTTATTTATTTATGAACATCTATTTTTTTATAATTAATTGGTATACTCAGACCTTGGATAAAACTGTAAGTGGGGTTTAAAATTGATAGGGTTTTTTTTACCATGTCACAGGAAGGGGCCCTAAAATCCATTAAAGTTTAGGAAATATTTTACAAAGGGGAACAAAATATCTTGATTTAAGTTCAATTTTGGGGGAAATTACTGTATAAATCTCCATGCAGGCCTTTTAAATGCCCCTGCTATAGAAGGAAACAAAGCCTTGTTTGAGGTTGATGGGGGTCAATGTCTCTGAGGCTAAAACAGGGCTAAAAGATACATCTACATTTTTTCAAAGGGCCTTCAGATACTAAATCATATCTTAAATGTTTAAATGTTTTTACCAGTATGGTACCTGCCATGGACTTCAAGTTCCGTTGGTTTCAATATGTACTTTACTCATCTTTGGGTAAAAATAATTTAATTGCAGATAAGACATTTTTACAGAAAGTTTGTGAATTCTAGGTAATTCTTGCTCAATATGTCTTATTTGAATAAGAGAATGTACATTATGTTAGGGAGGCTGCATTCCTTATTTCTGCATGGCCATGTTAAATTGGTCCCTTTCAGAAAAAAAAAACTTCCAGTTTTTAATGAACTTTTGTATTCATACTGTTTTTACTTATAATGTTCAGTGTTAAAAATTTAATATCTCTTTTCTTTGTGTACTCGAAAGATGAATATTTTTGTGTCGCCTCTACGGAGTAGTGGCGACATATAGGGATCACTTCTCCGTCGTTGCTGTCCGTCTTCGTCTGTCCTCCGTCGTCAAAAACGCCGGGACTACCCTCATAAACTACTGGTGCAATTCACCCAAAACTTTACGAAATGTCAGTATCAAGTCTATTTGTGCTTTTGTCAGCTTTTTCCGGTCAATGTTTTTGTCGAGTAGGGCCCCTTTAATATTTTTAATTTTAAATTTTTGCCCGGTACTTCTCTATACCCTAATGCTTTCAATGAAATTACGGGATTGTCTGTAGCTCAAGTTTTTGCCTATTGCAAAGGGTTTTCCGGTTAAATGTTTTTTGGCGATTTAGGCCTTTGATAAAAGTTTTTTTTTTCTGTGTTTTCCCAGATACACAAAAGCTGCCCGGACTACTCTCATAAACTCTGGGCAATTTCATCCAAATTTTAAAGAAGATCAGTACCATCTTTGTCATTTTGTAAATTTTTTTCCGGGTTAATGATTTTTGTCAGAGTTATGGGCCTTTAATAATTTTTTTAATTTTTAAAGTTTGTCCGGACTACTTCTCTTATACCACTAATGCAATTTCAATGAAACTTAACAGGATTGATCTGTAGCTCAAGTCCTTGCGCATATTGCACGGGTTTTCCGGTTGAATGATTTTTGGTTGAGTTATGGCCCTTTGATAAAAAGGTGTTTTTTTCTGTGTGTTGCCAGATACGCAAAAGCTTGTCCGGACTACTCCTCATAAACTACTGGTGCAATTTTATCCAAACTTTACAGGAATGATCAGTACCAAGTCTAGTTGTGCACTGTCCGTCTGTTTGTCCGTCTGTCACAAAATTTGTCTCAACATGAAATTGGCCATCATGAGGCGACACATGTGATCACTGATTGCTCTTGTTTATTAAAAAAGTTACTGCATAACAATTATCAGTACTTTAAAATATCAAATCTTAGCATGATATACATTTAATATTAAAGGTAATCATTGCTACTGAGGCTTGAAATAGACTCTTAAAGAGTCTTCATTTACTTTTCCACTTTTTAGATACATTTGTTATGTTTATACCTTGCACTAAATGGACTCTCTTAAGACTGCTAACCATTGATAAGGTATGACATCAATTGAATCAAGTTTATTTTGATTCTAAACATTGACTTTGTTACTTTTCTTGTACTTTAGAAGTGTTTTATCACTTTGTTAAAGTGAGATCAATAAATTCACATTTTTTGTTTGTTTTTTAGCTCACCTGTCACAAAGTGACAGGGTGAGCTTTTGTGATCGCTTTTCGTCCGGCGTCCGGCCGTTGTCCGTCCGTCATCCGTAAACTTTTACTTAAAATGACATCTCCTCATTAACCACTCAGCCAATTTCATCCAAACTTCACAGGAATGTTCCTTTGGTGGTCACCTTTGAAAATTGTTCAAAGAATTTAATTCCATGCAGAACTCTGATTGCCATGGCAACCAAAAGAAAAAAACTTAAAATATTTTCTTCTAAAAATCCCAAAGAGCTAGAGCTTAGATTTTTGGCATGAAACATCTTCTGGTGAGTGTCTACCAAGTTTGTTCAAATAAAAGCCCGTGGGTCAAAATTGGCCCCGCCCCAGGGGGTCATTGATTTTCCCTATATGCATATAGTAAAAACTTAAAAAATCTTCTTTTAAAGAACCAAAAGAGCTAGAGCTAAGATATTTAGCATGTAACATCTTCTAATGGGTGTCTACCAAGTTTGTCCAAATAAAAGCCCTTGGGTCAAAATTGGCCCGCCCCAGGGGGTCATTGATTTTCCCTATATACATATAGTAAAAACTTAAAAAATCTTCTTTTAAAGAACCAAAAGAGCTAGAGCTAAGATATTTAGCATGAAACATCTTCTAATGGGTGTCTTCCAAGATTGTTCAAATAAAAGCCCTTGGGGTAAAAATTGGCCCCGCCCAAGGGGTCATTGATTTTCTCTATATGCATATAGTAAAAACTTAAAAATTCTTCTTTTAAAGAACCAAAAGAGCTAGAGCTAAGATATTTAGCATGAAACATCTTCTAATGGGTGTCTACCAAGTTTGTTCAAATAAAAGCCCTGGGGTCAAAATTTGCCCCGCCCCAGGGGGTCATTGATTTTCCCCATATGCATTTAGTAAAAACTTTAAATATCTTCTTTTAAAGAACCCAAAGAGCTTGAGCTAAGGTATTTAGCATGAAACATGTACTAATGGATGTCTACCAAGTTTGTTCAAATAAGAGCCCTGGGGTCAAAATTGGCCCAGCCCAGGGGGTCATTGATTTTCCAAATTTCCTTGTATGTGTATAGGAAAAACTTAAAAAATCTTCTATGGAAAAAACCAAATAGAGTTTAGATATTAAGCATGAAAGATCTTCTAGTGAGTGTCTACAAAGTTTGTTCAAATAAAAGCCCTGGGGTCAAAATTGGCCCCACCCTGGAGGTCATTCATTTTCCCTATATGTGTAAAACTATAGCAAAAATTAAAAAATCTTCTTTGAAAAAACCCAAATAGCTAGAGTTTAGATATTAAGCACGAAGCATCTTCTAGTGAGTGTCTTCAAAGTTTGTTCAAATAAAAGCCCTGGAGTCAAAATTGGCCCGCCCCAGGGGATATTAATTTTCCTTATACGAGTAAAAATCTTCTTTGAAAAAACCCGAATAGCTAGAGTTTAGATATTAAGCATAAAACATTTTCTAGTAAGTGTCTACAAATATTGTTCAAATAAAAGCCCTGGGGTCAAAACTGGCCCTGCCCCAGGTGTGTCATCGTTTTTAACTATATGTGTAAAGAAAAAACTTAAAAAAATCTTCTTTTAAAAATCCCAACAAGCTAGACCTTAGAATTTTTTGTTTAGCATGAAACATTTTCTAATGGTTGTCTACCATTAGTTTGTTCAAATAAAAGCCCCAGGGTTTAAACTGGCCCCGCTCCGGGGGCCTATGTACAGGTGAGCGACTTCAGGGCCATCATGGCCCTCTTGTTTACATATGGTGGTTTTCTCTAGACTGACAAGACAGAAGCAGCTTGTGTAGCATTGGAACATCTTAGCAATACCAGCACAGATATTGAACAGGTGCTCACATCTCTCAGATGTCTTATTAGACTTAAGCTGTCAGTTGCTGACAAATCTACAGAGCACAGGTAGGTATGGAAACAGGCTTACATTTTGTTTATGATGAATCTGTCAATACATGTGTCTGAATGACAATATATCCATTTTGAATTACAAGTATTTATTTTTTGTTTTCCATTAGTACAAATGCACTTTCTTGTATTTTTATATATTTTTCAAAAACCCAAACCTACTCATTTCAGTTTAAGAAAGAACAAAAACACCATTGACAAAACATTTTTTTTATTTTGAAAAACATTGTTTTCTTGTAACTTATTGCTCCACTTATGAGAAAAATTTATGTTTTTACAGTGATTGATAACCCTTTTATTTAATAGATATTGTACTGATTTTGTTTCAGAAACGAAGCTTTTGAAATCATATCTTACATCAGAATGGGTAATTTTCATCTGCTGATATTATAGTATGTTATAATGTAAACAAAGAGAAAACTTGCAATATTGCAATGCCACACATTCTTTTAATTCATCTTTATTAGCTCTTACACTGATATATTTGTAATGTATAAGTTAACTTTCTGTGACTAGTTTGGTTAGTTGTGGCATAAGCATGTTCAATTAAGACAATTTTTCAGTGTAAAAGAAAAAAATGAATTTGAAATTATTGTCTGTTAATCATGTAAATTGTAAAAAAATGCCCTGTTTGCATTGTAATTCTGAATCTGATCTTGTTAACATTGCAGGATACAACAAACTTTTAAAGCTGCAAGATGAGGATAACAACAGAAATCAGTTTGTCCAGAATGAGGCCAACTGGCTCATGAAAATAGGTATATATCTTCACAGGCTGTATAGTTCTCACTGTGTTTTGATTAATAATCCTTTTACTCCATTTAGGACCCTATCATGGCCAAATTTTTAATTGGTCAACTGCACATATTTGGCTCTTTTTGACTTTTTGCCATTCAAATTACAAAAGGGACATTGAATTTTTTTATGTATCCAGTAAGCTTTTAAGGCACATATATTGTGCATAAATGTTTAAGAGATTCTTTTGTAGGAAAGGTAAAAATATGTGATGCATCAAATTAAAAGTAAATGAATTTCTTACTAACATTGCTATTATTTTTTTAAATGATTTTGCTAAAGAAAAATGAAATTTGTATTGATATTTCAGCTTGGAATTTGGCATTACAGTATGAAGATGAGCCTTTACAAATGAAGGAACTTTACACACTTTGTTCACAGGTAATATAAATCTATGAGATTCACAGGAAATGTCCCTCTGAAAAAAACATTTTGTTACAGGCAGGGGTAGAAATTCATAGGGAAAACTTGTGTGAGATTTTTTTTCTCTCCAGGGATACAATTTGTCTTGTTTTTAAGATATAATTTTTCTAATACATTATAAGCACCTGAACAGCATTACTTGTGAAGACCTTAACTGCTGTATTTACTAAGGATTTTGTTTTTGTATTTTATAAAATCTGGTAATTGCTAAATGTTAGAAGCAAATTACTAGTAATTTATTGAGTAGTTACAACTAGGTATATGGTTATATAAATATATTACAGTTGCTGTCATTGAATGCCCAGGATGAAAGTTGTCAGTCAAGACAAATGACTTGTATACTAATGTCTGCAGCTGCTTGCCTACAAGTTGCCAGAAATACAAATGAGGAGGATAAAAGGGTATCAGTTTATATATAACAAATTGTCTGAATCAAAGTGAATTAATAAGAATTATTTACGAATGTCAATAATTACATTTATTTTTCAAGAAAATACTGTTACTTGTCGTCAAAGCTCTCAGTTCATAGCATTCGGAACAATTCGGTATGGTTGTGGGTTATTTGGATTTCTTCGGCATTTGTCGTAGGTACGGTCTGGTTCCCATCATTCATTTAATATAGTAGGTGGGTTAAGTTCAGTAAGTCGGGTATAAGTCAGACAGGCTTAACCGTATAAAAGTTCGGGAAAGGCGTGCATCGCTCTCTTTTCGCCGAACAGCTAGCTTACAGCCAGTTCTACAAGTACTTTAGATTAATTTTTCAATGCCACGTGGTCGTTCTTCTAAGAGAAGGGTCGAACCCTCAGTTGGAACAAGAAGCCATTCAGGCAGGAGAAATGCTGCCCCTCGACACAGGGATGGGAATGCAGTTGATAATTCCCCAAGCCATACGGACAGCCGACAACCCGGACCAAGCGTTGAATCACCAGCTCCCGTTGATAGCCATACACGAGGCAGGAAGCGTGCATGTGATGCCTTAGCAGACAACGAGGACAGCTGCCTTTTACAGCCTAATGCGGGTAGGTCCTCTCAGATTATTGATTTTGAAACTTTAATTCGCGATTCTGGTGTTCTGCCCCCGGAAAATAGAAACAGAAATGTTCTTGATGGACATCGTGGCCAATGTGCTTGCAATAATACTTCCGGTACTGGCGATTCTGTCGATAACATTGACGTTCCTAATTGCCCGGTAATTCAGTCCACCCAGCAAATTGGCTCGCATATCCAGCCTGAAGTACGTTTAGCAGGGGATGATTTGGCAGCTCATGTCCCGTCTTCCATCAAGCAACAGATCTGTAAGGGGGAATATGTTAATTTAGCCCTTCTTTTAAAGGGAGCGGTTGAGCTGTCAGAATTTTGCAGTGGTAGCGTTTTAAGGTTAGTAGGTTCCGATGGTCATCTAGAAACATCGAAACGTGAATGTAAGGATAAAGTCCAATCTATTGAGCGCTGGACAGATGCATTTATCATCTATGCGTCCGTATATCTTTCTACACATGCTGATAAAACATACGATCTTCTTCATTATTTGTTCACAATAAGGGAATGCGCTGCACATCAAGGAGGTTACGCATGGAGAACCTATGACGAGCAGGTCCGTATCCGTCAGGCACTCTCGCCTTCCCCTTGGTCAGTGATCAATAACGACCTCTGGTGGCGTTGCATGCAGGTGCGGAACAGTCCTAGGTCTTCAACCTCGTTTAGCTTCAAATGCTTAGATTTTAATCAAGGAAATTGTAGGTGGCCGAATTGCAGATTTGTGCATCTTTGCAAAATATGCGGCGATTCGCATCCAGCAATAGTCTGCCCTAGTCAGCAAAACGCACCGCAGAGTAATTTTCAGTCAGCTGGCCCATCAAGAGGGCGGCCTTATTTTCGTCCATTCAATGGTCGAGGCAGAGGTCAACAGCAAAAATAATCCCCGAAATTTAGATGTTACTAGTCTAGCAATATCGCCAATTAATGTCATTATGTTGGAAAAATATCTTTTATTTTATGATCAAAATGAGGCTTCATTTTTGTTGAATGGTTTCAAATACGGCTTTCGAATACAATACAGCGGCCCCCGCAAAGCTCGGGATTCACCAAATCTTAAGTCGGCAAAATTAAATCCGCAAATAATTAAAAAACAAATCAACACAGAAATTTTAGCGGGTAGAGTAGCGGGACCTTTCAAGGACCCCCCTTTTTCAAATTTGGTTATATCCCCGATAGGTCTCATTCCGAAGAAAAACCCTGGGGAATTTCGTATGATTCATCATCTTTCGTACCCCACGGGCGAGTCTATAAATGATTATATCGACCCAAACCTATGTTCGGTTCAATATACAAGCTTCGATGAAGCCGTCAAATTGGTACAAGATTTAGGAAAGAATTGTAATCTGTTTAAGGTAGACATAAAAGTGCATTTCGTCTTATACCAATTAACCCCTGCGACTTTGAATTATTAGGGTTTCGTTTTGAAGACAATTTGTACGTTGACAAGGCACTTCCCTTTGGTGCCTCAATAAGTTGCATAACATTTGAGAGATTTTCTCGTTTTTTAGAGTTTTTAGCTAAATCTAAGATGAAGTTGCCAATGCTTATTCACTACCTTGATGATTTTTTAGGAGGGGCGAAAACAGCAGATGACTGCATTATGGCATTACAATCATTTAAGGCAACAATGTCCGAATTAAACGTTCCGTTAGCGGAAGATAAAACGTTCGGTCCAGTTAAGGTAATTGTTTACCTTGGGCTTGAACTCGATACCGAAAATATGGTGGTCAGAATACCGCAATCAAAATTAAACGAAGTTAAAGAAAAAATTCTTCACTTGTTATCAAAATCTAAAACAACGCTAAAAGCAATGCAGTCATTAATTGGATCTTTGAATTTTTGCTGCCGCGCAATTGTCGTCGGCAGACCGTTTATTAGGCGTTTTATAAACACAACGTGCGGCCTTTCAAAACCGCACCATCATATTCGTATTAATAAAAACACTCGTTTAGATTTAGAAATGTGGTTGTCTTTTCTCAATAAGTTAAACGGAATTTCCGTTTTTCATGACCGCTATTGGGTTACAAATGAGGACGTGCAATTATTCACTGACAGCGCCGGTGGTCATGGCATGGGCTTTGGTATATATTTTCAAGGTCATTGGTGCAATGCAAGGTGGCCTGATTCCTGGCATACTTCGGGGATAACATCTGATATTACATCTTTAGAATTGTTTCCTATCGTTGTCACACTATTTATATGGGGTTCGGAATTAAAAAACAAAAAGATTAAAGTAAATTGTGATAACATTTCAGTGGTGCATATTTTAAGTAAACTAACCTCAAAATCGGATCGCGTCATGAATTTAGTAAGGATTCTAACTCTCAGGTGTTTAGAGCTGAATGTCCTTTTAAAAGGCTGTCACGTGGAAGGTTACAACAATAATATATGTGACGCTTTATCTCGATTTCAGGGGGAACGATTCAGGCTACTCGCTCCCGAGGCCGACTCGGAACCTCGCCTTGTGCCGACCTTTCTGTGGGATATCTTCAATTTAGAGCCGGGCAGTTATTACGGTCTGGAATAGCACACAATTCTCTTAAGACTTATCAAGTAGCATTGAGTATGTTTACAAAATTTAGGAGGAAATATGAATTCCAAAATTTATGGCCAATACCGGTTCGGCATGTGGTTTTATTTATAGCTCATTGTTTTGAAAAGGGGCTCTCACCTAAAAGCATTTCATCCTACATTTCTGGTTTAAATTATTATCACAAATTGTCAGAATTTTACGATATTGCTCAAAATTTCATTGTGAAGAAAATCCTGGAAGGTTGACACCGGAAACGCCGTACAAAGGACAAGCGGGCCCCGTTGACATTTAATGTACTTACTGCAGTTTGCGCGGCATTACAACATGTTGCAACAAATCAGTACTTAAGGCGCTATTCTCACTAGCATATTTTGGGCTTTTTAGAGTCAGTGAGCTAGTTGCTCCCATGCCAGGTACGGACAGTCAGTTACAGTTAAGGGACATTAAATTGTCAAACAATACTTACATATTGGTTAAACTACAAAACTATAAAAATAATCAACGGGGTAAGCAAGTTGAATTGAAAATTCCGAGCATCGATCATTATCTTTGCCCTGTTCAAGCAATATCTGCTTATATAGCAATTAGGCCGTCTATTGGCGGTCCTTTATTTTGTCATTCTAACAGTTTACCGGTTACAAGATCACAATTTTCTTTCGTTCTTAAGAAATGTATTTCTAAAACACTGTTTCTGGCTGGTCATTATAGGTCACACAGTTTTAGGATCGGTAGGGCAACTGATTTAGCTGCATCAGGGGTTACCATGGAAACTATAAAGAAAATGGGCCGTTGGTCCTCTGATTGTTATAAAACGTATATTCGTCAGTAGCTTGTTCTGATTAAGGTCACGCAGCGCCTAAGTAAATTGTTGTGATGTATTTGTATTTTTCTTCTATTTAGATGTGTGGGTTCTTGGGGATTCAATCCCGTACTGGGCTGGTATACGAGCTAAAGCCACTGGAAAGACCAATCTGCACTTGCCAGGTAAGGTGATTGCCTGGTGGGCTGTTAGGGGTCTTCGATGGCTGTCATTTCGTCGTACCATTGAAGCTCAAGTTCTGCTTTCAACCCCACCAGAAATTATTGCAATTCACCTTGGCGGGAATGACCTGACCTCTAAATCCATATTCCAAATTAAAAACATAATATCTCGTGAGGTCAGGTATTTGCGTACAGCCTTTTCGACTGTTACAATTATTTGGATTGATATCCTCCAGAGACGTGTGTGGCCTGGCGCACTTAAGGGCTTGCAGACCATTGAAAATAAAAGACAGAGAGTTAATCGCTTGGGGAGATATTTGGTTCGCTCTTCTGGCAAACACGATATAATATCCCCGGATATAGATTCAGCCACTGGGTTTTGGCGTGAGGACGGTATCCACTTAAATGATGTGGGCCTTGAGTTCTATTTAGACTATCTTAAGGACGCTTTTTTAAAAAACATTGCACAAAATAATTAAGTTTCGAATTTTTGGGGGATAAATTTAATTGAATTTATTGTGGTGGAAAAATTCTGTTAGCTGAGAGTTTATCAGGCGAACCAAAACTTCATTGCATTTTGTGTCATAAAGTTTTTATCTGCTGGTCGTGTTTTTCTCCGATATCGGTGGAGGGGTCATGACCTCATTCCCGTCGGTTTCGGGGCAAATACGACTAGTTTTCATAACCTGTCATTCATAGTTTTAGTTTTGGTCATATATCAAGCCTGGAGTACTGTGCGCTTGCCAAGAAGGACTTCAATATTTTAAGTCAAGTTGCGTTTCTAGGATTTGCCCAAATGACACGTAGTCTGGCAATCCTAGCTTGCCTTGTTTCTGTTACGCTTGCTTTGGTTTTCCCGTGAGTCTAGCTTGCTTTATTCGTAACAGTTTTGCTGAATATACTATTCGCACAGTGTTTGCTCGTTGGTTTGCCAGTTATTTGCATACATCTTTTTAACTCTCAGCTGATGGAATGTTTACGTCATATAACAGTTGCTTTATGGCATTCCCTGTTATATAAGTGGCCATATTTCTCCAATCTTAATATCTGGGAACATTTTGATGTTAAGGTTGATTGAATAAAAGTGTAAACTATACTATTTGTTATTCATTTTTCGTATGATAAAATAATAAGAATTATTTACGAATGTCAATAATTACATTTATTTTTCAAGAAAATACTGTTATTTGTCGTCAAAGCTCTCAGTTCATAGCATTCGGAACAATTCGGTATGGTTGTGGGTTATTTGGATTTCTTCGGCATTTGTCGTAGGTACGGTCTGGTTCCCATCATTCATTTAATATAGTTGGGTTAAGTTCAGTAAGTCGGGTATAAGTCAGACAAGCTTAACCGTATAAAAGTTCGGGAAAGGCGTGCATCGCTCTCTTTTCGCCGAACAGCTAGCTTACAGCCAGTTCTACAAGTACTTTAGATTAATTTTTCCCTTCCCGCCCACCCAATAGTACTGGTGTTAAGATGTGTTTATATTGAATCTTATTTAAATGTTTCTTGTACATATGTGTTCTTTCTCTGCTGCATTCTGTTTAATCTTTTCAGAGTTAAGATCCTGTCACATCAAATATGAGATACCTGTAGGCAAAGAACAAGAAAATTCATTGGATACAGCATAACAGTTCCATGAATCAACCTCTGTGTGCAGAATTTGTCAATGAACATTATCAATATATAATTTAAAGGTGTTTTATAAAGACAATGTCAGTGTCGTAAATCTTGTTCTTTCTATCTTTTTTAAATACTGGAAAGCTGTAATCATCTTTTAATATAGATTGGTATCTTATATTATTCATATTACATTATTCATATTACATTAATTAGTATTACGTCTTTGCAACACTCATTTTAAGTTAGTCACTTACGGCGGAAAAATTCTGTTAGCTGAGAGTTTATCAGGCGAACCAAAACTTCATTGCATTTTGTGTCATAAAGTTTTTATCTGCTGGTCGTGTTTTCTCCGATATCGGTGGCGGGGTCATGACCTCATTCCCGTCGGTTTCAGGGCAAATACGACTAGTTTTCATAACCTGTCATTCATAGTTTTAGTTTTGGTCATATATCTAGCCTGGAGTACTGTGCGCTTGCCAAGAAGGACTTCAATATTTTAAGTCAAGTTGCGTTTCTAGGATTTGCCCAAATGACACGTAGTCTGGCAATCCTAGCTTGCCTTGTTTCTGTTACGCTTGCTTTGGTTTTCTCGTGAGTCTAGCTTGCTTTATTCGTAACAGTTTTGCTGAATATACTATTCGCACAGTGTTTGCTCGTTGGTTTGCCAGTTATTTGCATACATCTTTTTAACTCTCAGCTGATGGAATATTTACATCATATAACAGTTGCTTTATGGCATTCCCTGTTATATAAGTGGCCATATTTCTCCAATCTTAATATCTGGGAACATTTTGATGTTAAGGTTGATTGAATAAAAGTGTAAACTATACTATTTGTTATTCATTTTTTCGTATGATAAAATAAATGGAAAATGGTTGATAATCATGGAATGTCAAGATATGTATTTATCATTTTGAAATGTATTCATAAATTAACTTATTTGAATACATTTTGTTACCATTCGAACATTAAAATATTGATGTGCCTGTTATATAATTTTATTTGTCACCAATGTTACTGAATTCAAGCAAGAAGTTATTTACAATTATGAAATATTTTTTAATAGAAAGGTGTGCTAGAAGAGTGCCTTGAACATCTGGGTGCCTGTAGAGAACTGTATGGCAGAATAAGGCAGCATTTTATAGGAATGCCAGGTATATATGAAAATTATACATAATTCTGATAATTGGAAGAATGATATTTTTTCTTTAGAAATATGAAAAGTAGTCACTGTTTGACATTGGTTCCAAAAGATAGGAAAGATATGTGAATAAATGTACAAGTTAATATCTTTATTGAACACTTTACAAGTATAGGTTATAATTGACTTGTGCGATAAAAAAGGATTCATTTCTTGTAAAAATGTTTCAGACTCGTACTTAAACTCAGTTTATTATACCCCCAGAAACGAAGTTTGGCGGGGTATATAGGAGTCGCCCGGTGGTCAGTTGGTTGGTCGGTCCAGACATCCGTTGCATTTTCCTTGTCCAGAGCATAACTTGAAGACTAATGGTTGGAATTCAATATAACTACATACAATGGTCAAGCACATTGAGAGGAAGTGCAGTGCACAAGAACCATAACTCTATCTTGACTAATTACAGAGTTATTGCCCTTTGTTACTTTTCCTTGTCCGGGGCATAACTTGAAAACTACTGGTTGGAATTCAAAACAACTTCATACAATTGTCAAACACAATAAGGGGAAGTGCAGTGCAAAAGAACCATAACTCTATTTAAAGTAATTACAGAGTTACTGCCCTTTATTACTTTTCCATTGCTTTCTTTTGTCCGGACCATAACTTGAAGACTAATTGTTGGAATTCATTATAACTTCATACATTGGTCAAGCACATTGAGAGGAAGTGCAGTGCACAAGAACCATAACTCCATCTTGACTTATTACAGAGTTACTTCCCTTTGTTACTTTTCCTTGTCCAGAGCATGACTTGAAAACTACTGGTTGGAATTCAAAACAACTTCATACAATGGTCAAGCACAATAAAGGGAAGTGCAGTGCACAAGAACCATCAGTCCATCTTGACTAATTACAGAGTTATTGCCCTTTGTTACTTTTCTATTGCTTTTTTTGTCCGGAGCATAACTTGAAGACTAATGGTTGGAATTCAATATAACTTCATACAATGGTCAAGCACATTGAGAGGAAGTGCAGTGCACAAGAATCATAACTCCATCTTGATTAATTACAGAGTTATTGTCCTTTGTTACTTTTCCTTGTCCAGAGCATAACTTGAAAACTACTGTTTGGAATTCAATTCAACTTCATACAGTTGTCAAGGACATTAAAAAAAAGTGCAGTGCACAAGAGCTATAACTCCATTTTGACAAAATACAGAGTTACTGCCCTTTGATACATTTCCTTGTCCGGAACATAACTTAAAACGTACTGGTTGGAATTCAAAACAACTTCATTCAATGGTCAAGCACAATAAGAGGAAGTGTAGTGCACAAGAACTATAACTCCATCTTCAGTATTTATAGAGTTACTGCCCTTTGTTCCTTTTCCTTGTCTTTCTGGACTTATTACAGAGTAATACAATAAAACTTCATCAATGGCCAACCACATTGAAAGGAAATGCAACATACTAGAACCACAACTATCTTTAATTGCCCACAACCATAACTCTTTATTTCAATTCTTTTACAAGGTATTCTGTTACTAGTAACATCCTCATTTCCGAAGCAGTCTTGTGGGGGTATTAATCACATTTAGTGATAGTTCTAGTTAGAACAAAAGGGTTCATAACCTCAGATCCCCTTTCAAAATTCCATTCCATTTAGATCCGCCCATTGTTGTCTCGTTTAGGGCACAGGCATTCTTTGACTTTGGGACCATACGCCGCTTTTCATGGAATGGCACTACTGTGTCACATTGAGGGTTCCATGAGAACGACCGTATGAACACATGTGTGGATGTTCTTAATTCAAAATTTCACCATTTTCGTGTTTAAATGTTGAATTCTGCTTAAGGCGGTGCTAGGGAGCGTGGACAGTAACTTGCACTTTCCAGTACCGTCCATGAAAAGGCTCAATCAAATGGAGCCGGCAACATTGTCAATTTTGCCGTGTTGGGCTTTCTTTAGGGATTCTGTTTTTCTCAATTTTATCATTGAAATATTTCGATTAGGAATTTAAGATATATTTAAAATAAGGCCAATGATCATGCTCCAGTGCTTCCTTGACAGGGTTTTCATAAGTTGTTTTTTTATTATAAGTTATATTGGCTTGCAAAGGATGTTTTTATGTGTAAAAGCAAAAAATAATATCTACTTAACTAACATTAACTAAGCTATTTATATTGTTAATGGACTCAATACAAAAAGTGGAATATTTGCCTCCTAAGATGACAAGAAACATCAAAGCCTCTTATCAGTGGACTACCTTGTAAATATTGACCTGGGATTTAATGTTTGGCAAATTTTACTAGCTATTGGAAGACGCCCAGGAATATCTTTAGGATATACAAGTTCTGTTGTATGATGTGTCATAATGTTACAAGGAGAAAATTAACATTTAAACTAATTACATGAGGTCACAGTTTAATTATCTAGTCTCAACCAATGTATACATGTATACAAGTTATAACCTGATTTACAGAATCGCATAACAGGGAGACAGATATTCTACTTTTATTGTATGAGTTTGAGGCTCGTATTCACCTGAAAGATCCTGGAGTGGAGAATGTTCTAGAGAAAGCACTCACAACATCTGGACCGGATCCTAAAACATTTGAGACACTAGCAGGTCAGTTACTTTGGTGAAAAAGTACAGAGGGGACAAGTCTACATTTGAAACTAAAAGCACACTTGTGCAAATTTGTTTGTTTTTACATTTAAAGCAACAATGATAATTTGTATATAGCAAGAAAGTTTTCATGAGAAATTACAAAGTTTAGGTATTGTTTTCAAGGTAAAATATTCAAATGGACAATGAGTAAGTTAATGATTGGTAATGTGAAATAGATATTGTTTATAATTATGTTCTTCTACTCCAGGAGTCTATTTATGAAAATAAATCATTTAAATAGCATACAGCAAAGTCATTGTATAGAAATATTATGTATTACTATCATTCATTTTACAGCTATAGCAATAGAACCACCAGCTCATAACAAGAATGTTGGTGTAAGAGCCTTGAAAGTGGCCATAAGGAAACATCTACAGGCTAAACAACCAGACCTATCAAAATGCAGGTACATCATTCTGAAGTGCATAGTGCTGTCCCTTGATCATTTGCTTTTATGCTGATCACCTATATTTGTGTATTTTGAAAACTTTCAAAATTGAATAAATGTTGCCCATTATGTGTGTAGCATTTAAGTTTAAAATGCAACTCAAAATATTTTTTTTAATTAATTTCAAATAGGGAATTGGCTGTAGGCTTGAAGGTTCATAATTATTCTAACCTCAGTTATTGGGTAGTGTAGGTGATATTGAACAAGTGTGTATGTTTTTGATTTCATGTCAGTTATATTATGATTAATATTTATCATTGTTTTACTTCATTTGCAGAATGAACAAGTTTTGATAATGTAATCTTTATATTTTATGATATTTCAGTAAACTGTTTCACAGTTTGATTCAACTGTGTCTAAGTGGAGGGTCTGCTCAGGATATATCTGGTAAACAGGATGCATGGAACTATTACATGGAAATATTTGACCTAATCACTACCACACAACTGGTTAGTCAGTGTAGATATTGTTTGCCTTTATACATGTATATTTTTCAGTTTGGAAACTATAATTACAATATCCTCTATTAGACTATTACATATGTAGTAACACACTCAGATTACAGACTAGAAATGATAACTATCTTGCTACAGTCCATGCAGATTTTGAAAAAAAAATATCACTACAATGCTAAATAAAATTTAAAGGGACTGTACTGAGTTTTTTTTGACATTGGGGGAACGGAAATATTTTTCCCGAGATCTGTGCAAATTTTCAGATTATTCTCTAACCCCCGTTTTTTAAATGATTTTATTGTGCAAAATAACCCGAAAATGAAAAGCATTGCAAATCATGCTGAGAATTTACAAAAAAATGATATTCAATTTTACTCTAAATATATATTTTTTTAATTATCTTTAGCAATTTTTTTTTCATTTTGATATGTGTAAGAATTTAAAATTGTTTTTGCTTGATGGCCTCAGTGGAGCTCCTTTAATGACAATTTAGGAATAATCATCAATACATTTGTACATTACTCTGTTTGTTCTATTATCTCAAGGTCACTAGAATCTTGAAATGAGCTTTAAAAATTTTCTACAGACTATATATATCTATCATTGAAATTGTATGCTAACACATGGAGATGATTATAAAGGTATGAAAAATTAACCAGCATATAATTTTTAGAACTTGTTCTTTTCAACAAAGATTTATATTTACATACTAGGGTGAATATCCAGAGATGGAGATTGTCTGGTTAATGACAAAAGCTTGGAACTGTGGCATCAGTTTATATAGGTCAGTGATATTATCCTCATGGGCTTTTCAGCCTAATGGAATTGTGGAATTAAACATTTATTATTACCAGTAAACTTTGATTACAGGATTATTTTTCTTACACGGGGACGTTTAAAAAAGACTTTAATCGGTTATTTTAAAAAAGCTTTGTCAAGCTGAAATCCTGTTTTAAAGTATCCAATGTTTTTCTAAAGTTATTTGCTTTAAACAAAAATTATGTTAAGTGTTGTCTAAGTTGCAGCTAGACTTAGTTTTAAAAGATAAGACATTATACAGCAACTGCAAATGTCCAGACCTTTTTGACAATTTTGCAAATTCGTAAGTTATTTAACCCTTAACCTACATGTAATGAAAGTGATTAGCCTTTGCCAATAGTATTATATCCAGTCCTGTGTACACTACTATACAGACTGAGCAGGCTGACTATACTGTTATTTTCTTAACTGTAAATTGAAGTCTTAAAAATTCATAATGGCCATTTAATCCCAAAATAAAAGCTGGACAATTATACAAATGTGTTAAGAGTAAATGTTAAAACAGTTATCACATTTATTTTATTAGTTGTAATAAGTATACAGAGGCAGAGAAATGGTGTGGTATGAGTATGAGATTGTTAAAATACCTTCCTACATTCAGAAATAACTACCAAGATCATGTAAGTAACCACTTGGTTTATTCAGTGACATTATGCTCATTTTTCTCTGTCAAGTTGAGTTGAATTACATATATATTACAAGAGATTGACTATTAGATTGTTGATTGACCAATAATAGATAATTAAATAAAAACTATTTTATGATAAAAAGACTGCCTAATTGAATGTTACCAATAGTCACACATTCCAAACAAAATTTGAAGAAATATCCATGGGTATGAATTATTTTTGCGTAGTAAAATATAAAACTGAAAACATTTTTGGCAAAATGAAGTTATTGTGCACTCACAATTTACACTTGGATGGGCATAATGCCACTTTAAATTTGTCAAGATAACACCAATGTTTTATAGAGTCGTTTTATAAAAAAAGAATGATATTTAAAATAAATGTTTTACATGAAGTAGCTTTAATAATATAAAAGATGGGGAAAATGAATTATTCTATATATGTTTTAGATGAGCAGTGTGTATGCTGATATCCTGGCCAAAGTTGAGAATACAGCTAAGAGACCCAGTCTTGAAATGCTAGATGTACCAGTGTGATATTTTATTTTTTGTTTCTTATAGAGACAATTCGGAATAAGTTAAGACAAATGTTAAATAGCCAAAATGAATTCAATTTAACATTTAAAAAAAAAGTGGAACTCTGTGATCATTTGATAATGGACATTGTCAGTAAAATACTGAAAATAGATATTTCAAATTGTATATATTATTTCTGGAAAATTTCCACAGTCATCAAGCATTTGATTGTGCACATTTTTAATGGTTATATACTGAGATTATAGTTTTATGAAAAATATGATGTATTAATTATTTCTGTATATGAATAAACCTTACTTTTAAACTGTTCACATGCAGCATGCTTTTTTTTATATCCCCACCTCTTATTACTTGTGGATGATACCATGAGATATCATATTACAGGCATATAATCAAGCTGAGACAACAGATGTGCCAACAAGGGTCAGGGGGGGGGGGGGGGGTTTACAGGCTGATACAACTGATTTTGATAGTAATTCAACAGATGATATGGATCACCTATCTGTTATTAATGAATAACCTTCATTAGTACTGAAATGAATATTTTGTCATATGTTATAATAGAACAAGCAACAAGTTAATTTGATTATTTCCTAGGCTGTTATCATGAGCTTGGTTTAAAGAATATTTGTAAACCAAGCTGGGGTGTGCTGCTTTTATGGTGTAATACTATCATTATCATTATAAATGAAATTTTTTTAAATGCAAGTATCTTTACATTTTTTTCTTGATGTTACATGGAATTGTTTTTTTTTGCTGCTTTAAGGGTTAAATACTAGCTGATATTGTTATTATCATTCTAATTGAAAATTTTGTTATGCAAGGATTTGTATATTTTTTTCTTGATGTTACACAGAATTGTTTACTATTGATATGACCGATTATTATGCTCCCCGAAAATTTTGGGGGGAGCATATAGTCGCCGGGTTGTATGTCAGTGCATCCATCCGTACGTCCAGAATTCGTGTCCGGCCCATAACTTTGTTATTTGAAGACGGATTTTACAACTATTTCACAGAAATGATCACCATATTCAGACAACCTGTCGTGCGCAACATTTGGGTCGCTACCTTAAAGGTCAAGGTCACAGCATGACCTTGCAGCAAAATTGTGTCCGGACCTTAACTTCATTATTTGAAGTCGGTTTTAAAACTATTTCACAGAAATGATCACCATATTGAGACTATGTGTCACGCACAACATTTGGGTGGCTACCTTGAACGTCAAGATCACAGCATGGCCTTGCAGCAAAATCAAGTCTGGCCCATAACTTTGTTATTTGAAGTCGAATTTTTAAACTATTTCACAGAAATGATCACTATATGGAGACAAAGTGCCGGGCGCAACATTTTGGTCGCTACATTAAAGGTCAAGGTCACAGCATGACCTTGCAGCAAAATGGTGTCTGGCCCATAACTTCATTATTTGAAGTTGGATTTTACAACTATGTCACAGAAATGATCACCATATTGAGACGACGTGTCGGCGCAAATTGGTAGATAGATCTCACAGAGAAGAAGTGCAGTGCAAAGAACAGTAACTCTGTCTTGCCTAAATTTGGAATTATCACATTTCTAAACTTAGTCTTGGACATAACTCTGAAACTACAAAAGATATACTTTTCTGTGTCCAAAACTTAGTCGGGGAGCATCATCCGGTTCAACCGGCTCTTGTTATATTTAAAGATATCAATTAAACAAAAAATCGCAATGCAATCAATACGCTAGTCAGGTCGTCATTTTCACAAATGATCTTGAAAAATAAACATTTTCATGGAATTATTTTTGATGAGATTTAAAGTATAATGTCTCAGCTACCGTATGCACTAACTCATTTCTTCCAATTTGAAGTACAATCATGCCACGGATGCCCCCGCATGCAGCCAAAATTTCAGATGTTATAATATTTAGTTCCAAATTTGTTTGCACAAATTATTTTTTTCATTTGCAGTTCAAAGCCCTTTAAACTTTTCTATGTTTACACAAACCATTTTCATACAATGTTCAAAGCACTGAAAATATTCAGTCTTTACCTTTTGAAAATAGCTGAAAGTTCAAAATTTTTCCAACATTCAAGAAAGATAACTTTGTCCAAAATCATTGAACCAAGACCAAATTCAAACTTTCCACAAAAGTATGAGTGCTGCTTATTTCTAAGATGTATCTATATTATTTTCAAAGTGAAAGGGACATAACTCTGCCAAAAAATCATCGAACCATGACCAAATTCCAACTTGACCTGCCCATTCCTTTGACATATCCATATGTTAAATTTGAGTTGAATATGTAACACTGTTGGGTAGATTATAAATGAACAGAAACTGTAAATTTCATATTATTTTCAAAGTGAAAGGGGCTTTACTCTGCCAAAAATCATTGAACCATGACCAAATTCGAACTTGGCCTGGGCATTCCAAAAACATATCCATATGTCTAATTTGAGTTGAATGTGTTGTACTGTTGGGGAGATAATAAACAGAAACTGAAAATTTTATATTATTTTCAAAGTGAAAGGGGCATAACTCTGCCAAAAATCATTGAACCATGACCAAATTTGAACTTGACCTGCGCATTTCTTTGATGTATCCATATGTCAAGTTTGAGTTTGTGTTGTACCGTTGAGGAGATTATGAACGGAAACTGAAAATTTCTTATTATTTTCAAAGTGAAAGGGGCATAACTCTGCCAAAAATCATCGAACCATGACCAAATTCGAACTTGACCTGTATTTTCTCAAGACATATCCATGTCAAATTTGAGTTGAATGTGTTGTACCTTTGGGGAGATAATGAACGGAAACTGAAAATTTCATATTACTTTCAAAGTAAAAGGGGCATAACTCTGCCAAAAATCATCGAACCATGACCAAATTCGAACTTGACCTGTATTTTCTCATGACATATCCATATGTCAAGTTCGAGTTGAATGTGTTGTATCGTTGGGGAGATAATTAACGGAAACTGAAAATTTCATATTATCATAAAGTAAAAGGGGCATAACTCTGCCAAAAATCATCGAACCATGACCAAATTCGAACTTGACCTGTATTTTCTCATGACATCCATATGTCAAATTTGAGTTGAATGTGTGCAACCGTTACTAAGATAATGAACGGAAACTGATGATGACGGAAGGACGGAACAGGGTAACACTATATGCCCCGGCCATTACATGGCGGGGGCATAATAAAAAATATTGGTCCATTTAATTATCACAGTGCACTTTTAGCCACTAAATTGCACAATTTTGCGTTACTATTGCACAGTTCCACATTATTTGCACATTCCTGCATTACTGGATATACATGTTGATTTAAGGCTGAATTTAATCAGATTTTAGGTATGACAAGAACAATATTAAGATTTGTGACATTTTAATAATATCAATATATATAATAATAAAACAACAAAAAACAGTATCACAGCACAAAATTTACATCACACTTAAAGTAATTTATACATTAATGTATCACCTAAAACAGGCAAAATAATTGCTATTTATAATGTTCAGGAAAAAAGTGAATCAAATATTTTAAACAGTTTCTTATGTGATCTTTGCTCATAGGTTTAAGTTAGAGAAAAACAATTGAATTACTAAGTAATTGATGTTCCATTTAAAATAAAAAAAATCACCTGAAATATACATTCTTTCTATTCTAAAGGAAATAAAATTTGTGTAATGAACTGAAATGAAATGTACTTTTTGGAAGCCTTATTTTAGCTTGGTCTTAATAGACCAAACATCTTAGTATTCTGTAATAGTACTTTCCTTTCTTTATTATAACTTTATACAAAACTGATTTGAATGATAAATACAAATATTCATCAACAAATCATTGAAAATAAACATTCATAGTGCACATACCCAAAGTAGCATACCTGATGCCTAAATTAAGTGAGCAGAACACAATTACAAGTATGATTCAAACATATCATATTAATAGAGACTTGTTATTGTGTGCTGTTATCATGTGAAACAGAGTTTATATTTGCTATTTTATCATAAGTTATTTAAAAGGATGCTAAAGAACTAATACAAATTCCCTCATACCTTTATCACAGAATATAACAAATTCACAAGGAAAACAGACTTAAAACAAAAATATATTATTTTTCAATATTTAACTTCGGTATCAATAAGTGCTGGAATTAATACTTTTCCATTTCCATAGAAAAAAAAAGAAACATTGTAAAGTCTATTTATTGTGAGAAGACACTTTTTCCTGCATGCATGTAGTTTGTCCATAATGTGCTCATACATTTAGGCTCCTGAAATAAAAATCAAAAGCAATCCATGTAGTCAAATAAGCAAAAGGGAAAAAACAGTTTCATAGATTAAGATTTTCATAGATAGATATTTGTTCACATCTTCCTAAATTAATTGAAACTGAATAACTACTGTTTTCAAAGAGCTGTATTTTAAAACACTTAATTTAGCAAAACAACAACAAATACTAAAATAAATGTAAGCCAGTAATTGGAAGTGTTTTCTTTCTTCTGTGGAATGGCATATCAAATTTGTTATAATGACTGTAAGATTTACCATTGTCTTTTCTTTGCTAGTCATTTCATTGTAAGATAATGGTAAAGGTGGAGTAAGTTCTATCATCTTTGGTGATTTCCTCTTTTTCCTGAAAAACAATTCACAAAAACATGTATATATTTACCAGTATAAAATTGTTCCACAATTATGCAAGTGATTTAACATAATAAAATCATTATATGATCAATTTTGGAAAAAGAAATACATTACTTTTACATGCACCATTGCCAGTGGTTAAATGGTACCAAATATTTTTTTCAGTATAACTGTACAAGGAACATGCACCATACCTTTGGGATCCAGAATTATAATAATTGTTCCCCTAAATTGGTAATTTACAAATGCATTGTTCACCTAGATTAATTTTAAATATGAAAATATTGTCATATTTGTAGATGAAAATCCATAACAAATGTACAAGAACCATCTAAAGCACAATTTTGAATATTTTATCTTACAATTCGGGAAAAAGGATTATAATTTACCATTGAGGATATGACCAAAAATACAAGAGCACATGTGTCGCCTCACGATGGCCAATTTCATGTTGGGACAAGTTTTGTGACAGACAGACGGACAGTGCACAACTAGACTTGGTACTGATCATTCCTGTAAAGTTTGGATAAAATTGCACCAGTAGTTTTTGAGGAGTAGTCCGGACAAGCTTTTTTGTATCTGGCAACACACAGAAAAAAAACACCTTTTTATCAAAGGGCCATAACTCGGCCAAAAATCATTCAACCGGAAAACCCGTGCAATATGTGCAAGGACTTGAGCTACAGATCAATCCTGTAAAGTTTCATTGAAATTGCATTAGTGGTATAAGAGAAGTAGTCCGGACAATCTTTAAAAATAAAAATTATTAAAGGGCCATAACTCTGACAAAAATCATTGAACCGGAAAATGCTGAGAATATGCACAACTAGACTTGGTACTGATCATTCCTGTAAAAAACACCTTTCATCAAAGGGCCATAACTCAGCCAAAAATCATTCAACCAGAAAATCCGTGCAATATGCGCAAGGAGTTGAGATACAATCCTGTTTTTTGTTTTGTTTTTAGTTTTTTACTGATGGTGTATTAAAACATCTATTGTTTTGACAGGATCTTTACATGTATTTGAGTGTATGATAAATGTCCCTGTACAATATTTCCTAATTTACCTTGATTTTGAACTTGAGGTGTCACTAATTGGTGTGAGTTTTCGGCTTGCTGCACTGGACTGTCTGGTACTAGGCTGAGACCGGCTCCCTATGCTCTGTCTGTCAATACCAGGGTGATCTTCCATTGCTCGACTTGGGTCTGCGATATCACGATAATAATCCTCCAATGTAGGGTATGGCTCATCAAACACTGCAAGCTACAAATATAAACCAAACCCATTCATTTATGCCGACTTAAAAACAAGAACGGTGACCCCAATTTTTTTTCGCTTAAAATGTTTCTGTTATCATATTCTAACAACATGCCAAGTTTAAAGAAATTCTATTAAACAGTTTTAATTTTGCCTATATGTCTTTATGAAAACTCCAGAAAACGTCCTTAATACTTTGCTAAACAAGAGCTGTCAGTCGGATAATAAATTGATTTCTCTCGGTGCCTGATATAAGAATATGAGTCTGAATAATATAGAAATTAACAAGATTCCATTTAAGATGCAAAACATAGTTATACATGTTTATACAAAATGTATATAGTTATAATAGGAGGATATTAACATAGAAATTTTGTAAGTTCACAAAGGGCCATATTTCATAGAAAGTCCATCCCAGAGTTTACAATCTCAGATGAGTGAACTTCAATTATTATTCCAAAGACATGATAAATACTTTCAGTAGTTTTGAAGGGCCAGTCAAATGTCTTGTCAAAGTTATGGGTCTTGGATAGTGACCTCCATTTATAATACAGAAGATGCAATAAGTTTAAAATGAAATCCTTCAGCTGTTTTGAAGGATGCTGCATGCAGAATTTTATAAAAGACTTCAATGTTCACATTTTTTAGTAATTTGGTTACTTTTTATCAAAGTTATGAATCTTTGACAGTGATTCCATCCCACTCCACCCCAATTTTGATACCAAAGATGTGTGTAATGTACGAAGTAAATACCATGATTGTAAATTTTGGAGATTGATGCTGCATACGAAACTTTTACCAGTAATTTCCAATTCAACAAGGGCCATATTTCTATAAAAATGAAAATCTGAGTAATGGGCCTTGGGTAGTGACGTATTATGATCTCAAAAACAAATGTGACATTAAAAGCAAATATCTCTGTGGTTCATGAGATATAATGTTGTTTAAGAAGTGGCGTGTAAAACTTTAAACCTAGGTAAGAATATCCCCACTAATCTTTGAAAAGTTGAGATAAAAAAAATCATTGACCTGAATTTGATTGAAGCAAAAACGTATTTTATGAAATGCTGTCATGTTTATAATAAAAAGTAACCTAATAAATCTAACTAAACATGCTTGTCAAGTAATTTTGTAGCAATATGAAATAAATTGTTTGCATTATTATAAAATGAGAGAAAACAAACAAACAACAAACTGAAACATTTTGTAAGCAGAAAAAAAGAAATGACTATAATTAGATGCTTTAACATTAAAATTCTGAAATGAAATCATCATTTGCCATAGGTATATAATAACTTATAAAGATTTTTGACAGGTTATATTGCCCTATTGGAAATATATATTGGAAACAACCATTTATATAAGGCCCTCTTAGCTGTCAGAAATTTTTATAACAAACTTATAATACCACAAACTTCCTTTTTTTTTAAAGAAAAATGTGAGATTTTCTTTATAAATTGATGGTAGCCCTGTATATATATAATTTAACACTATTCATACACACAAGCATTGTGTAACACGACGTGAAATACTTTTATGCCAAGGGGAGTAACTCGATTACCATTCTATATTTTGACACCATCATTTATCTCCCTTGACAGAGACAACACCAAAAAATACATTAGTTTGTATATAGATTATTTTGAACTAAGCATTTACATCACATTAATCCAATGAAAAAACAATGTTACAAATGAGCAGTATTGAAAATCTTTATCTATTTTATTACAACATTTATTTTAAACTTTTGCTCAAAACAAATGCATTAACACACAGGCAATATTTTCAAACTTTGATGCAAACATAAGAGCTGCAACATGACACTTCTGGCTGAAATACTAAGCACGTTTTATACTGACACTTGCTAGCATTAATTAATGACAATATACATTTGCATACATATCTCAAAAACATACTGCAGAAGCACAATTGATAAACATACATGTGAAATATTCAGATGTACTAAATCATATTGTTTAAATATATATCATTACTTATTACTTAAGCTCCTAAAATTGGGGAAAAAAACTTACCATGTTACTTTATTTCAAAAACAAAATCATTTATCAATAAAAAAAAATCTTTGTCAGTCAATACATTTTATTATATACCTTTAGGTTTTCTGATAAAAAAAAATGTTAATTTTTAATGGATGATATGCGTACTGTATTTGATACTGTCTGATAATCAAATTATTACATCATCAACATGTATAGATTGACTTTATATTCATATGCCTGTCATTATACAACATACCAATAACATAATGCATAATCAATTTCTATTTATTATAAAGATAAAAAATCAACTTTGCTCATGATTTCTGTGTGCATTTTGCAGAAGGTATATTTAATTAAAGGAAAATTGCATAACTGTGCAATTCTATAAAACATACCAATAACATGGTGCGTAGCCAATTTCTAGTTATTATAAAGAAAAAAATTCAACTTTGCTCATGATTTCTGTGCGCATTTTGCAGAAGGTATATTTAATTAAAGGAAAATTGCATAACTGTGCGATTCTGGATTGTTGTTGATTGTGTAAAGTTGTATTCCCTTTCATTGATGCTTGTACAAATAAAACCTTGATAAATCATAATCAAAACATTCCATCAGAATATATCACTCATGTAAAATGTCCTACTTATGAATATCCCCTGTAATATAAAAATAGTTTGACTGATCACATTGATCACTCAGTCACGTGGGTTTGTGTTCAGGAAGTATTTTGTGGAACTTAGCTGGAATGGAACAAATCACACTGCAATATGGGAAAACAATATTTGCATTTCAAAAATCAAGTTTTCATTTTCATATAATCAATTTTAATATTACTAAGTTCATTGAACTTACATAAATTCAGTAATTCCGTATGATTTTGATTCTTTTTCTTTTCTTACTCTGAGCTTGAACTCTCAGCAGTATTTGAGCCGCGTCACGACAAAACTAACATAGTGTGTTTGCAACCAGCATGGATCCAGATCAGCCTGCGCATCCGCGCAATCTGATCAGGATCCATGCTGTTCGCCTAGCAACTCTATCACAAGTAGAGAAACTGACAGCATGAATCCTGATCAGACTGCACGGATGCGCAGGCTGGTCTGGATCCATGCTGGTCGCAAACGCAAACGCATGTTGGTTTTGTCGTGATGCGGCCTAATTTTGTTATAATATTATATGTATGAAAATTGTTCAACTATTTCTTCAAAATATAGACTTGTAGGAAAACTTGATTTTTACACTGGTGATAAACAAAGTCTCTGGAAATAACTTTTCACATAGGGATCAATAGCTGTTGTTTAAACATAAAACAACATATGATTAAAAGCAGCAGCTACTAATGAGACTATATAAATTAAACAAAAGAGAAATCTGGACTTAAATCAGACTGTTTTGTAATATTACTTCTAATTAAGTTGTAACAACACAATGTTTTTAAATGCACCTGATAAAAAAGTTCAATGTTTATTTTTTGTTGCTTTTGTTTGTTGTTTCTTGTAGTTTAGCCAATAATATAAGAACAAAAATATTATAAACACCAGCCAGAATCAAAGATTTTCCAGAGAAAATGTTTTGCTGAAACACCTGACAAAACAAGCATGTGGCATAACCTACTTCTGAAATGTTACTTATTCCCCTAGGCTCACAACAAAAATTCCGCTGAAATTCACATAGAATACAGTTTGTACACATAAAATGATAAAGAAATGATCTTAAACTTTAACTTTTTAATAAAGAAGAATCTATTTCAAATGTAGTTCTCTATAAGTATTTAGCTCATACAGATATTTAAGTATGTATGTTATAGGTTTATACCAGTAGTAAGTTAATATATTAAACTTTCTCTAAAAGTCACAAATACCAACATTTTATTCCAAGTTAATTTTTTCACTAATATTCTAGAAATAAAAGTCAAATCACAGTGCTACTATATATAGAAATCTGGTGATGAGTATAATATGGGTAAAAAAGCTTCAACTACATGTAAAATATAATAATAATAAAACAGATCCAGTAACATTGTCTAGCTCAATTATAATGAGGGTATTCCATCAATAATGTTTTTTTCTGTGAGCAAGAAAACTTTACACTCATTGCTTAGTACTGGTTGGTTCCATGAATAGATTTGAAATTCTTTCAATAAGCTTACAGCTTCTAACATAATTGAACTATAATAAACTACAAATGTAATAAGGTTTTCTACAAATGGTTTAAGTTTTTACTTTCTGCCATAATAAAAGAAAGAGAAAAATTATTATTTTCTGTCATTTATATGCTTATTTCATCTTACTCAGACAAAAACTACAAGCTAGAGATCAATCTATCTAACAACTTCAAGAAAATATTGTTTATATTTATTTACTCATGTTTAATTACATGTATAATAATAGATGACTTGAAGTTCTGTAGTATCTTAAAATATCACTATTAAGTAAAATTTAAAAGACAGTGGCTGAATGTGATGAAAAACCAATTAGCAGTAGTACATTTTGTCAACCCAATTTATTAGTTGAACATTTTTTTTACAATCGATTTCTTACAATATTTCTTTTTTTCATTTTGCTATTGATTTTGAAAGATTTTTCTAATTCAGTTAAGAAATCAGAAATATGAACCAGACAATTGTTACAGTTTGTAAATAAGTCTGCCTCTAGAGTAAGATTTTAAGTTAGAGACACAATGGTTTACCATCTATATAGATCAGAGACTAACATATTTTAGATAAACTTACCAAGTCTCTCAGACCAGCTCCATCCAGTATATCTGTAATATTTCCATGCTGGGCCATAATTCTGAAAGTTATTATTTATTTTGATATTAATTCACTTGAAAAACTTAGTACAATTACTGTTTTACTGTATAAGATAGAATAACAAATCATTGAATGCAAGGGTGTGCAGAAAATCTTAACTTTTTGTCCCCTTCCATGCTTAACATTTTTTAACAGACATGTGATGCCTGGTTTAGAATTTGACACTGCAAATTGGTTATGGAAAGGGATTTAAAGATACAGTATTTATATGTAGTCTACAGTTTAGTTTCTAACTCTGATCTGATGATATTTGTGTAGACTGATCTGAATCCACACATAAGTGACAGAAGCCTTTTAATATCCTTATAAGCATTAATTTCCATTAAATTAAAAATGAATGAACTATTTTTCCAATAAAGGGATGCAAAAATGTTCAAGTTAATTTATCATTTTGGTACTGTCTATTTGTCTAAGAAAATTTCTCATTTATTTTTTCATGAACCGTAAAAAATTGAAGTAACATAAATATGGAAAGACTTTGGTTAACAGTATTTTAAGCATTTTACATTTACTATGTACAAACATCAGGCCTCGACATTAGCGGTGGTCCGTTGGTCTGAGACCACCAGATTTTTGCAAGGACCACCTAATTTTAAAAGCCGCTGGTCCGTTGGACCACTTGAATTTTCTGGTTGGTGCAGACTCATTTGGGAGAATGGTGATTTGGTCAAAAACATGTTATAAACATTTTCTTTAAAATCATTTGTCCGATGTCAAGTATATGGTTCATTAATTATCTGATTAGTTAAAGAAGTTCTTAAGTCAATAACTTTCATTTTAAGTCGCTAAAATTTGGTTAACGCAAGTTAAAAGAGTTTAGACTTTGTGATATCAATTAAGGTACAAAATTCATTCAAATGATGCTAATAATTATGCATCGTTGGATACCTACGGTGGAACCAGTAACATTTATGTTATATTACATGTTAATTAACCGTGGGCATCCGACGATGTAATTATGATATTGTATGGGATATAAGATAAACTTAAAATTTCATATACTTAAATAATGGCAGCAAACAAAAGGAACTGGAAAAATACATCTAGTAATTCTTTGCTACTTATCTTTGTTTTAACTGTTTAACGATAGAGATCCATTTCCTCTAGAGTTAACATTACTTTAAAAGGTGAAAATACTCATGTTAAAAATAAATATCAACCAACAGGCAACAGGGAGGTAAAAATTCGGTATTATACATCTGTGAGAAAAATAAGCTAAACTATAGTTATATATAACATTAGTATTATTTTTTTATCCTCTAGCTATTTCCTTGTTTTAAGATAATTTATTAGTTTTATTAAAAATGATAATCTATAAAAGATACATGTAATTATCATAATTAAAGTCGTACCACATATCAGCAATGAATTTATGAATAACAAATTGAATAAGAAAATTACAGACACAAATTGTTTCACTATTCCCTAACTTGAGTTGAGAGAGAAATCACTTCAATATAAAAGTAAACATAAATAAGAGCCCTGTTGTGTATTTTTGAATGACATATAAAACAAGAGGGCCATGATGGCCCAAAGTCGCTCACCTGTATATAGGCCCCTGGAGCGGGGCCAGTTTTAACCCCAGGGCTTTTATTTGAACAAACTTGGTTGTATATGTATGCATGTATATATATATATATATATATACATATACATATATATATATATATATATATATATATATATATATATATATATATATATACATATATATATATATATATATATATATATATATATATATATATATATATATACACATATATATACATACATATATATATATATATATATATATACATAATATGTATATATATATATGTATATATATATGTGTATATATATATATATATATATATATATATATATATATATATATACATTTATATATATATATATGTGTATATATATAATATGTATATATCTAAAAAAAAAAAGTCAAGCTAATGAATGACCCCCCGGGCGGGGCCAATTTTGACCCCAGGGCTTTTATTTGAACAAACTTGGTAGACACCCATGAGAACATGTTTCATGCTAAATATCTTAGCTCTACCTCTTTGGGTTCTTTAAAAGAAGATTTTTTAAGTTTTAACTATATGCATATAGGGAAAATCAATGACCCCCCGGGGCGGGGCCAATTTTGACCCTAGGGCTTTTATTTGAACAAACTTGGTAGACACTCACTAGAAGATGTTTCATGCTTTATATCTAAACACTAGCTATATGGGTTTTTTCAAAGAAGATTTTTAAGTTTTTGCTATACACAGTCATATAAGGAAAATCAATGACCCCCGGGGCGGGGCCAATTTTGACCCCAGGGCTTTGATTTGAACAAACTTTGTAGACACTCACTAGAAGATGTTTCATGCTTAATAGCTAAACTCCAGCTATTTGGGTTTTTTTAAAGAAGATTTTTTAAGTTTTTGCTATACACATATAAGGAAAATCAATGACCCCCGGGGCGGAGCCAATTTTGACCCCAGGGCTTTTATTTGAACAAACTTGGTAGACACCTATTAGAACATGTTTCATGCTAAATATCTTAGCTCTAGCTCTTTGAGTTCTTTAAAAGAAGATTTTTTAAGTTTTTACTATATGCATATAGGGAAAATCAATGACCCCCTGGGGCGGGGCCAATTTTGACCCTAGGGCTTTGATTTGAACAAACTTGGTAGGCACTCATTAGAAGATGTTTCATGCCAAATATCTAAGCTCTAGCTCTTACGGTTTTTTAGAAGAAGATTTTTTAAGTTTTTCTTATTGGTTGCCATGGCAACCAGAGTTTTTAATGGAATTTAAATTTTTGAACAACTTTCAAAGGGGTCCACCTAAGGATCATTTCTGTAAAGTTTGGTTGCAATTGGCCATGTAGTTTAGGAGGAGATGTTGTTTGAAAAGTTTGACGCCATTTTTTGAAGGACGCACGACGCACGCAGAGTGATGACAAAAGCTCACCTTTGAGCACTTCGTGCTCAGGTGAGCTAAAAACAAATAACTTTATGATAAAATACCTACTAACTTGCTCTCCTTTATTTCTGATTAGATAAAAATATATATCTAAAATATCTGTTTTCTTAAGGTTAATGATACATCTTTGTCATCAATTTTAAACATATTTTTTTCTAATTTTGCAGTAAAATGACATAATAATAATTGACCACCTGACTCCTGGAAGGACCACCTTAATTTCAAATCTAGTGGTCCGGCTAATCACCTGCTAAAAAAGTTAGTGTCGAGGCCTGAACATGTTTACAAGTCTGTTGATATGAAACTGCGTATCTTATATACAATATACTGTGATTCATTTCACATATAATTATATACATTATTTCATACATGTATACATATTACCTATTAGCTGCAGCTGTATTTGTCATTGCCATCTGATACATCTTGTTTAACTTTCGCTGAAACTTTTTACGAGATTTCTCACGAGCTTTTAACTCAAGTTTTCTTGTAATCTGAAAATAAAACCCTCTATTTTAATCACTATGCATTTTCAAATGATTGTATTTTTTCTTCTTCATTATTTAGATTAAACATACAGAAATAGGAACAAACTAGAACTGTCACTATTCTTGAAGAATACTTCATACATCACTTTGTCACTTAGGGTATTATGAAGTTTCTTGTTGTTTACATAATTTATGCTCAGTGAAAAACTATAATGGGCAATACCTAAAAATTATCTATATTAACCATTTTTTTTACCCAAATTCATAGCATGACAAAATCATTATCAAAATTGAATGGTCAGAGAATAATTTTTTGCTAAAATTACAAACCTCTTCTGGATCTGGTGGTTTCTCTCCCAGTTTCAAAGAAAAGCAGGCTAATGGTGGCATTTCTAACTGTAATTATAAATATAACTGTATCATATTTGTCTGAAAAATGTGTATAAACAATAACAAATCTGTTGTAATGGAACAATTAAACAAGACTAACCTGTAAAGGAAAGCGATGTTTGATATTTTGTTGATTGAATGTTTGAATAAAGCATTTTGTTGACAAAATGTTTAAATAAAGCAGGTAATGTGTCCAGGGACCTCAAAAATGATCCCACTACTTGGCATGAAATATGTTTTAAGATTATCCTAAAAAAGTTTTAAAACAACTAACACTCAGCAGGTGTGACATATGAACTTCCTATGGTACATGTAATAGTGTAAAACCAGACTCCTTAAGATATTCAAATAAATCTCAACACAACCTTTAATATTAGTAAAAACATTACACTCTATACAAAATGAAAGAAATTAACTGTTCTAAACATATATATTTAAAATATGGTAACTTTGGTAACCTTAGGGCATCTCTTCTCCAAATCTACAGCTGCTTCCTTTGCCATTTGTGTTGAATCTTTCCTTTTACGTCCCTGTTATAAAAGCACAGATAATTGTTTCAGTACAAAATAGTACAGATAATCATTTCAGAGCAAAGTTCATTACATGAGACAATATCATGTAACTGGATTGTGAATAAGTTTCCTGCATTGTTTGTTTGCTAATTGTTGTTCAGTTTTACATCATACCAACACTGTGACGGAAATATGGTTACTTCCTGCTTTATAGATGGAGGAAGACTTCAGGTTGCCTTATGTGCATTAATTCAAGTGGTATGAATGGCACATGAGTAGAACCACTGATGTATCATAAAATAGCAGGGAAGCTTCCTCTTATGAAAGAATTCAAAGTTCCTGTTGGGATTCCAACCCACAGCAGAGAAGGGCAAGACTTTTTTGAGGTCAACAACATTAACAACTAGCACACATATGGCCCCTGCTTTTTTTTGATGGATCACTTGTGTCAACTTTCAATCTTGTGAAACACCAACATTTCTTTTTAAAACTTTGTCCAGTTATTAATAAAAATTTTGAAACATGTACAGGACACAATATATATCTTTAAATGCTACACTGACATCAGTAACATAAACACATACTGAATGAGGGGTCTTTGGTCCATGTGATGTTCCAAACTTTTGTGTGATAGCCCATGAATCCCGGTCTTTGGATGCCTCTGATATGTGACTTAATGAACGTGGAGCCATTTCTGGTCCTGGTAGAGCTTCAATGTTCTCGTGTGAACCTTGCTGGTCATCATCGGACAAATCATATGCAACTGCATCTATTAGAGCATAAACACATGATAACTGATAACTGTGGTATCAGTGTTTTTAAAATCTTGCTAACCCACTCTTCAATTTAAACTTTACAACATACGATATTCTAAGTGGAAAATGAAAATTTTGAAAGTTAAAATAGTAATTCAGTTCTGGCAAAATGATTGACTTTTTCCTTGGTGAAATTATGATCAGCCGATGGGAGTTTCTTTTTAACTTGACAGCAGACTTCTAAGGACACTCATATAAAGAGATGACTGTGTTATTCATATAATAATAATAAAAAAACCCACACACCTCTTTTCTTTACTTTGAAGTGTTCATAAAAGACATGTGGTTTTCTGATATCATCCCAGAACTTGTCAACATCACACTGTGATTTAAATTTTCCCTCTTTCCTCAATTTGTCTTGTAAGGCAATAATCTGTAGCAAATAAATTTGAGTGAAATATTAATATGGTATTGTCCACAAACTTATTTAAGAAATATATAGCAGAAAAATACATTTTGTGTAATCAGGTAACCATTTCAAGATGGCATGTGCATTATTTACTGGCCTTTGGACTGCATTTGATATTTAAAAATGTATTTTTTTGCCTAATTGAACATCCATATGTTAGAAGTCACATGAAGTAAATGGCCAGTATTTTGGCAGCCAAATTAAATAAGGAAGAACAAATTTAACATAATCATCTTGTATTACTCTGATGATTTTTTGATTCAGTGACATTCACAAGTAATGCTTAAGAATGAGGCCTTTACAATAAATTCAAAAGTGCAACCACGACCAAATGTGTTCAATTTATCATAAATCTCCTTTCTATCTGCAGTTCAGTGTAAACAAAAAAGATTTCATATTAAACTTTTTGCCAAGATGACAATCAAGAGATTTTTCTGTTGATCTTTTGTAAAAGAAATTCCTTCTTTCCAAATAAAGTAAAAACTTAAAGCCTTCTACATTTCCTTTTTTTTTTGTCCAAACTGACTGTTACATGTATGAAATCTCTGACTGAATGCTATATATGTGCATCTAGATATGATGAAGAACATTAATTAACGCCCAACACAGTGCATTAGAAACTTTCATTTACACAAAGTGTATGTGTCTTACCCAAGGCTTGAAAGTAGGCCCTAGTAAAACCTACATAAAAAAATGTATTTTTGACATGCCATGATTGTAGCAAGCCTTAATCAACAAACTTTATTCAGCAATTTAAGCTGATTTCAATGAATCTTTCTAAATCATTGGAAAATAATGTTAGTTTCTGTGGTAAAACTACTAATACTATAAATTATGGCTTATAGGTTTTAGGTTTCAAAGGCTAATGTCACATGTCAAGTTTTGCAATTTTTCATAAGGAGAAAGACCTAGCTGCTCCTCTGTGCATCATTTCAGACACAAGCATCTATTTTGGTAGAATCACTGACCTTTTATATGCAACCTAGAATTTAAAGACATATGTAGTTAACTATTGTTAAAAATTTTGCCACAAATTTCACAGAATTTCATACATTTTGCCATTCTTTGCAGAATTTCAACTATTTTATCTTTATTGTTCCAGATGTTTCCTTACATAATTAATACACAATATATAAGTTATATGTTGTAAACTACATTACCCTAGCTGTGTCTGTCTTTGGTATATTTCTAAGGAAAGTATCATCATGTTTGAGTTCTATTCTCTCAAGTCTCCGCACAAAACGTCTTCTCTGTTTCTGTTATGATATAAAAAGTGCATGTAAATTAGTGTAAACTTTATATTTTTACTTACTTAACCATTTCCCTCATATAGACGTGTTTTGATGGCTTTTTGTCTTCCCCCCCACCCTTTTGAGGCCTCAAACAGTGACAAAATGCCCTATTTAGGCCCAAAACACTGTTTTTCGTTTAAGAAATGTTGTTAAAAAGTGATAATTTTTTCGGCGTGGCCCCCCATCAAAATGATACATCAGGGGGTTGCCAGAAGGGAGTATGTGCCCCCTTCTGTTTGGGACTTGTGACAGGATAAAAATGGCCTCAGGTTGATCTTAAGGTGACGTGTAAACAACACTGAAAAGTCTTTTACTCTATCTCATTGCATTGAGAAGTTGCAGCATTTTGAAATCAGTTTTGATGGGAAAAAAAACCAATGCAAAATAGTGATTTTTTGCAATTTTGAGACGTCCCCCTGTTGCCATGGTAACAGGAAATTTAAGATTGAGCATGTTGTAACAGAGGTTATGGTTCAGTCAACATTTGTGCCAAGTTTCATCAGTATTGATGCATTTTTCATAGTTTAATAGCAGTTGGAACAGGAGGCTTTTTAATTTTCACAATATGCTCATGGGGTAAAAGGTTAACTTAATTATCTCCACTTTCCATAAGATAATCTTTTCTAAACTACATACATGTACATATATGAGATTGTCCATAAAGTGTGTAGATATCAACTGCCGTGTAAGGTGGAAACTTATTTTGTAAACTTAACTAATCAAAACATTTTAGAATAAATTTGTAGGTGTACCTTTTTAATGCAGATTAACTGTACAAGAAAGTGAATGTTTCATTCAGAAAGTTTTAATTTTTCCCCCATAAATTCAGTATCAACACAAAAATCATATTGAGCAATCTTAATTGTTTATTATGTGTTTATTCCAGACATAATTGATAGAAATATAATAATCAAAAGGCTGACTGGCAGTGACTAGACAACTAAGCTGTTATACTTATTGTGTAAAACAAAACAAAATCTGTAATGCTTCAAGTGCAAAACCAGACAATATATCAAAATTTTATGC